GAGGGTGGGCACCTCGCGCTCCTTTAAAGGCGCGCGGGAGGGGAAGCACTCTGCACGCGCTCAGGGACCCCCGCGGGCGTCTTTGGGGTGGGGGGTCAGAGGTCCCCGATCTGGGCTTGGTGGTGTTGAAAGAACTCTGCACACACCCCGAGGCGCCCTTCACTTTTTTTTGGGAGGGGGTGTAGATGCGTGGATCTGACCTGTCCCAAATAGCTCAAGATTTTTCTGATCCCTTAAGGAGGGGTGGGCCTCCTTCTGTCCGCACTCTGCACGTCCTCAGATGCCCCCTTTGCGGATGAGGCTCCCCCACCCATGCAGGCAGCCCCAGGCTTTAATTGCTTCCACTTGGGAGAAGGTGTGTGTGTGTGTGTGTGTGTGTGTGTGTGTGTGTGTGTGTGTGTGTGTTTTGCACTACAATTCCCATTATCCCCAGCCAGGCAGCAAGGGATGTTATTCTGGCTCCCTAGAGGAGGCAGCCAGTGGGCTTGTTTTCCCACTCCAATCCTCCAGTATTTGCTGTATTTGGTGTCTTATTGACAACATTACTAGTTAATATTAATTAAATTTATTGATGTGAGGCCGATCTTAGCAGGGAGGGGGGCCTTTGCAGGGTGCAACGGCCTCACTCCCCCCACCCACCCACAAAAATGTGGAAATCTGGACTTTGGCTCAGACAGAAATCGAAAAACAGGCAGCATCACAGAGAAAAACAGATTCAGGAGAGTTTCACGTGCCCGCTCTCGGCATCGGGCCATGGCATTCGTTTCTTACGTGCCTTTCAGCTGCGCACACCACCTGCCCCCCCTTCAGCTGCCTGCTGGTTGGCACCCTCCAACAGCTGGAATCTCCCGTAGGTGGTTTCTTTCCAGACAGACAAAAAAAAAAGTGAAAATTGAACAGCCTTCTCCTCCAGATTCTGGGTGTGTGTGGTTTCCCTGCAGCTGGACTACAACGGCCATCCTTCCTCACCCTTGGCCAAGCTGTGGCCCCGGGTTGACGGGAGTGACCGCCAGCTCAGGAGGGCCGCTTTGGGCCCACCCTTGATTGATGTTAACGGGGTGCCGAAGAGGGGGGCGTCAGGATGACAACTCCCAGAATCCTGGGGATTGTGGGTGTTGTAGTCTAGAAAAACACCAAAATCTTGCACGCTTTGAGGTTCACCTATGAATGGGCTGGGAGAGGGATCCCTCATGATGTTAAGGAAGACAACTCCGTAACTTGATTTAGATTCTCAGTTCGCTGTTCTATGGTTTTTCCCTTTAGCTTAGGTGCAGCCCTGCTTTTATTATTATTATTATTATTATTATTATTATTATTATTATTATTATTATTATTATTATTATTATTATTATTATTATTATTATAGTATTAGTATTAGTATTAGTATTATTAGTATTATTAGTATTATTAGTATTAGTATTATTGGGCTAATTGGTAGGGCTTTAACTTGTTTCATTTCAGAACCTGGTGGGTCTCCAAAACTCAAAAATTGAGGAGCTGTTCCAGAAAGTCAAGCAACAGCAGTACAGGATGGACAAACAGAACTTGCAGATCAAAAGCCTTCAGAGCAAAGTAAGTCCCTTTGAGGCACTTTGTACGTGCCCAGAGGCCCGACACTCACTTTGAATAGTGATTTCCTCATAGCCATGTTCCTAAGATGAGAGACAAAGATAGAATTAAAATTAAATTCCTTTTCTCCCTTTCCTCCCGCCTCCTTCAGGTCAACATGATGCTTCCTTTGTACGCCAAAGGCAATGAAATGGAGAAAAACCCCAAGCAGAAAATGGACGTCCGGTGGAGCCCCGATTCGGCCGCCAACCGCAGCCACGGTGCGGGGTCCACGCTCCCAGAGGCTCCGAGTAAGTGGCCTGGCCGGTTTGCTCGCTAGGTAGAACTCGTGGCGTCCGTGGTTCTTAGTTTGGGGACCTTGAGGACTAGCGCCTTCACTTGATTTGGAAAGAAAATCTCCTAGCTCAGAATGGGGATGTAGCCCCCAGAGGGGAGGTTCTGTACAAAGGGATCCCCCTTCAATCCCTGGCAGGTCCAGGTAGCGAAAGTCAGAAAGTGTCCGCACGTCTCCAAAGGAACCGCGGAGGAGAACAAGGAGGGTGTGTGTGTTTGTGTGTGTGTGTCACAACCGTGGCTCATGGCCAAGTGTGCCAGAGGTGAAGCCGGCCGGGGAGGGCATTTCCAGGAGCAGAAGGGTTAACAGCGGCGTGCCTTCCAGCCAGGAAGAAAATTGAGAATGAGCGAGAGAGATTGTAGGGGTGGGATTTTTCTTGCATCCTCCCTCTGGCCCCTCTCCAAGTAGGTGAAAGGCAGCGCTCCCCCTTCGGAGTGGGGTTTTCCAAAAAAAGAAAGAAACCCACTGGTTTCTCCCCCTCCTCTGTGCAGCAAAATTCCAACCAGTAAATCCAGCAGGAGCCAGAGAGAATCATCTCAAACCACGGCCGCTCCCCTCCTCTCTGGTCTCCATCCTTCCTTAAAATCCGGAGGAAATCTGGGCTCCTCTGGGCACAGGGTTCAGGAACCGTCGTCCCTTACGCTAAACTCAGGCCACCCTTGCCATCAGCTTTTCTTGCCCATTTTATTTATCTTACTTTTATTATCCTCCTTTCTTTGTCTTTATGTCGAGGTTAGTTTAAAAAAAAAAAGGCAGGATTTATTCTCACCCCACGGCCCTTTGGTGGATTTAAATCCTGAGCTCGGAAAATCTGCTTTTGTGTGAGAGGGAATCCCAGGTGGCTTTTCCACGCCTTTTGGGTGTGTGTGTGAACCCAAACAGGGCATCCACGGGGAGTCTGTTTTGTTGCATACGCCTGACAATGTGGGGTCATGGTGAGTCCCCCCCCCACTTTTTAACTGGAATATTTAATTGTGCTCGGTTTGCAAAATGATGCTCTCTTTCCCAGAGAGGTGAGTCATGGGGGGATGGCTGGAGGATGCTTCAACGCTTAGCTAGAGATTTTAGAGAAGTCGCTGGTTCTGCTCTCACGCAGAACAGCCCGTGGCTGAGTGGCGCCGTCCCTGCCTTGTCTCCCGAATTCCAGTATATGTGACGACACTGGCCTACCTCGCAGGGAGGAGTCCGGGCTGCTGGAGAGGAATTCCTCACTCATTCCCCCACTGCGTGGACACACCACCACGCTTGATAAATCTTAAGATCTGATCGCCTTTTGGGGTTCCCACCCCCCACAAACATTCCTCTAGGCTTGAGGACTAGCAGCTTGGACCTAAGATTTTACCTGAGCGAAGTTGGCTGGTTGCTCAAGAGAAACCCCTTCTCAGTAACTGGATCTGGTGTACGAGAAAGGGGTCACGTCTCCCTCCCTCCTGCCCGGAACAGATGCAGCCGGCCATATGACGCATAGATGATGGGGCTGCAGGCAACCAGCACAACGCCATCCCCTTTTGAGCCAGAAACTAGGGGAAAGTTCATGTTTACATTGAATCATCATCATTCCAGTTTCCCCCGCCTGGCGGCTGCTGGGCAAATCCAAGCTAAATTTATCCCAAACCTAGCACAAAGAAGAAGGGAAGGCTTTTATTTTTTTTTTCTTCCTCTTTGTCTCGGCAAACGTTTGTGCTGTTGAACAGATGGGCGCAAGGTTGAAATTAGGGTTCAGCTTTCTTCTGAGAAGCGAGGAGTGGGGGAAATAATTGTTTATTTCTTCTAGAATACCTTCCCAACAAGCGCTTTCAACGATCCCGCAGAGGTTACGCCAATTAAAAAAAAAACCTGCAAAATCCACATTACGGAACAGGGTGGCGGGTAACCTTTATTAAACCGATTTACAATGATCGTAGAATGATAGCGTTGGAAAGGGCCCTATAAGGCCATCAGGTCTTTTCCAATGGAGAAATGAGGATGAAGAAGATGATCTGATCCCCTTGATGTGGAAATTGTTTCTGGGTCGACCCCGTTGCCTCTGTGCTGTACAAATAGGTCTTTTATTGAATTCAAATATTTTTACCCTGCCTTTCTCATAAGAAAGAACCTAAGGTGGCTTACATCGTGAAAAATTGCAATATTGAAATACATAGATTGCTATATATGTGTATATATTTCTACACAAGAGACACACATGCGCGAATATATGTTTTTTAAAAAAAACGTGCAGGGGAAATGGCTACACTTATTCTAAAGTCAATGGTATAAGGTAGTTTCAGATAAATGCCCAGCACAGCCACCTAGGACGGCTGGGCCATCAAAATGTGTTAATCGGACGGTCCCAACCAGATAGGGTGATGGGCCTGAATATTTTTTGGGTTGGGTACCCCTCCCTCTCTTCTCCTTCGAGGTCTGGTTCCTGAAACCCAGCCGTAGCCCAGTTTGAGCCTTGAGTGGGTGGATGTGCGGCGTCTCCTTTGTCTGGATATTTTAAGCTTCAGGGTAAAGTCCTCAGGTCCCCAGCCACATCCTTCCTGCCCCTTTTGGCTCGGCCCCCCTTCGTCCGGACGGGTTTCAAATGGACCTTGAGCATGCTGTTGAAATACCAGCGTGCTGGCACTCGGCACGTGGACCTCGGGCAAAGTCCTGTTTTCCTTGGCAAACCGAGGTGCCACAAGGACGCGGAGCTGGTGTTTTCTCCGGGCCACGCTCACCTTTGAATAAGTTTTTTTTTTAATTGATGATTTACTTTTCTAAACCTGCTCTCCTCCCTAGCTGGCCCGTCTGGTTCTTTCTGACTTTGGACCTTTTCTGTCGTTCAATCCTTGGAGGAAGAAAAAGCAGGCCAGGAATATAACGGATACAATCAAATTGATCAACCCATCTGGAAAGGGAGAAAATCAATACCACGAGATTTAAAAAGGGACCCTCTTCGGTTAACTCCCCTATTCGAATTGATTGGAGCTGAATCTGGAGCAGAAAAAAGAAAGGAGACCCAATTATTTTCAAAAGATTGGCTTTGTTTATCTGGTTCTTATTTTTTAAAATACCAGAGTACCCGGGGAAGATCGGTTGCATTTAGCTGGCTTAAATTAAAATTTTAATTGCAGACGCATACACCCACAAAGGGAAAGGGATAAAAATAGGGAGAGACAGAGAGAAAATGTGAAATACTGTAGGTATAATACAAGATAGTTATGTGTGCGCGTGATTACCCTACCCTAATGTATATGCCTAATATTTTATGAAAATGTCTCTGTGCCTCTTTGTAAAATGTTAGGCGTATACATTGGTGCAGTTTCAGCAGTGTTATGGTTCCTGCGTCTCTGATTTTGGTTTGGTTTTTGGGTAGCTTAAAAGATAAATTAGAGAGGGTATAAAAAAGAAGGGAAGGGTGGAGAGGAGGAAAAGGGGGGATCTGTAAGGTATAACTGTGCATTAGACATGCAGATGCATTAATATAACATTAGGCCTGTCCATTAATCTAACGCTAATGGTTTTACATCTGTTTACAGCTGCTGGAACTCACAGAAGGGGGTATCATTGTAACTCATGAAAAATAAATAAAGATCTGTTGCAGAAGGATGTCAAAATGTTGTAAGTGATGCCCCGGGGTTGAAATATTTTTTTAAAGGAACTTTTTCCTTCTTTCCTCTGCAGGGTTCCCTCTTGGCTGTCATCAGCTTTTTCTGGATGGGTCGCCAAGCAACGGGGTGGTCAGGATCCAGCCCCCGGGGGCCCAGCCGTTTGATGTCTTGTGCGATGCGACCCCAGGTATTTTTTAAAAGCCTCTCCTTGTGTGTGTGGTTTTTGACGGCCTGGAGGTTCCGGGTTTGAATCTCCACTGGGCTCACAGAGGGCTAGCTGGTTTTGTGACATAACCTGGGGGGGGGGAATTGCCGAAGAAACACCATTTAAAAGGAAAAAAAAGAGGAAAAATAAGAATATCTCTGTTTGATGGCAGGTGGCGGGGGCTGGACGGTGATTCAGAAGCGCCAGGACGGCTCCGTTGATTTTGACCAGCTATGGGAAGCTTATAAGACTGGTTTTGGAAATATGAGTGGTATGTATTCTTATCCCCCCAACAACCCTGCGAAGCAGGCCAGGCTCAGAAAGAGTCCGGTCTGAAATTTACTGGAAGAATTTCATGCCTAAGCAGGGACCTCAAAATAGATTTTTTTTGGTGCGATGGCTAATCCTATGTTTTAACCACTGCAGTTTCACCCTTGGTGTTGTCTCCTTGTCCTCTCCAGGGGATTTCTGGCTGGGCTTGGAGAAAACCCACCAGATCATGCGGGACGGGCGGTTCCACCTCTTGATCGAGCTGCAGGACTGGGAAGGGAATGCGCAGACGGTCCAGTTCTTGTTCAGCCTGGGTGGGGAAGAGACGGCTTACACTCTCAGCCTCCTGGGCCCCATCCTCGGGGAGTTGGAGAACGCCATGGGGGACTTCCCCCAGCTGCCGTTCTCGACTCGGGACCGGGACCACGACCTCAAGGGAGACGCCAACTGTGCCAAGCACCTCTCGGGTGAGTGGCCCATGCTGAGGATGATGGGAGTTGTAGTGCAACCGATCCGGAGCATCTCGAAGAGTTCTTCATTCCCATTAATTGACCTCGCTGTCTTCTCTCTTTCCCCAGGGGGATGGTGGTTTAGCACTTGCGGCCACGTCAACCTCAACGGGAGGTACTTCCGCTCCATCCCTCGCCAGCGGCACGACCGGAAGCAGGGCATTTTTTGGAAAACCTGGCGGGGACGCTACTACCCCCTGCGGTCGACCGTCATGAAGATCCGCCCAGTGGAGCTGGGCCAGGGGGCGTAAAGCACCGCAAAGGTCCCCTCCAGTTCCTGCTTTATTTTCGGTGGAGGCGCAGATGGGCGTCTGTTTTCTTATTTTCGGGGTGTGTGTTAGACTGAGAAGGGGGTTTCCAGCAGGCTGTCTCTGCTGGGCATCCGATCGCACTCGATAAAAGGACCACCTTGTTTCCCCCCCCCCAGCAAAGGGGTGGTCCTTGAGTTGGCAGAAGGATACACCCAGACAGCCGGCGTCTCCGTGGATGGGAATGGCGCAAGGATCCGTGGGAACAACAGATCTCAGCATTGAGCGTGGGGGGGGGGTGTCCGACGGAAATGACTGAAAGGGGGGGAGTTTCGCCAAAATTATAGAAAAAAGATGGTGCATCACCAAAAAACGGTGTAAAGTAATTTAGGTGTAAATATGCCATTTTGGGAACTTGTAGAGAGAGTCGAAGAGACAGGGAGACCATCTCCTCCGAGGGAGGAAGATGCTAGGGTACCTCTGTGCTTGTTGGCCAGGTTGCTGTCCCATGTTCCACACACACACCACTGTGGATGATGGGTAGTGTTACACGAGCCTGGATTTCCCTTCTTTAGGGACTTCCGTATCTGTAAATCCAGACTGGATTGCTGTTTTTTATTTTTTCAAAGAGACACACCCGGTCAACTTGCTGGAGGTTAAAAATGACCTGTAGAGAAATCATGGGATGGAGGATGTGACCGTTTGGACCATTTCAGAAGTGTTTCCACCAGGATGCAGGGCTCAGGGAGCATTTGTGGCCATGGTCCCCCGCCCCCAACAAAACTGCTTTTTGAGGTCAGAAAGCCTCTCGTCGCTGAGTGTTTAGATCTCTCGAAAAGGCTTCCCTGTGATGTGGTACAGTCACCTCCACACACCTGGAAGGGGAGATTTCTTAGGGCGATGATGCTCGGTTCGGGATGGTGACGTGGTCTGTGGCACCTCTTTTCCCTACAGCAGGGAGGGGGGTCCCCTTGCCACAAAATGGTACCAGATGGACTGGGATGGCCACCAGAGCTCATCACATGCAAGCCTAAGTTCCACACTCATCCTCTTCACCTTGTTATTCCGTTTTATCCTCTGCTTTTTAAGTCATATTGACTCCATCTAGTCCAATGTTCGTTTTTGTACATAATCGTTGTGCTGTTTTAAAGAGTTTTTCCTCTTGTGTGTTTTTTTTAAAAAGTTGAGTGTCACTTTTTTTAAAATAATTTTTTAATGCGTATTAATAAATGCTGTGGTTATAACTTATAAATGTGGCCTCCGATCTCTTTCAATAGGTCAACGAGATGGCTGCTTCTTTTTTTATGGAATAAAAAAAATACAAATTTCTGTTTTGTGTTGAGTTTCTGACCCGCCCTGTAGACCTGATGGGAATGGCTGAGTGTGCCCAGAATGTTGAAAAACAGCCTGCCTATTGGGAAACACTCTTCACATGCTCAGGAGCACTCTGGATTATAAAAAAACAAACCAAAAACCCCTCCCAAACCTGTCAGGAGAAGCCATTTCCACATTACAATTCATCAAAGGCAGGCGAGAAAAGTTTCATGGGGAAGAAGCCACGGGTTGAGTTTTGCCGCTGCCACTGGCTCAGCAACGACCCTGTAAGGAAGGCCTGCCCGAAAGAGAGGCAGATGGCCAGCCGGTGGAGTGTCTCCCCCCCTTTAGCAAACTGGGCTGGCGCTGATGATTCCCAGGTCGGATTTCACCAGTGTTTCCCAGTAGGACGGGTGGGCTGGGGGGAAAAGATCAGTATGGGACCTGTGGGGGGGGGGAACGGGGGCAGGCAGTGCCGGCTGTCACAGGCCAGGCGGACTCTTTAGCACCTTCCGAACCCGCCAGGGAAGTCAAAGTGGATTTATTTCTGGTTTTTTAAAATTTGTCCTGTGGAGGAGAAAGGCGAAGGGGTCAACAGTTCAAATCAGGGAATGAACCAGAAATAAAACCACGGTGCCTGCTGTGGGAGAGCTCGCCGCCCTTCTGCCTCTCGTCACAGACACCCTCAGACCCTCCCACCAATATAGATACACACATGCATACAGACGTGTACATATACATGTGTACATATACACGTGTACATATATACCACAGAGGTGTTTAGTAACGGGGGCAGTCCTTCAGTCTCGAGAGACTAGGGTAACGTGCTCTGAACAGAGGACTTGGAACAGCATCTAGTGTGGCTGAGAAGGCCAATTCGAGAGTGACAATCTCTTCCACACTGAAGACAAATCCAATCTGTGCCCTGTCCAGCTCCCAGATTTGGCTGCTTTTGTGACTTCCTCCCTGCCTCGGCCTGCTGGACAAGGGTCTCTTCAAATTGGGAGAGGCCGTAATGCAACGCCTGCCTCCAAGCTGTGTGTATGTATATATATATATGTATATATATACATGTGTGTGCATATACTGTATGCACACATGCACGTATTGATTCATTTTGTGTTCATTTTGCTTAATGTATATAACTTGTATATATTATATAATTTATAAATAAATCGAATGCATGTGTGTATTGTGTATACATGCATTCGATTTACAGTATTTATAAATTTATATATGTAATTATATATATGTAATTTATATATATATAAATTACATATATATAATTTATTTAGTAATTTTACTGCCACCGTCAAATGGACCCAGAAAATACTCGAGCTCTTGAGTTCTCATGATCCGTTTAATCTGTATCTATGCATCATGTACACCTGTATGTGGGATATGACTCGCGTGTACATGTTTATATTTTCCCCTCGGGAAACAAAGAAGACAACAAATCGCCTCAGGACTGCCCCTCCCCCATCCCCCTCAGCGTCATTATTTTTTTCCAAACGTTTAGCCCCGCCCCCAAACCCCAACGGCCGCCGCCCTCGCTCCGCCTCCTCCCGAGCCGGTCCGCTTGGGTCTCCTCCTCATTGGCCCTAGCCTTTGCTCCCGTCCATTCCTGCCTCCTCTCATTGGTCACCTACGCAGCCGCCCCAAGGTTTGGAGAGCGGGCCCCTGATAAGCGGAGCGCCCCGCCCGTCTTCCTCCGCGCTCGGCCCCGCCCACCAATCCGCACCTCCGCGCGTCTGCGCATGCTCCTGGGAGCGGGCCCCGCCCTCCGCCTGCCTCAGAACCGCTGTCAGCAAGCGGAGAGGCTCGGCCCGGCTTGGCTCGGCTCGGCCTGGCCTAGTCTAGCCTCGTCCTTCGCGGCCTTAGAGCGGGGCGGAAGCCGGGAAGGGACCCGCTGAGTGGGGGGAGGGACGGACTGTGCGAGGGAGGGGCCGAGCGAACGAGCTCCGTCGCCATGGGAACCCGCGACGACGAGTACGACTATCTCTTCAAAGGTAGGAGGGAGGGGCTTAACGAGGGACCTCCCCTCCAGCGAGATGGGCGGGGCTTATTTCGTGTAGCCCCCTGGGCTAGAGGGAAGGGCTTCCCGGAGACCACGCCCCTTCTGGAGGGGAGGGGCTTGCCTGGGAGGTTTGGGCTCCTCTTAAAATGTGGTGGTGCGTATATTAAGGGCCCCCCACCTATCCCAGTTGAGGGAGGCGCTTATTTGGTAGCCCCTCCCCTATCGAGGAAGGGTCAGGCCTCTTCAAGTCAGGGAAAGGAGCTTCTCAGACGGAGGGGAGGGGCTTATCTGGACCCCCTGTTTAAGAGAGGGAGGGGCTTATTCTGGGAATGCCCCGCCTCCTTTTCCAAGGGGAGGTTCTTGTTTGAGGACCGCCCTTGCTTGGAAAGTAGGGCCTTAGGTGGAAGGGGGGGACCCCCCCAGGTGGAGGAGGGGGCAGTCATTTAGGACCTGCCCTTTGGAGATGATTTGGGAGAAACCCCCTCAGGAGGGGCAACCCCTCTTTAGAGAGTGCTTTAATGGGGACCCCCTGGTTAGAGGGTGGGTTTTTTTTAATTGGGGGATTACTTGTGGGGTGGGCTAAGAAATGGTGGATGGCGAGGGTATGAGAGGGCGAGCTGGAGCATGTGAGGGGGAGGAGAAGGCTGGGGTGCAAGGGGAGCCAGCAGGGAAACTGTCTCCTTGCAGGCAGGAGGGGTTCACCCCAGGGCTCTGTGATGGGCTTAGGGGGCCCTTAAGGTTGGATGACAGCCGCCCCCCTCCTGTGATCCCTTCTGAAGCCTCGAGGCAACCTGCCAGCAGTGAACACAGGTGGAGGGGGTTTGAGACCAGGAGGCGGTGGCTAGGGAAGAGCGGGCACCCTTCAAGTCAGGACAGGTCACCGGTTGCAGGGGTCCCCCACCTCAAGCAGGGCTCTCTTGAACATGGCCTTCTGCACTCGCCTGGGTGCGACCAGCCCCAGTGATTTAAGAAGCCATCAGCTTTTGGGGGGGTGGGGGGGCGGAGGGGAAGAAACGCTGAGAAACCCTACACAGAACACTTGGGGATCCCTCACCTACTCAGGACCATCTTTATGGCTTTTTCTTGGAAACCCCCCCCCAAGTATTTGTTTATGAAAGGTGAGGCAGAAAGCAGCCATCTGCCTTGCCTTTTAGCAGCTGCTCTTGGTTTCGCTGTCCTAGGAAGTTTGTACTGGTCCCCCGTTGGGCTGTCGTCGGCTACTGGACGGGCTTGCTTGCAATAGGAGGATGCAGTTTCTGGCGCTGGCACAGGACCTTGGCATCCTGGGGTTGACCCCTCGTTGATCTTGTTTGCTTAACCATCCTTGATTGCTTCTTCTGCTTGGGGCTGATGGGGGTTGTAGTCCTGTGCTCGGCCCACCCCTGCTTTAGGGCAACTCCCCATGAAGGGGGGGCATGTTTAATGAGCAGTAGACCAGTTAGGAAAATGATTGACTCTCCAGACTCCTCATCCATTAAATAGGTGTAATAATGGCCATTAGCAAAGTCAGCCTCAGAAAGCCCTTTGCAGCCGAAGTGGGCATAGGTGTACGCACGCACAGGGGTATCCTATATGGACAACAGGCTTAAGGGGACCTTTTCCATCTGCTCTAAAGGTCCCGACAGAGCCTGGTGAGCTGAAGGCATCTCTTAGGGCTTGGGCTTTCTTGATCATGGCCGGCAGTTTGGATCAAACTCTGAAGTTAATATGACCTGCGTAGGGTTTTTTACAGGGCCGCAGGAAGGGTAAGCAGGATGTGATCCTGGGTGTAGAATTAAAATTTCTTTAAAGGAAAGAACGATAGGTTTTGTTTTTTCCCTCTGTGTTTAGAAGACCTGTTGGTGAAAGTGCGTCTGGGCGTGTAAGTTTGTTATGGCTTCTCCCTGTAATGGACAAAGAAAAACAGCAGGCTGCCAGGGAGCTTTGGAAAAACAGAAGAATTATGTGAAAGGGAAGCTTGTGTCCATGATTTGTAAGAACCAAAGGATTCAGCTTCCACATCTGTTAGGAACCAGGTTTCCCGAGGGAGGGTAATCTTTTTCCGCCTGGCCATGTATGGAATCAACGTGTGCAGGGTGTTCGGGACCCCTGAGAGAGTCACACCCAGAAAGCTGGACTGTCATGAATCAGCTGACGACCCTCTAGGACTTGGTTTGCTTGACCCCCAAGGCCCGTTCTTCACATCCTGTTGCTTTTGGTGCCTTTAATGATCTGAAAGAGGGTAGCGTCCTGTGTGTGTGCGACGAGGGATGAATAACTTGGAAGCCACAGAGACCAGATTTTTTTTCAGTCATGGATTTAGGCTGAAAACATTCTGCGTTTTTTTTAAGTGACGTTTCTGCTTTGTGCCTCTTTGGTGGGACTTTGGATCGTCTGTTTTAGCCCCCATGTTGTGGAGGACAGGGAAAGAAGGCTGTGGGGCAAACAGCCTAAACTTTTATTTGCCTAGCTGGAGGGTCTGCCTGCTCCCTCTCCCATAAGGAGTCTTGAGGGAGGGGACCTTCCCCTCTCTGCCCTGCCCGCTCATACATGGGTGTGTCTGTTTGCAAACCTCAGAGCAATTTAGGCATAAATGCTGATGGCGCTGGGTTGTCCATTTGCCCTCCCTTCTCTCTGCCCTCCCAGTGGTGCTGATTGGAGACTCCGGTGTGGGGAAGAGCAACCTCTTGTCCCGTTTCACGCGCAACGAGTTCAACCTGGAGAGCAAGAGCACCATTGGAGTGGAGTTTGCCACCCGGAGCATCCAGGTGGACGGGAAGACGATAAAGGCGCAGATCTGGGACACTGCTGGCCAGGAGCGGTACCGGGCCATCACCTCAGCGTAAGGCTCGAAAGCGGCTGATAAAGTTGGCTTGGGAAACTTCCAGCGATGAGCCGGGCTCTCTCGGCAGAAAGGGGGGACGTGGTCCTTTTAAGGGGGAGGCTGAAGATCCTTCTGGGGTTCTAGCAAAGATCCTTTAGCTCAGCACACCCCAGCCGGTCCTCCTCCACCCTAGATATCGTGCAGAAGCGGAGATCCGGAAAGCAGCTCCTGCCTCCACAAAATTGCCTTGCGGGACCTGCATGGTTTCCATGCTTCCCACCGGGGTTCTTGTGGGAGACGTGGAACAGATCCTGCCAATTGGCGGAGTGGCCCAAAGACTCCAGCATTGGTTTAATACTTACTGCCATAAGAAGGCCAGATCCTTGTCTTATACTGAGTTAGACCGTGGGTCTGTTTAGCCCAGCAGCTCTCCATATTGTCTAGCAGGTCTCCTGTCCTAGTCCTTAACTGGAGGTGCTGGGATTTGATCCTGATGCCTCTGCCTGGGAAGCAGCCTTCTTTTCCCCCTTGTACTTCCGAGTCCACCCCTTGGGAGCCAACGGCCTTGATGCAGGACGCTTTCCCCCCTCTTTGAATGGCCCTCGTCCATCTCTTACAGCTATTACCGGGGCGCCGTTGGGGCCCTCCTGGTCTACGACATTGCCAAGCACCTGACCTACGAGAACGTGGAGCGCTGGCTGAAAGAGCTGCGGGATCACGCGGACAACAACATTGTTATCATGCTCGTGGGGAACAAGAGCGACCTGCGCCACCTCCGGGCGGTGCCCACGGACGAGGCCCGGGCCTTTGCAGGTTTGGGCAGACAGCCGGCTTTCTCACCCCCAACCACGGGGTTGGCCTCTCCCTCCCCCTCTTTCTGATCTTGCGAGGGTCTTTTCCCACGTGAACTGTTTGGAGGAAGAAAAGAAAGGGTCGTGAAAATCCACAGGGGAAGCGCCTGTTCTAAGATGAGGAGGAGCAGGATGTTATAATATTTAGGAAGCCCCCAGGGCACCGTATCAAGGACAGACGGCTGCATGGAAGGGAGGTGTTGGCGAAATGCTAGTGATAATTCCCGCATCAGCTACTGAATGCATGCAATGTGTTATCGAAGGCTCGTGTAACCCCTGTTTGTTCAGTGGGTCTACTATGGCTGGAGCCAGCCACTAGACGTAGGAGGCTCCATGCTCCTCTAGATGATGGAGGAGCGGGCCAGGAGAGGTTAACTTGACTTTCCCCAGCCAGGCTCCCTCCCCTTGGTCAGGGTCACACCTCCCCTTAAGTCCTGGCTGGGCATTCTGGCAATCACCCTCCCAACATACCTGGAACACCCTGAATGGAACCACCTCTGAATAGAAACAGGTGCATGAATGGCCTCAGTTGGCATTTGTGCTAAATGCGGCGACTGGTTGTAGCCCAGTTATAGATCCTGGGAGAGCCAGTAGCTGGAGAACATCAGTCTCAGACCAGAAAAGGGTTCGAACCTCTGGAGGGTGGTGACTGGACCATTTAATATCCAAAGGAGAGTGGCGAACTAACAATCATGGAAGGCAGGATAGAATAGGAAAGACATCAATTAAGGGCAAATTGGCATGAACGCCTGGTTCCAGAGTGAGATGGCACAAACCAGCTGCTTGATGTTGCCTGTTCTCACCCTGGTTGAGCCTCGTGTCCGCGGGGACACGGTCTCCCTCTCCCCTGAGGTTTAATTATGTCCTTGTTTTGAATCCTCTGGTGCCCAATAGGGGCAGCAAAGCCTTTATTTATCCTTGTTGCTCGGCCTTGAGACCTCGGAGTGCCGTAAAAATAGCTGCGCTGACTCCCACTGCTTTTTCTCTGCTCCTTGCAGAAAAAAACAACCTGTCGTTCATTGAAACCTCAGCCCTGGACTCCACAAATGTAGAAGAAGCTTTCAAGAACATCCTTACTGGTAAGGATTTGAGTTTTGGTTCTTTGGCCCAGGAGAGCTGCCCTGGATGTGAGCTGTGGATCCCATCACCTGTGTGGTGTGTTTCCAGTGCTGTTATTATTTTTACTCTCTCTCTTTTTGGCAAAGAGCTAGCTTTTGCCAAATATAGCAATTGCCTTAGTATATTAGACAAAAACAAACAAACAAACAAAGAGAAAATTCCCCAAACAAGATGCAAAATTTTTTTCTGGCACACTTTTAAAGACAAACCACTGTCTTGTAGTGTGAGCTTTTGTGGGTCAGGTCCACTTCTGCTGATTGTGCTAGTGGCAATGGGGGCAGATTGCATGGATAAGATAAGAAACTGAGAGGGTGGATGGCAGGAAAGCCTTATTTGAGGTCAGAAGCCTGCCTATTGATCTGTCAAACTTAGCAGGGGGATCGAATTGGAGGCTGCACGAGATAGTGGCTTGCTTGAGCAGCTAAGTGAATTTGCAGCTTGTCGCTGTGTGGATGAATGTGCTCTTGTGAATAAAATAAAATTTTATTCATGAATGAAAAGGAGAAAAAAAGTGGGCCCTACAAGGCTACTCCCTGAAGTCTTAAACCAGCCATAACTGGGTCTGCACCACTATGGATTGACGGCAGAGAGGCTTCAAAAGTCACAGATTCTTTGTATTGATCAATGGTTGTGCAGATCGAGGGCCCGCACTCTGAGCCCCTTCTCACCTCTCTTCCCCCTGCAGAGATCTACCGCATCGTGTCCCAGAAGCAGATTGCAGACCGGTCCGCCCACGACGAGTCCCCTGGCAACAACGTGGTGGACATCAGCGTACCCCCTACCACCGACGGACAGAAATCGAACAAACTCCAGTGTTGCCAGAACCTGTGACCTAACCGGGGGGCCGCCTCTTCCCACTTCTCTCCTGGCCTGTGCTGCTTTCCCTTGGAAACTTCTGTGTGTGTGTGCGCGCGCGTGTGTGGGTGTATGTGTGCACTCCTCGTTCCCCCTCCCTCCTTCCTCCTCCCTGCCTTTCCATCCTAGAGCATTATCGGTAGGGCTGACCTCCCTTTCCCCTCTTGAGTCCTTTTGGCTCCTTTTTTTTTTTTTTTTTTTTTGGTTTATTGCCGTGTTCCTGAATAATAATGGATGCTAATTGCGGGTGAGAGGCTTGTTGTTAATGGTGGGTTTGAGTTCCTCTTTCTGTGCATCTCACTTGTAAGAAAGGGGCAGGGTTTTTTTTAATCCTCAAGAGCAGATGAAACAACTGTCCATGGTGGGAAGTCAGGAAAGAGGCTTAGCTTTTGTTTAGGCCAGTGTTGAGCCATTCTACGGCCATCAGAGAAATCTGTTAAACCGAGAATGTGTCCCCACTTTGGGCTTATAGGAATTGTGTCCTTGGGGTCCTGGTTTCTTGTTCTCGCATGCCCATGCATGTTTAGAATCTGTTGAGGAGAACTTTCCCTTTGTAACTTTTTTTCTTGTCATTTTTGCCTCTTTCTCCCCTGGGATCCACGGTCGGCCTGGCCAGGCTGTTCTCAATCCTTTCTCTCCGACGAGTGTTTTATTCCTTCCTTTTCTTTTTAAAAACTCTCCTTCAGTTTGGGAACAATGAAGTATGCCTGTCTGTGTGTGTTGTGTGTTGTTCTCCACCCTTCACAAACTGCCAGTGTAGCTGCAGGTGGGCCACGTGAAGTGGCGCTTAGTGGTTTATTTCTGGCTTCCCGTCGCTCAGACTAAGATAGATTGAGGTGCCACTTTCATGGCTTCTGGCACTCTGTAGAAAAAAAAATACCCACCCATCTTCTTTTCTGTACTATAAAGAAATCTTTTCTTCCTCGAGGCATCCCTCTTCCCCCACTCCTCCCGGGTTCTGTCCCTTGCACGTTGCTTCATCTCCCGGTCTCTCTTCTCCCCATGGGAAAAAAAAAACACCTCTCTCCCCATCTTGGAGTGAGTGCGAAGCAATATTTTTCATGCTCTGTACATAACTCGCACTGGTAAGGTTATTTGAATGAAATAATAGTAGACAACCAGATACTTGACAATGCTTTTTGTAACACTTGAGCATAACCATCGCTTTTCAGATTTTTAATTTTTTTTATTTTGCCTCATTATCAGTCATTTGCTTTTAATTTTTGCTTCTCTAACTGCAAGCAAGCTTCCTCTGCTTAATCTTCTATGCCTTCTCCTCCCCTGTGCTTTTATTTTTTTTCTTGTTCTGCTTGTGAGTTTGCTATTATTTTTCTTTTGTACAACTCTTGTCACAGAAATCTAATCATCTGCAGGGCTAAAACACCATGCAAAAATTTAACAAGGTTGTCCAGAAGAGATTTAGGGCTTTTGGTTGCTGTTCTTGTGGCTGGGTCCCCGAAGCCATCCAATCATCAAGAGGGAAAGGTCTTGGTGGCCATTATTCTCTTCACTTGCAGTGGGGAAAATAATGTTTCATTGCGAGGTCTGGGATCATGCTGTGATTTTTTTTTAAGTTTAAAAAGCTGAAACTTGTTTCATAGATTCTGCCCCATTTGGTTATGGGTGGCGGTAGCAGTTGTAGTCTTCACTGGGTGAAAATGTTTCAAAGGTTGGTTCTCTCCCTTGCTCCTCTAAACGCTTGTCTGGGATCTCGTACATGTGACGGTCTTGCAGGCAGTGCATCAAAACAGAAACGCGAAACGGTTGGTCCAACTGGCTGCTTTCTGTCATTGCCAGGTCTGGTCAGTTGCACCCCTCGGTGCCTCCCTGCTTTTATCCTGGAGTTTTCTAGAACCGGATCCCACCTCTCTGCCTGGGAGTTGAAGTCATCCGCCTGAAAGGCCTGGCCTTTGAGCCACCAGAGAGAACTGCTGGGCACTGTCTGAAGCTGTTTTTTTTTTTCTTTTTCCCCTCCCCGCTTCATCTCTGGGTGAAAAATTGGAATGCATTTTCCCCCTGGCAAGCTCTTGACACCTTCCTAAGCCTTGCCTCAGCGTGATCAGCAGTGGTCCATTTCAATTTTGAAAAACGGTCCTCGGATCGCTCTTAGGGAAGCACAGATGTTTTGGGCTCTTCACGCAGCCCCCCCCCCCTCTGTCTTACTAATTTCTGTTTGAGGGGCTGACTCCTTCCCGCCCCCCCCGGCCTCCTCTTGCCCTTAGTTGCCAATGCAGCCCTCCTAATAGAAAATTTCCACATTAACGAGCGGAGGGCATCCACCGGGGAGTGCCCACCCCACCTTGGGAGTGTTGCCCCGACCAGCGGTTTCGAGATGATCCAAAGGACCTGGGGTTACCGGTTCTCCTCTCCCTGGAGAGTTCAAGACCTCATTGAACAAAGAGACGGGTGTTGAGCCCTTCAAGGTGTTCGTATTCATTGAGACACCAGACTCCACCTTGAGCCGAAACGCCGGCGTGTCTTGCCCTTTCCTTGCTTTGGATATCCAGGTAGCGCTTTTGGAGAAGGAGGCAGACCTTCAAATCCTGAGCAGCTGCAAGAGAGACGTCAAACTTCCTGTTGAGACACTACAAGTTCCTTTTTTAAAAGCCACAACTCTGTTATTTGGGTTTGGGGTTTTTCTCCCCCCACAACCCCGGTGTTGCAGGCAAGCAGTCCAGCTGAGACCTTGGCTTTTCCATCTTAGGATTCTTCCCCCGTTCTCTTCTTTAACTCATGCAAGTCGCTTGTCTTGCTGAGCATCTGACTAGGGGGAAATTAAGGAAAAAAGTCTCTCTGGTTTCTCCAACTTGAGATCCAGGGGGACTTGTGTCCTCTTTTTATTATCTTGGTGAAAGCCCACAGCAGGTTCAATGCAGCCCTGGCAGGCTCTCTCCCAGCCATAGGCTCTCCCCGCAGGCTTCTCTTTCTCTCTTTCCAGAGCAAATGTGAGTCGCCGGATGGCTATTGAGTTGGCCGCCCTGTTGTCTTCTTTTTGTTCTATGGAAGGTGTGTGTTTGGGGGGGAGGAAAGGCCCACCTGTCCCATCAATTCGGATCCTGCTAATGCTTCTTCTGTTAAGTGCAATTCCCCCCTTGTAAATACTCGACTTTGGTTTTGTGCATGGTTATGGTGTATTGTATGGTTATATAAAGATTGCCCAAACCAAAAGCTGTTGTTTTGTGTTCCTGTGCACCCCTGAGTTTTTCTAAAATGGGGAAACCAAGCTTGGGGAAGTGGGGGCGGTCTGCAGGTCCATAAGGAAGAGGGGCAGTTGGACACTTTTCTAAAAAGAAAAGATTAAGTTAAAACTGCACGAAGGATTTTATCCAGTTTAAGCCCTCAACGGGGGAGGTGCCTTAATTCCCCAAGTTACCAGGATTTTAAAGGTCCTGCTTCAGTTGGGAGGGAAAAAATTCTGGATTTAGCCTAAGGGAGGAGCGACTAAAGTCTGGATTTCCAAAAGTGAGTTTTTATCTCCTGAGCTGCCTCGTGTGTGCGTGTTTCTTTTTTTAACAGGCACAAAATGATGAATTGCAGCTCCTTTAAAACTATGGAAGGGCAAGTTCCCCTCCGGAACCATTTAACACCTACAAAATAATCAGTTTTTGAAAACAGGAACTCTGCTTGTAGCCACCTCTGCTAGCTGGAGAGTTTTTAATCCTCTGGCACCAAACCTTTTCCAGGCCAAAGAACCAACACTTCCTTAAGCCTTGCCAATTCTCCTTCAAAGTATTGACTGAATGATTTCTATATAGCTTTGCAAACAGGGTGGAGAGCCACGAGCCACAGATAGGCGGCTGTCCGGATCAAGATGGAACCGGGCGTTGGGAGTTTGTACGATCTGAAACCAAGATGGGATTCCCTGAGCCCTCAAAATCCCTGTTGATGAACCAACCTTTCAGCCCCAAATGAATTACAGCCGCTGCCAGAGCCCCCCCCCCCAGGTTTGTCCCGCTTTGGTGTAACGTACAGAAAGCGTGCCAACAAAAGTCCAAATAATCAAAGCTATGGTTTTTCCTGTCGTGATGTATGGAAGTGAGAGCTGGACCATAAAGCAGACCACCGAAGAATTGCTGCTTTTGAATTGTGGTGCTGGAGGAGGCTCTTGAGAGTCCCCTGGACTGCAAGGAGAACAAACCTATCAATTCTAAAGGAAATCAACCCTGAGTGCTCACTGGAAAGACAGATCTTGAAGCTGAGGCTCCAATCCTTTGGCCATCTCATGAGAAGAGAAGGCTCCTTGGAAAAGACCTTGATGTTAGGAAAGTGTGAAGGCAAGAGGAGAAGGGGACGACCGAGGATGAGATGTCTGGACAGGGTCATCAAAGCAACCAACATGACTTTGACACAACTCTGGGAGGCAGTGGAAGATAGGAGGGCCTGGTGTGCTCTGGTCCTTGGGGTCACGAAGAGTCGGACACGACTAAACGACGACGACAGAAAGCGTGTGTGGCTATTGATCAGTGGTTGGAACAGGCAACCTGCTGGCTCTGAAACCCTTTTTTCCATCCCAACTCTAAGCAACCACAGACATCTGGATGGCTCAGGGGGTTTTGGTCGCTGGCTGCAGAGCCAGAGGTTGGAGGAGCAAATCCACCACTGGGCCTCCATGATCCTTCCATATCTAAGCTGATGAGGATGATCAGGGAAGATGGGTGTTGTAGTCCCAACTGATTGGAGGGTCGCAGGTTGAATGGAAAAGAGCAATGTGTCCTTTTTTTGTTGCTAATTTTGAAACCTAGCTAAAGTTCTGAACCTCTCTCTGCATGATTTACTGAGATTCATTTAAAAACATATATTTTAAACAATAATTTCTTAAAAATAAAATTTATTTTTACATAAATAAGTTGGGCAAGGTGGGTTTAAACTCGGCAAGGCTTAACGGGTCTTCGCTTTCATTGAGATCTTCTTTAATACGTGTTTTCTTTGTTGCCAATATCAAAAAAAGGGATATTTTGTTAAAAACCCCGTCGGCCGACAGACAACCGGAAATGTGAAGCTAAGGTGCCCTGTTTTCCCTGTTGCTTCTCTTTTTTCCCAAAGGGGCGTGGCTCTGCTCGTGAAGACTCCGCCCACTTCTCCCTCCCTCTCCCGTCTGGGGTCCAAACTGCGGATTGGCCGGCCGACCGGCCGGGGACCGTTACGGCCCAGTCCCCGGCCTGCGCCTGCGCCAATGCGCCGCTCTGTCCACTTCCCACCGCCCCCCTTAAAGAGGGGCGGTCGCTTCTCCCCCAACAGGGACACCCATTGGCACTAGGCTGAGTCAACCAAAGGACTCCGGGCACCGATTGGTTAGACGCAGGGCGAAGGGGCGGGCTCGAGGCGTCCAGTCAGGTGCGCAGCTTCCGCGGACGACGGAGGAGGAGGCGGCGGCGGTGGCGGCCGGAGGAGCGGCCTCCATCCCGGGGCTCCTACCGTCCCCACCACCCTGGAGGCATGGGGCGGACCAGGCCCCGGCCCTGAGGGAAACGGCGGAGAAGCGGACGGACGGAAGGGCGGGGCGCTGGCGGAAGGGGCGGGGCACAGGTAGGGAGACGGGGGCGGGGCCTGGTGTTGAATGACAGCCACTTCAGACATCGACGGGAGGGCGGGGCTCGTTGAGAACCCGGGAGGGGGCGGGGCTTCGGCTGAGCCGCTCACCTGGGCGCAGGTAGGGGGAGGAGGGGCGCCTCTTCTGGGGTGTGTATATATGTGGGGGTCGGGGTCTGGTCCCTAATGCTCGCCCCCTCCAGGTGCCTCGACACGGGGGACTACAAAGCCCACCATCCCCACCCACTCTCTTAGGCTCTTGGGGGGAGGTTGTCAGCCCCCCCTAAGCTCCACTAGAGCAAGTAGACAAGGGGTGGGCTTTTTACGTTTTCTTCTGACATCATCATAATGATGCCTGCGGTTGCCCTATGGAACTCACTGCCACAGGGTGGCGGTTGTAGTTAGTGGCTAGGCTGCAACAAAGTAGGAGGAGCCCATAAATTCATGGAGGACAAGGTGGTGTCACTGGTCCCATCCCTGGCTCTCCTCGTTTGATGTTATTCTTCATCATTATCATCCTCTTAGAGCTGGAAGGGACTCTGTGGTTCATGGGAGCCCTGCCCCTCTCCGGGAGGCCCAAAGAAGGAATCGAACTCCCAACCTCTGGTTCTGCAGCCGGAGACATAAACCCACCCATCCCAGCAATTCAGAACGATCATCTCCGGACTCCGCTCTCTTGCACCCCAGCTGGCCCGGGACTCGAGCCTCCGGTCCTTTTTTCCCTCCCTTCCAGGCCTTGCCATGCCTCTGCCTTTGAGTTGTTGAGGCCAGTGGGCGCCCTCTCGCCACCGCCATGACCACCGGCGACTGCTGCCACCTCCCGGGTTCCCTGTGCGACTGCCCGGGCAGCGCTGCCTTATCCAAGTCGGTGGAAGAAGCTGACCTCGGGCGGCCCCAATATGTCACCCAGGTCACCGCCAAGGACGGACGCCTGCTCTCGACCGTCATCAAAGCCCTGGGGACGCAGAGGTAAGCGGGAGACGGGCCAATGGCCGTCCCGGACTGAGGACAGCTCCGGAGCTAGCCTGCACCAATGCTGTGATGAGCAGCGGCTGTTCTTTTCTCGCCCTCCTGGGTTTCCCTAAAGCAAACTGCAATAGCGTAGTGTCCTTTGACAACCTATTAAAAGCAACTTTTAAAAAGCCAGGCTTTAAAATGAGTCTTTAAAACAAACAGATGCTTGTCCAGAACTATTTTATTTTGGCTTCCCACCCAAATCTCAGCTGGGACCCAGCCCGCCTGATCTCTCTTGGGAGGGAGCGACAGAGCTGAGGAGCTGCTACAGAAGAATTTCTCCCCCCCCATGTTCTCCCCAGCCTGGGACATGCACAGAGGTTTCTTCCACTGAAGATGGCGGGGACGCCCTTGTGATGGGAGATGGTCCTTTAGGCCCCGGGCCCCAAACTCTGTAGGATTTTCCAAAATCAGCAAGGAGGGCAACCTATGGAGCCCCAAGCTGTTCAGTCACAATTCCCAGCCTTCCTTCTTATTAGCTTTTTTGTTAAGGCTGATGGGAGTTGCTCCCCCAATCCCATTTGGCAGGCTGCTGTGACTCACCCTGAGATAGAGAATCCCACTTTTTTCCTTTGTTGCTCCCCTAAAAGTCTTCTGCCTTTGAGGTGATCTTGCTAACGTCCAGTCCAAATCCACCTTTCTTGCAATCGGAATCCACTGGTTCAGCTCAATTCTCCCAGAATCGGTTGCCCCTTCACGTCTCCTCCTCCTTCTCCCTTCCAGTGATGGTCCCATCTGCCGGATCTGCCACGAAGGGGGGAGTGGCGAGGGCCTGCTCTCGCCCTGCGACTGCACGGGCACCTTGGGGGCCGTCCACAAGAGCTGCCTGGAGAAATGGCTCTCCTCCTCCAACACAAGCTACTGTGAGCTTTGCCACACCGAGTTTGTCATCGAGCGGCGGCCACGGCCCCTGACGGAGGTGGGTGTTTCCGCGGCCTGGCTTCCCCCGGGGAGGAGAGGAGAAGAGACAGCAGGTAGCCGGGTCCAGTAAGCAGCCAACTTTCTCAGCCCTGCTGCAGGCTTCCCAAAAATACACATTTTGTACACTGGGGTTAGTTGCGGAGTTATGTACGTGGTTCGTCGCTCTTTCGGCAACCCTGCACAGTAGGTGTGGAGTTTTATGCAGTCGTGCACTGCTGTCACCTCGGAGGGGCTCCTCTCTCCCCGGGAGGATGGGGGTGTGGGCTTGGCGCTGTCGGTCTCTCCGCACATATTTGGTCTCCAGCCCCACCAGCTCCATTGGGCTAGAGCAGACAGAGGCCCAGTCAGAGCACAGTCTGAGGGCCACGTTTAACTTATCACTCCTGAGATTTTCTGAGCTCTCACTCCACCTCTCGGTTGTTCAGTGCCGTTCATTCTCTTTGACTCCCATTCGCCAGCCTTCTTGCTGAAGGCTGGTTGAAACAGGGTAGGGTTTTTCTCCCCCCCCTCCACGTGGAGGGAACCACCTAGAGGTGATGAGTTTAGGAGGAACAGACTGACTGCATCGTCTGGAAAAGGAGGGTCAGCAGCACGAGTGAGCCAGAACAGCTGAGAGTTGCACGGCCCTTTAACGATTGGCAGGTTTCCCTGGGCAGAAAGGAGGTGGTTTCCATGGGCCGCCGTGCTATCCGTTCGGTCAGAGGTCTGGGGGTACAATCTGAAGGAGCCGTTCCACGAAAACGCAGGCCGGAAAAAGCTTGTAAGCTTCCACCACGCCCGGAGGCTCCCTGATAATCTTGCTGAAGCAGACACACGTTGCCAGGACTGAGTGTTGTGTTTTCTTTCTTTCTTCTAAATGACCTCCCGCTCTCCGGCTGCCTCCCCCCACACCCATTCTCTTACCACAGTGGCTGAAGGACCCTGGCCCACGCAATGAGAAGCGGACTCTTTTCTGTGACATGGTATGTTTCCTTTTCATCACTCCGTTGGCCGCCATCTCCGGCTGGCTCTGCCTTCGAGGGGCCCAAGACCACCTGCAGTTCAACAGCCGCCTGGAGGCCATTGGGCTGATCGCCCTCACCATAGCACTTTTCACCATCTATGTCCTCTGGACGCTGGTGAGTGACTTGGGCCGTTTCTGCTCAGGGTGGTGGTGGTTGTCCCTTGCGGCGGGGGGGGGAGCAGTCTGTCCTTTGTAAACTGATGTTTCCTCAGAGGCTTTGCAGAGCAAGGGGGTCCGGCATCGGCAACCCCTGCTGTCTCGCAAGAAGATGGGGACAGCGAGGAGAATCTCAGGTTCCGGCCCGACGCCTTCTTTTTCTCCTTCCCCAGGTGTCATTCCGCTATCACTGCCAGCTCTACTCCGAGTGGCGAAGGACCAATCAAAAAGTCCGCCTGATGATCCCGGACGCCAAGCACCCCCCGCACCCCATTCCGCACTCCTTGCTCTCCGCTAAGCTCCTCAAAAAGAAAGCCGACGAGACGACGGTATGAGCCAGGGAGGGAGGACCCCACCCCCTTGGCGCCAGGGGGGCCGGGAGAGCCGGGTAGCACTTTTCTTTTTTCCCCCAGGTGGTGTTGGCACCCACAAAGACTCTCTGAAACAATCAAGCCAGTGGGAGGGGGCGCTTGCTGCTGGCGCCTCCCCTCCGTCCGGCAAGACCATGGAAAGACAACCAAGCCCCGGGTGCGTGCAATGAGCCCGGGCCACGGCGCACCAAGGGACCGTCTGCTGTTGGCCAAGGCTCCAACCTCAAGTTACAAGACGCAGCAAGGGGGTGGGGACGAAAGCCTTTCTGTCTATATTCATATAACTCTATATTATCCTAATTATTGATGTAATTATAATTTTATTCCTGTTCTTAATTTTCAATATCCCCCCCCCCCCGCTTTTTCTTCTTTTTCAGCATTCAGGTCCCTAAAGGGGTCCCAGGTATTCCCCCAGGTAGAGACGGCAGGCAAGCTGTGTCCACACCTCTTGCCTTTAGTCATATTTCCTTGTGTCCGTTTAACATCCAGGGGAAAAATCGAGGTTGCTGTGGTAGGGAGGGAAGGGCCTTCCTTTGGAAACTGTGAAACGGGTGGGGCAGTTGCAGTTGTGGGGGGGGGAGGAAAAAAATACAGAAAAATCCCACTGTGACTTCCTTAATCTCTCCACACAGCCCGCGGATTTATCCCTTGTCTGATTACATTCTGGGAACATAATTGGTGCTTTTATAAAGAATTCGGGAGCACAGGGAAAAGTTTACTCTCCCCCTTCCCATCCTCTTTCCGCCCTTATTCAAACGCCTCACAACCCTTTCCCTCTTTTTGCACTACATGGAATATTTTGTGGGAAGAGCCAGGAGCTGTCTGGCTCCCCTCCTCATTCCCCGCCTGGCCCCCACGTCCTTTGTTTTTGTCTGTGATGTTGCTCTCTCCAGTTTAGAGGGTTCTGTGCATTTGAGAATGGGTTTGAAGTATAATAAATAATCCCAGGAGGAGTAAAAACAAAGAAAAAAAAACCTGTAATGTTGAACTGGAGGTTTGGTTTTCTTAAAAATAAATAAATGCTGTAACCACGTGGTCGTTTGTTCATTAGTTTTGTTTTGTTTTGGCCAGCTTTCCCGAGGTGGCTTTTGGTTTTCTCACTTTCCGTTAACCAGTGTAAAACCTTCAAAAAGTGGCTAGTTTTGGATTACAGCCAGCCCTGGAGGATTCCAAGAGTTGTGCTTTTTTTAAAAAAGGCAACTTTCACGTACAGTGGTACCTCAACTTGAGAACACCCCTACATAAGAACGATTTGAGTTAAGAACGGCTGTTTGCAAAAAGTTGCTTCCGCTTGAGAACAGAGCCTTGACTTAAGAACCAAAAAAAGAGAGGAAAAAAACTTTCCTGACCTTTTTTTGACATACGTTCACCTTAGGTCAAAAGAAGAATTTTTTTAAAAAAATTCGCCCCCTAGTAGTAGATACGGATTAACCGGCTTTGCATTAGTTCCTATGGGAACTAATGCTTCGACTTAAGAACAGCGCCTCAACTTAAGAACGAAAAACAGCAGATATGGATTAAATGGTTTTCAATGCATTCCTATGGGAAATGGTGCTTTGACTTAATGTTTTGACTTAAGAACGCAGTCCAAATACAGATTAAGTTCTTAAGTTGAGGTACCACTGTATTCTGATCCCCACCTGCTTTTCTTTCTTTGTTGTTCTGAACACTGGTGAGGATCAGAAATGCACTAAAAGGCTTGCTGGATAGAGTGGCTTTTTCTCACAGGGCCTGGCATGGGCATTGTAGGGGTAAGAAGAAGTGATGTTCCTTTCTAGACAGGCTCCTACCCCATGAACTGTAGGAATGTTGGGGATAAAGCATATGAAAAATGTCCATGACAAGTATCAATCCCATCCTGTCTTCTTTCGTTTCTTTAGAAACACATTGTCAAGCATTGACTTCCTTTTTGGTTAACAGGTGCTTGTATGTGTGTGTCCCCTTCTGCAATTCCCTTCACCTTATGTATTATTTTATTTCTATCTATATCTTAAAATTTCATTTCTTCCCATTATGAGACCCCAAATGATTGCAAATTATTGAAAACAAACTTGCTAAAACTGGAACAACTTAGTACATTGGGAAAAAAACTAAACATATCCTGTGCTTTTCCAAAGGAAAGAACGAAAACTATATTTTATCAGCAAAGAAAACGAATGTTAACCAATTATAAAAGACGCAACTATCGAGAATGGTAGAATTTAATTCTAAAAGCGTACTAAGAGTGAGCGGACCTAGGAGATAGAGCAGCGTTTTCCGGGGGGGAATGGATAAGCTGGGACACAGTCATATCGGCTTTGAAGCGGAAGTCAGCATGGTGGCGCCGCTCTATCATTTCTCTCGGGTGGGAGCCCCGAAAGTGGAGAAGGAGAGAGAGGAGGCCGAGCGAGGTTTGGGAGTGCGGCTACTTCCCTCTTCTTTCTCCTGATTGGCCAGGAGAGAGTCCGTTAGAAGAAGGCGGGGCGAAGGGGTCGAGCGCGCAGGCGCAGAACTCCGGCGGGCCTGAGGAGAACAAAATGGCGTCTGAGGTGGCGGCTACGGCGCCCGTCTTGTCCGGTCTGGAGAGCGGGCCCAAAATGGCCGAGCCTGGCGGCGGGATGATGATGGCGGCAGGCGGCGGAGCGCCGAACGGGGCTGGCAATGGAGGCGACGGGCTCCCCAAGAGGTGAGGCCGCGGAGGCGCGTTCACATGTGGGAGGGTAACGGGGGCGCTCCTCGGCCTCTCCTCCGTGGGAGCGCGCCTCTCCTCCGGCTCCCTCCGTGGAGGGCGTTGGGCCCCGCGTTCCCAACCGGGCGCTTCACCGTTGGGTCCGTTACTAAAGTAATTCGTTAACGTTACTCGTTCGAAGAGAAGGAATGGGCCCCGTTTCTTTCCCCTTTAGACAGATAAGTATTCCCAGAGGTTTGGTTTAGTATCTGAAGCGTTTCAGGAGATTCGTGCGTTGGAGGGGTTTTAAGTCGTTATCGTTACTTAAGCAGGCGTTGCTTTAAAGAAACGACACATTTTATTTGGAACGACGACGTTTTTAGTAAAAATGATTCAGGTATTCAAGGTTATTGGATTGCTTTGGGCAGCCCATTTTAAAGTGACTTTTTTTTTACTCATTCGTTGGATGGTAATTCGTTACCAGCAGGGGCTGCCAGGGCTTCTCCGCCCCAGGGAGCCTTTTCTATATAGGAGGGCAAGGTAATTAATTCAACAGGAACTGGCCAGAAATAGCTGGTGAAGTTCCTTTTTTAAAATAAAAAAAAAAAAATCAAGAAACGGTATCATCTTTTGGAAGGTGATAACGGGGGGGGGGGAATGAGACATAGATATCGACACCGAGGTCTGGAGTTCGAGGTTGTCTGTAGAAAAGCAAGGTGGGATTTCTATCATGATTTAAAATTTAAAATCCAATTTTTTATGATTAAAAAAATCAATTAAAAATTTAAGTCATTATTGAAATTGATTTTTTAAAAAGGAAAAATATTTGGTTTTTATCTATTCTGTAAGCCCATATGTCTCATCATAAGCAGGCCTTATATCAAGTGGTTGGATTACAAAGGAAAGATTTCTGTGTATATTCTCTGTAAAGAGGATATATCAGGCAAAATCCAAAGAAACACTACAAAATAAAAAAATACAGAAACAGGTAGTACCTTTAAGACTATTATACTTTAATGTGAGCTTTTGTGGACTTTGTCAGACATAGGGGGAAACAATGAGATGCTGGATGAAGTGATACTACTTGGGTGAAACATGCTAAATATCCCATTGAAGTAAAAAACAACTGTGTGGTCATAACAAAATAATATCCAAATTCAAGAATTTTTATAGACCACTTAAAAAAATCATCACTCACTAAATGAGCTTCAGTGTGATTTGTAAAGCTTGTTTTCTGCTGTGTGGTGAATTTTTGGGTGGCCTATAAAGGTATCGCCTATTTTTGCATTTGGATTTTAGGTTAAATATTTGTGGGCACTAAGAGTTTTTTTTCCTCCCCTGAATTGGGTATTTGGTGATTTATGACCTGTATGTGTTTTAGGCTGTAAACATTCCCTCATGACAGGCATGAGCAAAAAGGCAGTGGGAAGAGGAGGGAAGGGGGAAGACTGTTAAAAGCTCAAAAGTGGGGTGGGTGGGAACAGTGTAAAAGAAGAGAGTAAAGGAACCACATGCGTTAATGTAGGGAATACAGTGGTGCCTCGCTTAACGGACGCTCTGTTTAGTGATGAAACCGCATAGCGACGAACTTTTTGCGATCGCATTGCAATGTTTCCTATGCGGTTTTTTCGCTTTGCGATGATCGGTTCCCTGTTTCGCTTACAGATCATCGCAAAGCGATGATTTTTAAACAGCTGATCGGCGGTTCAAAAATGGCCGCCGGGTTAAAAAGATGGCCTCCCGCTGTGTTTAGGGACGGATTCCTCGCACAAGAGGCAGCAAAAATGGGCGGCGTATGGAGGATCTTCGCTTTAAGGTGAGTTTGAAGCCCATAGGAACGCATTAAACAGGTTTTAATGCGTTTCTATGGGCTTTTAAAAATCGCATATCGACAAAATCGCTTAGCAGCGATTTTTGCTGCGGATTAATGTCTCTATGCAAGGCACCACTGTATTGACCGTTTTTAATCTTTGAGCCTCGTGATGAGAGATGGGCCTGGTAGTAGTGAAGAAAATAACAGTGGCAGTAAATGGACAGCAGAAGTATTACATTTGGTAATGGCTAGAGAGCATGTTTTGCTTTGTGGAAGACACCAGTGCCGGTGTTTTCCTTTTTCCCACTTGTTGCAGGAGAAGAATATAGGATAGAAATTGCAGAACTGGGAATCAAGGATCCTAGTGAACAGCTTGTTGGGGGGAGATGACCATTCAGAATTCTGGTTTCTCACTGGCTACATTGTTGGTAGCCTGGGTTTTCCAGGCTTAACAGAGGAAGGAAGGATGGATCGACAGATCCGGAGTTTATTAACTATTACAGCAATAAGTCAGCCATGTTTGATACTAAAACGAAAAGAAAGCAGCAAAACGTCTAGCGTTTGCCATATATACAAATCAGACTGGAAACCAGATTACGGTTCAATGATTTCAGTATCTGGTTTTCCTACCGTATAAGCCGCTGCCCAGAACTGTGCTGGAATCTTTTGAGTTTGAGGGCTCTGGGTGTGACTCTCGCCTGCTTCTCTCCTTTGCAGTGAAGGTGAGCGCTCGAGCCAGAACGAGAAAAGGAAGGAGAAGAACGCCAAGCGTGGAGGAGGGAGCCGTTTTGAGCCCTACGCCAGCCCTTCGAAGCGGTACCGGGCCTTCATCACCAACATCCCCTTTGATGTCAAGTGGCAGTACCTCAAAGATCTGGTGAAAGAGAAAGGTAAACGCCTCCTGCCTGGGGGAGGCCCTGAGCAGCACCTGCCCTTCCCTCCCGGAGACCCAATATATTTTTTCTCTCTCTTGCCCTAAAGGCAGGTAATGTGCCTCGAGGTGATTCTGGGTAGCTTCAGACGAGGTTCAAGCAGCCATGGTTTTTCACGGCTCGGCCCTCCTGGTTTTGCGTGGGAACTGCGGTGCCCCTTCCCCCATGGAGGAGCGCTTCTTTTGGTGGCCGACGTGTGGCCGTGGCCAGTCAAACCTCCGATCAAATTCGCCTTTTTTGGTCTCTTGGGAGAGGCGAGACTTTTTTTTCATCAGGGATGTGGCTTGAGCTGTCTTCGTGTAGCTACGCCTATCTGAGTAAGGGTTTAATTAGAAACTCTTTTGAAGCTTTTCAGAGTTGCCCAGTGGCTGCTGAGAAAGGAGAGCAGCCGTGCACGGTCAACGTAATCGGGCTTTTGTTGTGGAATAACCCGAGGCTGTTTTAAGAGAGTGAGCTTACCAGGAAGACAAGCTGCATTGAAACGTGCCTCCACCTTTTTAAAGATCCGGCAATGGGATGACTTTTCCCTGCTTTGTGAAAAGGCCAGTCTGTCATTTGGCCATCATCAGTAGCCTGTGCTTTCTCTCTCTCCCCCCCCCCCAACAGCCAGGAGCTGGATATGCAAATTTGGACTGAGTCAAGCCATCTCTTTTGTGCCTGGAATAATGAGCCCTGCGGCACCTGTGTTGGCTAGAAATAATTAAATAGCCGCCTGTCTTCCTGGAGAGAAAGTCTCTTGAAACGTGCCGGCTGGGAAAGAAAATTGAGAGGGGCCACTTGCTTTGAAGCTTGGGGTCCAGTTTGCACCTGTGGCTGAGAGCGGAGCATGAACTCTTAACATGCTGGAGTGCCTAAGGGAAGCAGAGACGACTGCACGGCTCCACCCGGGGCCTGTGTGGATCATTCGTAATTTAAATGCACGAACGCTTCCGAGTTGCCTTAAATTACGAATGGGGTGTTGTTTTTTGGAGCGCGGCCGTTCTGGACCTTAACGCTGCGTGTGAAATATTGTCGCAGAGGAGGGTTTGTTCTCCTAGATTGTCCCTGCCAGCTGCCACAGTGAAGGTGGACCGAGGGTTTTCCGGCCTTCCAGTTCATGCGGGCGTAGGAGTCCCTCGTGGTCTGGAAGAGGAGCTTGTTTTCTCTGCTCAGCCGATCATCTCTGCAGGTGCTCCTGGGAGCAGCAACAACAACAAAAAGAGGAATCTCTCTTTTTTTGCAAAGAGAGTTTTGGTGTTTTTTACGTACAGGTCTTCTTGGGCTTTGTGATTGCAGCTCCGATTTTTTTGAGAAACTGGAAAAGCTGCTCTCTTCCCCCTGCTCCCCAGCTCCATCTGCCAAAATGATTGGTTAAGCCATCTAAGAGGACTTTATTTTAGAGGGCAAAGTTGTCATGGTTACACGGAGCAGGAGTGTGGCCCTGAAAAGGGAGAGAATTCAGAGTTTGATGTGTTAAAAAAATAGCAAGGCCTGGGATTCAGGTTTGGAAGCAGCTTGATGAATCTGAGAGGGCAAGCTGAGCTTCCATCCTTCAAAAGCATGGGATTACGTAAAGCCCTTAAATGATAGTAACTCTTCCAGAGGTGTCTTGGTGCCCAATAAGTATGGTTTGGGAGATTTAAGCTGAGTGGCCTGTTCAGATCTCTCCCTAGGTGTTTTTTGGACGACTCCCTGTGAAATATTCCCCATAGCGGCCTCCTTCGGTGAAGTCATTGCCGTTTTTATTATTTGTTGGTGATCCTTAAAAAGTTACAAACGTGCAGTACGTTTGCCCTGTAACTCACACCTTGAGAGCCAGCGTTGTTGATGTCCTTCCACCCAACCTCATCCAAATTGAAATAAATTAAATTAATAAAATAAAATACTGTACATTTAAAATAACATGTGCTTGAAAGCTTTAAGGCTTTATAATTGAGTGCTGCTCTGTCCAGAATACATCCTTTATGCCCGATCAGTTCAAGGCCCTTTTGGGGCCTGGAGTTAAGTCTTAAGGATTTAAACTGGGGTGATATGATTACTCTCCTGTAACTCATGGTGTTTCTCCCTCTTGGCTGGTTTGTCCAGCATCCCGAGGGCTATGCTGTGGCCTGTACTCAATTTAGGACACCTGATTGCGTGCTTCCGGTTCATAGTCTCTTCCTGTCTTTATTGCAAAACAGGCATCAAAGCAAAGGTCAGATGAAAATTCTGAATTTATCATCCACGTTTGTTGTTCTATAGCACGGACGGATGGAAATAAAAAAGAGCCCAAACCTGACATCCTAAGTTTTAAGAAAGTTTTAAGAAAATGTGTGTATGAGTATAAAAGCTTTTAAGGTGTGTGTTATCAGAGAGAACTTCATTCTGTAGAGGCAGCCTTGAAAATTTCACTGCCCTACTTAGGGGAGCCTTCCCACAGTGTCAGTCAGAGATGGGAATTAGGGCTCCTCCTTTCTAGGAGTGTCTAGTGTCCCCCTTGATCGTCGTCGACCAATTTGATCCTGAGGATTTGGCTCAAGACCTAAAGGGAGTGATCTGTGCCAGTTTCACTTCTCTTGTGGTTCCATCGGAGAATCTTGGAGAGCAGAGAGGAGCGGAAGCCACGTGTGCAATTAACACAGGGGCCGGTGGGGGGCAGAAAACACAGGTTAACTCTGGTTCGGCAAACGTACTGCACGGCTGTAAACACCCCCCCGGTTGTGGTGGACGAGCAAACACGGAGTGTCCCCAAGCTTTTTCTAATAAGGCAGAGGCTCCGTCTACGGTTGTTGACGCTTGTTCTAAATTCCCCTTGTTTTCTTGGCTTTTCTCCCTGGGTCTGTGTACCGCCTGGAATCTCTTTTGTAGTGGGTGAGATAACATACGTGCAGCTCTTAATGGACGCTGAAGGAAAGTCAAGGGTAAGTCTTTGAGAGCTTTTTTTCCCCCCCTCCTGTGGAGTTTTCTTTTCTTTTTAACTACATGAGAAATGTAACTGTGACAGTGGCGTGGAACTCCATGAATTTGGGAAGCCCTTAGTGTCTATGTAGCACAGCGGTTTGCTCGTTGGTGTTGCCTCTGAGCTGCTTGATGGTGGGCCAGGGTGGGGGGGGGAGGAGAAGATGATGCAGAGAGGGAGAGGATGTGGCCCAGTTGGCCCCCTCTGCTGTGCTCCTTTGGTGTTTGGCTGTATGCCTGAAGCATGGGTCCTTGTGTACTCGCCACCGGTATCTGAATGTCCAGAACCTTAGCTTAACTTTTTTTTCCCCCACCCCTCCCTGTGGTTCTCGTGGCTGACCTTCTTAAGCTTTGGTGTGGAGCAGAAGTTGTATCCCTGTCAGAATTCCATGGCAGTCTTTTTGTGTTTGGATGTGAACATCAGAAAATAGTAATAATAATAATGATAATAAATATATATAATTTAAAAGTAGAAATAGATGTTGTGGGCATCTGTGCTTTTTTCAAGTGAGAATCTTCCCTGCAGGGCAGTTTTTCCCCCCCTTCTTTCTTTTCCTCCTGGGACGGAGTGCCCTAAGGGTTTGATGTCAAGAAGGTGCCGAAAGGGTGGCGTCTCTCCGAGGAGTCTGTATTGCATGGGGCCTGCTTCTGTGTCAGTTCCGGGGCCACGTTAAGCGTAATGTCTGGAGTTCAGGGAGAAGCCTGTTGTGCTGCTGTTTAAACAGCAAACCAAGTGACGAATGGGCCGCCCTTTTAAATATATTTTGAAAGCCCCTCTTGTGTTTTGATCTTTTACTGATGTGTGTGTCTGTGTGCTTTTTTTTTTTAACTTCCGTCGCCGCCCTGCTCCTCTTGCCCGACGTGGGATCTTCACACACTCCAGGGATGCGCGTAAGTAGACGCTGGGGCTCAGCCTGTGCAACGGAGGGAGGGAGGTTAGGGTGCCCTTTGAGATCTGACTGGCCTCATGCGGTTTGCCCACAGGATCGTTGAATTCCAAATGGAGGAGAGCATGAAGAAGGCCGTGGAGGTCCTCAATAAGCACACGCTCAACGGCAGGCCTCTGAAAGTGAAGGAGGTAAACCTTCCGCTTGACACTTGGCTCTGGGGTGGGGAGGCAAGGCACAGCATTTGAGATCAACGGCCAGCCTCCAATTCTTATTAGCCCTTTCGCCCCCAGAGGCACGCTGGGTGTTGTAGTCCCTGCCCCAAGACTGTTGGAGATTCGTAGCTGGGGGCATATATGTTGTCTAAAAGGTACGCTCGCTGGCTTTGGAAGCGCCTGGTCTGATAATAAGCCGCCTGTTTTCTTTTGTTGTAGGATTCTGACGGGGAGCATGTCCGAAGAGCAGTCCAGAAGGCCATCGCTGCTTCGGGGGGTGGAGCAACGGGAGCCCCAGGGGGGCCCGGCATGGTCAGCATCCCGTCAAGCATCCTCAACAACCCCAACATCCCAAAGGAGATCATCCACGCCCTGCAGGCTGGCCGGCTGGGGAGCAAGGTCTTCGTGGCCAACGTAAGCTGGCTCCTGCCCCGAGTTGTGGGCAGCGTTTCTGAGAGGAACCCATTTCATTTATTTAGGAGGCTTTGTAGAGAGATTGAAAAACCAAGTCCTTACGAGCAGGCAGTCCGGCCCACACCCGGCACAAACTGTGCCAAAGTCTGTTCAGCCTGGGCTGTTTGTTCCAGCGCAGTACACACCTTGCACGGCAATCGTTTGTTAATCTCAGTGTTGGCTCCCCGTCGAGAGAGATCGTGGATAGCGCTGAATTGTCTTTTAGGTAGAACCTTTGCAAGATTCATTTCAGTTCTGGATAGTTGAATAGCTCAGGGGTTTAGGAGGTTGAGAGTTCGAATCCCCCAGTGGGCCTCCTTGACACAGCTTAGACAGGATGATCCAGAGGCTCCCTTCCTGCTCTGCCCTTCTAAGATAATTTTTATTAAGTTCTGTGAAAAAGCAGTTCTTTTACATTTGTCTGTTTGTTACGTATTCATCTTAGAAACATTGCAGCCGGGTGTCCCTCCCCCCCCCCGGGCTTTTTTTTAACGAATGCCATGGCGTCTGTTTCTATTTAGCTGGTTTATGAAGTCACATGGAAGAAGCTGAAGGAGGTGTTCAGCATGGCCGGGGTGGTCGTCCGGGCGGACATTCTGAAAGACAAAGACGGCAAAAGCCGGGGAATCGGCACCGTGATTTTCGAGCAGCCCATTGAAGCTGTCCAGGCGATCTGTATCCTTTCTCATTTACAAATTGTCAAGGGTTGTGTGTGTTTATAACAAATGGGGCTCATGAAGGGGAGGATCCCCGTGGGTCGCTGCCTGCTGAGATCCAGGCATCAGCCACAGTCTCTACGCTGTTGGGGAGGGGTCTGCCATCGTCTGTTCCTTTGTTGGACCTGCCCGTGCATGATTCTCCTTGACTTGAGCGCCAGCCATGTTTAACGGGCAGCTGCTCTTTGACCGGCTGATGCTTGTGAAGATGGTAAGGATCTGGGACCTTGAAGGGTTTCTTCTGTGCTTGCCTGCCTCGTGCTCTGTCCCCTTTTCCCCCAAACTGGGGCCACGTGTTGAAGAAACCTCTAGGGCACACTCTGTTGTTGTTGTTGTTGTATTTGTATTTTTGGGGGGGGGGAGGAATGTTGATATTTTAAAATGTTTTTGAATCCTGCCTAGTGTCTGTGTTTCCATAGAGGAAACTGTGTCTATTCTCTCCCTTTGGGGGAGAAAGGCAGCATAGAATCAAGTAAAATAAATCAGTTTGTCTTCTGATCTTTTAGGACGAGCGTGCTCTGCCCAAGGGGGAAGTCTTCCCTTCCGAGCGGCCCCAGCAGCTTCCCGGTAAGTCGCCTTATGAAATTACCGGGATGGCCTAGTGCTAAGACCTCATTAGAGCTGTGTTTCCCAGCGAAGCGCCCTTTGAAATGCCCTGGATCGGCTGCAGCGTCCAGGGCCGATGGGGGTTGGGATCCGAACATCCCAAGGCAGCCTTGTTAAGTTTTGGAGATAAAATTCAAAAAGTTTGCCTGAACGTGTTTTTCCAGATGGCCTCGGAGGCATCGGCATGGGGTTGGGGCCTGGAGGGATCCCGATTGATGCCAACCACCTGAACAAGGGACTGGGCATGGGTAACGTGGCCCCTGGAGGTGAGCCAATGCAGGGGGTGGGTGGATCTGGTCTCTTCTTGCACCCCCTGTGTTGATCCCCCTCCTTCCCCTCCAGTTTTTACTTTAAAAAGCCCCACACCCTTTGAGCCTACCTCAGAGGAGGGAGATTTTTGGGTTCCCTTGTGCTACAGAACACAGTACAAAGGTGAGAGCTTTCCTTTGATGTCTGGTTCTTATGTTCCGTTTTTTGTTCCAACCCACGTCCCTTTTCTTCCTCTAGGAATGGGCGTGAAAGGCTTGGGTTTAGGGATGAACAAAATGGGAGGTAAGTGGTCCAGCGGAAAAGGGGGAGGAATCCCCTCATATCCACAGATCCTAGAGATGGTTTAATTGGTAGAGATGAGGGCTTGTTACTTGAACTCTTATGTGGGACACCCAGACAGGTTGTCTAAGGCAGTGGTTCTTAACCTTTGTTACTCGGATGTTTTTGAACTGCAACTCCCAGAAACCCCAGCCAGCACAGTTGGTGGTGAAGGCTTCTGGGAGTTGCAGTCCAAAACTCCTGAGTAACCCAAGGTTAAGAACCAGTGGTCTAAGGTAGCAAGGAATTCCCAACAGGAGAGTGAGCAAACGGGGACAGTTTTTTCTGTGCTGGTCTCTTCGTTTTTGTGCTTGCACAGAGGAAAGTGGGGGTTCCCCTTCTCTCTCCCCCCCCCCTGCCTTTGCTCCACCAGCCTGCTGGGTTCCTTTAAGCTAGCTTGCTAAGCCATGCCTGCCGATCTGCATGGCTGGACAACTTTTGCACCTCAGTGCTCATTCAGAAGCCTCAGTCGGGCATTAGAAACAAGGCTCGGTATGCAAATCCCAGTTTTTTAATGAAATGAAAGGTCTTCCGCCCCACCTCACCACCAACCTTTTTTTTGGCAGACCCGGGCTTAAACCTTGAGGCCAGCTGTGAAATTGAAAAGGGGTGGGCCCTTCGTGTAGTTCCTTAAAACGGGTTTAAAAAAACACTGTTTTGATGCTAGGGCAATGGATAGATACAGTTAACAGCAATGTGAATTAAAACACGGTATGTAAAAAACTGGAATGCATTGTCGAGATAACAAAATTTGATGCCTTTGTTTCTTCCTGATTTCTCACCTCTCCAGGGATGGAGGGCCCTTTCGCTGGCATGGAGAACCTAGGCCGTTTCCCTTCGGGTATGAACCTTGGAAGCAGGATGAGTGGTGAGGATGTATAGCTTGGAGATGGCCCCCGCGCCCACACATGCCTGTTCCCCTGGGTTCCGCCTACAACTTAAACAGGAGGAGCAGGTTTAGGACAATGCTTAAAGAGTGCAAGAGGTTTCAGTATACCTAACGTAGCGTTCCTTAAACCAGCTGCATGAGACTCGGAAACAGTCTGAATTTGAACCGTCCTTGTTATAAGCAGACTCTCCGTCCACCCTTAAGTCCTCCAGCAGGTGTGACGTGCCTTTTATTCCCACTTCTAGAAGACCACCTGAGATCTAGTGTGCTTCTAGTTACATCAGACACTCTTATTTCTCCACGCTTCCTGTTTCTCTGCCTACTGGCAGGTGTCATTAATGCATGGCTTTCTGCTCAGGGTTTTCTGCCGTGCTTCTGATTGTCCTCATGTGTTTGTGGCGTGAACGAGAAGAAGGTTTGTCAACCTGCCTGTGGTTTTCTACCTGGGAGAAGTGCACCCTCCCCCCCAGCCAACCTGAGATCCAGGGCTTTTGGTCTGGAAGGGAAAGCTGATCCAGGGATTGTTAAACAGTCATTCTCAAGAATTAGAGGTTGCCTTTTCTGATGCGGTAACACAGGGAAGGAGTGAAGAGCGATACCCTTCTTTTTTGAAGTGAAACGTTCCTTTGGATCAAGCCATGCCAGTCTGTCTTGCTTCAGAGAAAGTCTTAAATTCTAAGCAGGGAAAGGGGCTGCCAGATTGATGTTTTCTGTGTTTAGGAAACATGTTTTCCCTCCTGTTTCTCTTTAAAAGACTTAAACTCGTCTCATTCTTTCTTTCCAGAAATGGACCGGGCCCTCGGAGGCGGCTTTGAGAGAGACTTCCCGCGAAACGAGATGGGAATGCCTCGTGGTTTTGGGGACGCCCTGGACAGAGGGATCGGTAATGAACAATCAATCACTTTTAAATCCCCGAATGCCTTCTTGGAGTTAAGATGGTTTTAAATGTTTACTTGCTTTTAGCAATTCACTCTCCTTTTAATTAGCACGTCGTTGAATTGTAATTTTCTCACTGACTGCGTTTTGGATTCTCTTTAATATTGTCGGCCACCTTGAGTCCCTTTTCAGGAGAAAGGCGGCATGTAAAGAAAGCAAATAAGCAAATAAATAAATGGCCCTTAAAAAATGGAGGATCTCTTTCAGCCCAGCCTGGGAAGGCATCTTCCTTTTGGGGCTGATCTTTGGTGGAGCGAGCATTTGTGCGTGGCCCGTCCTTGATTAAGACTGGAGTTTAATAGCAAAGCTTCAGCAGCTGGTGTGCACCCATCCTGGGTGGGTGGAGGAGGGGGCTGTTCCTTTCTCAGAGTCAGTCCGCCAGACCTTTCCAAGGCAGCAGTTTGAGGACTCGGGAGGGTGTCCTTCTGTTTCCTGCTTCTTACTGCCATTCCTTGTCTTTTTCCTCCAGGTGGTGGCGGTGCCACAGCCAGCCTCTCCGCCATGGACCGCATGGCCCCCGGGCTAGAGAGACTCCCCTCGGGGATGGGGCACGGGATGGAAAGGATGGGCTCAGAGATGGACCGGATGGGGCTGGTGCTAGGCCGCATGGGCTCTGGAGTGGATAGGATGGGGTCCGGGATGGAGCGGATGGCCCCCTTAGGGATCGACCACCTGGCCTCCAGCATCAATCGAATGGGCACTGGGATGGAAAGGGTGGGGGCCGGCCTTGGCCTCGACCGCATGGGCTCGGCCATGGACCGCGTGGGGGCTGCCATGGACCGCATGGGGGCCGGCGTCGACCGCATGGGAGCCGGCATGGACCGCATGGGGCTGGGCATGGACCGCATGGGGCTGGGCATGGACCGCATGGTCCCATCCAGCATGGGTCCCGTCATGGATAGGATGCCCGCGGGCCTGGACCGCATCGGGGCCGGCCCCCTCGACCGGATGGGGCTGGACCGCTTGGCGGCCACCAACATGGACCGGATGGGGCTGGAGCGCATGGGGGCGGTGGCGGTGGCCGCTGCGGCCGCTGCCACCAGCATGGAAAGGATGGGGCCCTCCATGGGGCAGGGCTTGGGGGCCGGGCTGGACCGGATGGGCCTGGCCATGGGGAGCACCTTTGATAGGAGCCTGGAGATGGAGCGGGGCAACTTCCCCGCTGGAAACTTTGCTGGGGGCCTCGGGGCGGGAGGACCAGTCGCCGCCCCGCCTGCTGCTGCACCAGCCTGGAAAGCCTGCCAGATTTTTGTGAGAAACGTAAGTGGAAGGGTGCGGAGTGTGTGCATGTGTGTGTGTGGAAATAAGATAGACAACACCTGGTGCTCCAAAAATACCCCTTTTTTCCATCCTCCCCATCATCCTCCCCATGAGTTTGACATGTGCCCAGTGAGAACCGGCTTCTGGAGGGTTGCTGTGTTTTTCCCATCAGTTCAAGCCTCAATGGGGATGTGTCAGCCTGGTGCCCTTCAGCAGTTTTGTGGGGGAGTCTGGAAACAAATGCCCCCGGAGAACACCCACTTGGAGGGAAAAAAGCTGAAATATATGCATGGTGGGCTTTGGGCAGCATTCTAGGCGCTTTTGGTAACAGACAAGTCACATGGCCTTTTAAAATTTCATTCGGCGCACCCCGTTGGCCAAACAACATGGGGGCTCAGCCTCTGTCGTTAGGGTGGTGGTGAAACCCTCTGTTGCCAGAAGAGAAATCGGGTAGCATTTTGGTTTAAATGGTCTCTCCGAATGATTCCTGTGTGTCCTTGTGGAATTTTCTTGCCCTTAAAAAAAAGGAAACATCTGTACTTACCTTGCGGGCTCCTTTTTCTCTCTTCTCCTTCCTCAGCTTCCCTTTGACTTCACCTGGAAAATGCTGAAAGACAAATTTAACGAGTGTGGTAAGCAACCTTATGCCGCATTGTCTCTGGAGGTGGGAAAGGGCAAACCTTTTCACATCAGCTTCGCTTGCTGAGGGCTGGCGTTTGCCACCCAAGTCTGGGTTTGCCCAAAGCTTTAGTCCTTGTAGGGAGATTCAGGCATGAGTTCTCTTAAGGATGAATTCTCTCAACAGGTCACGTTCTGTACGCAGACATCAAAATGGAGAATGGGAAATCGAAAGGGTGTGGCGTGGTCCGGTTTGATTCCCCAGAAGTGGCTGAGCGGGCCTGCCGTATGATGAACGGGGCTCAGGTGTGCGGCCGGGAGATCGACGTGCGGATCGACCGAAATGCTTAAAACGCTATTTTTAAAAAAATTCAAAAGGGAACGAATGCGATTGAGAGAGAGAGAGGGAAAAAAACTTGGTTTGTACTTTTGTCACATTGAGACTTTTTTTAAGTTGCTTGAGTGTCTCAAAACAACAACAACCGTGAAACAACTCAGTTGCTTCCTGGAATGATTTTAATTCCTTTTTTTAAAAAAAAGAAATTGAGGGTCTATTTCCATTTTACTGTCTTTTTGTTCTTTCACCTTGAAATTGTTTAAATGTGTGCAGTCCTGGTTCTTTGTAGATGTCGCCCCCGGGTTGACCGAAAACGATGTATTCCAGTACATTTTGAGAAATAAAACTTTTGCCAGTTAACTTGGGGGCAGTCCAGCCTTCCTCTCGTCTCTTTCTTTGCCAGGTGGTCACAGTGTCTCTCTTAGATGGCAAACAAGCCATGCTGATAAACCATCATTTGTGCTGGAGTTTCTCTGAACTGAAGGAGAAAACAAGGAGGGCCAGACAAGCTAGAGCCCAAAAATGGATTTGTCCGTGTTAAAAGCGTCCTCGGTGTGATTTACTTTACTCTGCATCGTCCGATGCTTTTATTTTACGGATTTCACAGTGGAAGGGGCTGCTTGTTTTTATATTCTCTTGTTACATTGATGCAGGAGTCTCACAAAGGGGGCCACCAGGTCCAGGAAGAAAGAAATGTTCGTTCAGGGCCCTCAAGGTCTCTCGTTTGGGTCTGAAAGCGTTTCTTAATTGCATCTCCTCGCTCATGAAATTGTCGTCTCACCAAACGGTTAGGTGCCAAGGCTTCAGGGTGGGGAGGGGAGAGGGTGGTCCTCCTGGCATCACCTGGCAGCCCCGTGAGGGACGCCGGTTCCTCAGCTCTTGAGAGAGGGGCTCTCTGTCTGCCACTTCCCTCCACATGCGTTCCAAGAGCCACTGCTCGGAGGTAGTCACTCCTTGAACGTGGAGGTTCCACTCAGCTCTGTCACGGAGGGCAGACGGCCATGGCAAGCTTTTTATCTCCGGCAAAGGTGGGTGAGGAGGGTGGTGGCTGAAGGCAAGGGGGTGAGAGGGAGGCAACATTGCATGTGGGCAGCCCCAGCCTGTAGGGCCTGTAAGTTCCTTGGGGCAGAGACTGGCCTTCTTGACCCTCTCTGTGGAGCTCATGGGTGAGGCAACTTCTGGTGGAACAAATAAGTTGCCAGAAAGTGGAGTTCTGGGTGCGAGTGAGCGTGCCAAAAGTGGGGCGGTGGTGGATCTCCTTGGAGGCCCGCTCCCATTTGAAAGGCCTGGTGCTTTGCCGCAGAGTTCCTCTTTAGAGGTCATAAGAGCAGGCCTTGCAGCTGTCAGCCAAAGCTTGGGCAGTTCCTTCACCCTGTGTGTGTGAGAGAGACTACAAATCCCATGATCCCTTGGCCATGGTGGGTACAGCCGGATGTTGGCAGTCCCAAGAATTAGGCCACGTGGAGGAGAGCACAACCCTACTGGGGGGATTCTGGGAGTCCTCGTAGAAGAACAGGCCATTCTGTCCTGGCAGGGGGAGGAAAAGTAACTTTTACAAACGGTGGAATCGTTTTCGTTTCTCCCTTCCATCCTTGGGGGGGGGGGAAGGAATCCGACAGACTTTAGGACCCAGCGGGAGGGAGGATGGGAGGAGCCCAGTTTGAAGCCGAGAGGTGGGGTCTCGACGTCACAGCAGTCTCTCAAAGCGCATGTGACGTCATCAGGAAGCGCCCCCCTTTTCTTTTTAATTCCTCCGCCGGCGGAAAGGTCGCGCGGGGAAAGATGGCGGCGGTCACGCTGTGGGGCTGCCGGGTGAGCAGGTGGAGGGGGAGAGGATGGGAGGGGGGTGAACCCCCTTCTCTTGAGAGGAAGGAAAAGGTCTCCTGGTCATGGGCAGAGTGCGCCTGTGTGTCTCCCCCCTTCGTTGGGGGAAGGGCGCCCCTGTCCATGTGCAGAGTGCTTTCCCCCAACCACGAAGGCCCTCCTTTTCTTTTAAGGGTTTAAGACCTTCCCATTTTTCTCTCCCCCCACACCTTTGAGAAATTTGGCCCCAGAGGAGAAGGGCCCCCCTGAGCGTGTGCAGAGCGCCTCCTTGGCGGTCCCCTCAGGTTTTCCCTCCCCCCGCATATGTCCTTTTTTTCTGTTCTGAACGGCTTGAGCCCTGAGGGTGGCGAGGGTGCCTCTGAGCCTGGGCGGAGCGCTTCCCTCCTCTTCCCTGGGAATTAAATCCATCCTGGAGCCCTGTGAGAAAAGGAGGAAGCAGCCTCTGCTCATGTGCAGAGTGCTTGCCTGCGCTCTTCCCCTTATTGGCTGGCCCTGTTCTCCGGGAGCTTCAACTTTTCCTTTGGGTGGCCTTTCCATGGGTTCTTTTATTTCCCACCGGACCTTCTGCGAGGTGGCCTGGTTAAAAAAAAAAAAGAGTCTGCGTTACATTCAGACAAGGACCTCTCTCTCTCTTTCCTTCTTTCCCACCCTAGAAATGCCTTCGGAACGTGTGGCTCCTATCCAGGCAGGGCTCAGGACCCATTCGGGACGCTCTCCTTACCTATCGGATCGACAGACCGTCTTTACAGCTATATCAGGTGCGTTTATGGAGGGGAGGAGAGAAAGGGATTCTGCATCATCATCATCGTTTCTGTTGTTGTTTTGTTGTCGTTGTTGTTGTTGTTATTGTTATTAGTAGTTGGTAGCAGTGGAGCTGGAGATGAAGGAAGCCTGCATTTCCTTCTAAAGCACTGGCTCTAGAGTTCGGGATGTTTAGGTTGTTTTTAACGGTTTGAGAAAAAGACATCGCCTGAGGGGCCGGGGAGAGAGGAGAGCACCTCCCTTTTCCCCCCGGGATGAGGCGGCATGAAGGCGCCCCAGAGTGTAAGGGCTGGCGCATGGGATGCATGAGATCCCGGTTCTGCTTCTTGAGCTTTGAATGGGCTCTGGGCCGATTAGACACCCCCTCTCAGCTTATCCTGCCTTCTGTTGTGCAGAAGAACAGATCTCTGCTCTGCCTTGAGTGGAGTGGAACATACTACATCATACAGTTGGTGGAATGAATGATCCTCCTATAATCTTTGTTTTTCCTCTTCCCTCCTTGTCCATTCTTCCTTTTGTGCGGCGTCTGTAGTAACAACTTTTCCCTTTTCACGTAAAAGGCTCAGAACAATTCAAGGGTGCTTTATTTAAACCTATTAACAATTCAAGGAATTTCATTTAAACCTATTAAATGAGAAGCCCCAAATCCTCAAACCAGAGCTGGGTGGAAAAGACAGACATATTTTAAGATCCAAGACATTTTTTTAACTCAGTAAAACTTTCCCACAAGGCAGAAAAAGGTCCGCCAAGTGTAACATCCCCCTTTTCTTTAGTCTAGATGTTATTCCTCTGGAGGGAGGAAAGGTTTTATATCTGGCTTTGTGGACAACATCAAGCAAGAGTTGGCAAAAAATAAAGAGATGAAAGAAAGCATTAAAAAGTTCCGAGACGAGGCGAAAAAACTGGAAGAGTCGGAGGCCCTCCAGGAAGCACGACGGAAATATGTAAGCTTTGGATCCTTTCTTCTAAAAATAAACGTCTTGTCTTAAGCGGAAGGGATAATAAACTGTCCTGGTCTACCTGGCAGGTTGGCTGTTTCTGGGCGCAACTGAAAGTGCTGGTTGTAAGCTACTGGGTGGCTGTTTAGGGCTTCGTATCTCCTGTTATAAGCCAGCTCGGGTGTTAAGATCACCAGGGGAGGCCTTTCTCTCAGTCCCACCATCTTCACAGGTCTGTTTGGTGGGGACCCAGGGGAGGGCCTGGGCTGGCCCCGTTTTTACTGTTCTTCCACCAGCAGGCAAATACCTTCTTCTTCTGACAGTCTTTTCCTTAATGGTCGGAGAGGGTTTTTAAAATGGACTGTTGTGCTTTGGTGTTTTAATATTGATTTTATTTACAATTTTTATAATACTTGTTTAATTCTTTGAAAATATTTGTATATTTATTGACTTTAGCCTTTAAATGTTGCCCTTTTAATGTTGTAAACTGCCTTTTAAGGAGTAACCGGGGGGAGGGGGGAGTATATGTTAAATACATGAATAATACATTGTACAGATTGGGAGCAAATACATTTGAATTGTTTTGAATGGTCTTACGGGGGAGGCCATAAAATTATCATTGATAATGATAGGTTTAATCACAGATATGGTGTATTGAAAATGGATGATCATTCAGAGGCAGGAAAATAGGATAGTTATTATTACCAATGTCCTTATCTGCTTTTTGCACAAACTTTCAAGTGCTGGAGAGTTTGGTTTCTCCAAATGTGTTCTGCTCTTCCCTGGCTTGCAGAAAACCATCGAGTCTGAGACCGTTAAGACTTCCGAAGTCCTTAAAAAGAAATTAGGAGAATTGACGGGCACCGTCAAGGAGGTAAACATATCTCTGAAGATATATTTTAAAAAATTCCTTTCCACATGTTTTTTAACCCTGGAATCCGTGGGAGAGTGCCAAGGTGTGAGTCAAATAAATCATAATAAATACGCATGTGCGTATGTTCCATGGATCCTTCTCTCCCCTTCCCGCTGCAGAGCCTGGATGAAGTCAGCAAGAGCGATCTCGGCCGGAAGATCAAGGAAGGCGTGGAAGAAGCTGCCAAAACGGCAAAGCAGTCGGCCGAGTCGGTGTCCAGAGGAGGAGAGAAGCTGGGCCGGACGGCGGCGTTTAAGGCCATTTCTCAGGTAAAGACTCCCTTGCTGGTCTTCTCCGGAGAGTTGCCCTGAAAAGTGTAGGGCTGAGGGGTCTGATCGCCCCTCCGCCTGACAATTGGGTGCCGCAGCTGGCTGTGTTCGGAAAATGCAGCTTCCAAATATTCCAGCTGGCATGGCCAGGGGTCAGGGGTCGGGGATCAGAAGGCCAAAACCACTGGAGGGTTAAAGGGAGAACTCAATGGCAGTCTTATCCATCATTTGATGGAGGTTTCTCCTTGTAATACACACCTGCCACCAGCAGGCGGCGATCCTGCTCCATGGTGGTTTTCTGCTCCCTACTTGGTCCCTTTAATTGATTTTTCTCTCTTAATATGAAGGATAACAGGCTCCTTCCCCTTGTAGGGCGTAGAGACGGTCCGGAAAGAGATTGATGAGAGCGTCTTGAGCCAGATGGGGCCTTACAAGCGGCCGGAGCGGCTTCGGAAGCGGACAGAGTTTGCCGGAGAGAGGCTGAAGGAAGAGAAGATCTTCGAAGCCAATGAGTGAGTGTTGGGGCTCTTAGAATAATGGGGTGGATGGAAAGGCAGCCTCTCAGGAAGGTGGCCTCCCTTTCCTTGAAGACACCTTCTGTGGTTTCTCTTTAAAACTGAGTTTTCCTTGGAACCTTAGTTAATTCTGCAAGGAAGGTGCAGCTTTCTGGCAGCAATTTCCAAGTGTTGCCGAGGGGGGACCCTACCTCTGGTGCTCTCTCAGCCTGGTGCTTTCCAGATCATGGCCTGGGGGTGCCAGAGGGGTGGGTATTGTATGCTGTCTCTCGGGAAATCAGGCTGGTCCCCCCTCCCTTTTCTCCTTCCTCTGACAGCTTGAAAACCCACCTGTTCAGGCAGGCTTTGAACAATCACAGCGGAGTCTGCGAAGGCCTTTTTTAAAAGTTAAGATAGTTTTTTAATGGTGACTCGCTTCCGTTATCCAGTTGTATTTTAGTCAGTGTATCGTTTCATTGGTTTTTAAGGGTTTTTAGTTCTCTCTCTCTCTCTTTTTTTTAATATGGTGAGCCAGCCGCCTTGGGTCCCCTGATGGGGAGAAAGGCCACCCTATAAAGAAAGCAAAGAAATACGGAAGTAAATAAATAGCAGAGCCTCCGGGACAACATGGGGCGTTTCTCTGAACAGAATATCCTTTGGGTTTTTTTTCCTTCCAGAGAGGCGATGGGGGTTGTTATCCACAAGGACTCTAAGTGGTACCAGCAGTGGAAAGAATTCAAGGACAACAATGTGGTTTTTAACCGTAAGCATAGCTGCTCTGTTTATTGTATTTATTTATTTGTTCGTTATATTTGTATCCTGCCCATCTAGTCTAGTCATCCGTCCATCTCCCTCTTCTCTCTCTCCTTCCCCTGTAGAATATAATTCTCTTAGGGTGGCCTTGAACGGTGGCCCTTGCAAAGTAATGAGGGTGGGGAGGGGTCTGGAAAAAGACAGCTCTTCTGCTCTTCCTGTCCAGGGTTCTTCGAAATGAAGATGAAATACGACGAGAGCGACAACGCCGTCATCCGGGCCACCCGGGTCCTGACGGATAAAGTGACGGACTTTATAGGTGAGTCCTGGCTCTTTTTTCTCTCTTTCCCTTCTTCACCTGAGAAGGAGACAGGTTACCCTAGTCCTAGTTCAACCTCACTCTAACTAGCCTCACTTTTCCGCTGCCCTCCCATCATGTGGCAGGAAGTTCCATAGGTTAACTAGGAGAGTTGCGGGAAAAGCCCTTCCTCTTATCTCCTGCTGTCAGAATCACTCACAGTTTGAGGCCTCTGCCTGCATAAGCCAGAGGTTTGGAGTAGAGGTAGGGGCAAATTTTTAAAAAATGGCAATTCGTTTTGATCCGTTATTCATCAAGGTTAACGGATCAACAAATACAAATATGTGAGTATTCATTGACGAATCGATCCGTCGATTCATCTGTACTTTAAAGGGCTATAACACTGGCCCTCCAACCACCTAGAGACAGCACGTTTGCAGGGAAGCTTCCTCAGACGCTTTCCTCCAACTTCTGAAAGTCTGGTGAACATTGGATCACGGACCCTCGAGTTATATAGTTACAAAGAAGACTGCCCTCCAGGAAAGCTCCTCAAGGTACTTAGAGAGTCCAGAATCACAACGGAGCTTCCTATATCTTTCCCCAACATGCCTGCCAACTTTGGTGAAGATTCGATATTGGATGTCTGAGTTATTCACCCACAAATTGGGTCCCCCCAGGAGAGCTTACCAAACAGCACAGAAGTCCGGCAGAGAAGCCCATTCTGCCTACCGGCCGCCGATCAGCTGATCAAAAGCCGATAGGCAGCCACTCCCACAGCCAGCCAGCCACCCACCCGCTTCTGTTCCCTACCTTAGCCCCCATCGCACTCCCACTGGCATCCCCTTACTTTAATAGCTGCTGCTGAGGTCTCCATCAGGCCTTTCCAGCCAGGGCGTGTAAAAAGGGAGACTGGCTGCCCTTTGCAAAGATGGTGGCTGCGGCTTCTTTTAGGGTAGGGAAGCTGCAGTTGCCGTCTTTGCAAAGGGAAGAGGGAAGAAGCCTTACTTTTTCTCTGTCCGGTTTGAATGCACGATCTCCCCCCCCCTTTTTTGGGTGCTGTAAGATCACGAGACAGGACGACGTGGGTGTCTGTTTTCCATATCTCCCACCGGGGCCCTCCTTTCTCTTTGTTCCGACAGGCGGGCTGTTCTCCAAGACGGAGATGTCGGAGGTTCTGACCGAGATCCTCCGGGTCGACCCGAACTTTGACAAGGACCGGTTCCTGAAGCAGTGCGAGGAGGACATCATTCCGAACATCCTGGAGGCAAGACCAGCGAGGGAGGGAGCCCATCGGTCTGGGGAGGAGGGGGGCGGATGGTCTGCCTCCTGGGAGGGGGGCCGTGTGCATGTGCTTGTCTTAGGGTGTGATCCACACGATCCGGTGAGATTCGGAAGACTCTTTAGTCGGTCCTACCACTGAGGGGGTCCCCTCTGTGTGCCATCCACAGTTAATTAAAAACAACAACAAATCTGGGGAGGAAAAGAGAATCATGTGGCTGTGTCTGAAGCTGGTGCTAGGACGGAAGGCTCCTGCTCCCTTCAGCTTTCCTGCGATATGACACAGGGCCCTATATAACATTAGACTAGGGCTAAGGAGACCTGGGTTCAAAACCTCCCTCAGTTCATGAGGCTCTCTCTGGGGGGGCTGTGTCCTGTTTGCTGCCACCGAGTGTGTAAATTTCTCTCAGAGTCAGGCAGTACCAAGGAAAAGAGCTTCATCCGTGGCCTTGAACAAAGTAAATAGACGGAAGTAAGTTAAATACATAGGAAAACACAGTAACACTTTTTAAAAAATGAAAGTCTTATGGCAGTTTTCTGGATTTCTTTCTTTCTTTCTTTTCATTCATTCATTCATTCATTCATTCATTCATTCATTCATTCATTCATTCATTCATTCATTTATTTATTTATTTATTTATTTATTTATTAGATTTTTACCCCGCCCCCCTAGACAATGCCTACTCGGGGCGGCTTACATGGATAAAAACACAATAATATGACATGTATAAAAATCGTCAAAGACACAGTTATAGCAGTTAATTCCAAACAACATATTACCAAGATGACATGACTCAAGGAAGAAAAATAAAGATCAGTTAATTGACTGGAGGGAAGACCTGCTTGAAGAGCCAAGTTTTTAAATGGCTTTTGAAAACGCCCAGCGAGGGTACCAGCCGAATTTCAGTTGGGAGGGTGTTCCATAGCCGAGGGGCCACCGCCAAGAAGGCCCGGTTTCTTGTTTTTTCCCTCCAGGCCTCTCTTACATCCTTCTCACTTCTTCCAGGCCATGATTTCTGGAGACCTGGATATTCTCAAGGACTGGTGCTACGAAGGAGTAAGTCTCTCTTGTTTTGTTTAGATTTATTGAGGTTCTCACCCTGTATCCCTGGGGTTTTAGGGTGTCATACGGCAAATTTAAAATCGTTGAATAGTGCTTAAAATCAGACACGTCGCCAAGGTCTGTGACATTCAATCTAAGCGAAGAGGCTGAAACCCCAAAGTTCTTTGGGGGTACAGTTTTAAGGCAGAAATAAAACAAATTTTTGATGCCTGTGAAGCCTCCATGGGGAGCGCATTCTCTCACATTGCATGCACAGTCTATAGCTTCCTCTAATGGAGAGTCATGGAAAATTATAGGGAGAGAACCCCAAAATCTTGAGACTTCCCCCCAAATCTTCCCGTCAACCTTGCCAGCCTCCAAAAGAAACAGCAACTTTTCCGAGCCCCCAGATCTTATCCGACGTCTTTCTTCCTCCTGAGAATTCAGCCCATATGGTTCCCAGGTTTTTCCAGTGTGCTTTCATGAGGACTAGAAGCCTGATTTGTTGATAGGGTTCAAGATGCTTTTCACGGCCACTGAGTTTTTAGGGGCAAAAAGGAAAGGAACGTCCTGATGACATTTCATCCTTGGAGCACCGCAGATGAGGCATGAGAAATCACTGCTAACACAGTTGCGTTTTCTGTTCCCAGACTTACAGCCAGTTGGCGCAGCCGATTCAACAAGCCAAAGCGATGGGTCTCCAGTTTCACTCCCGGATTCTGGACATAGATAATATTGACGTAAGTAGCTCTCACTGTCTGGATAGGAAGCTTCAAGTCGCTATAGAATCAGAAAAAGGCTCATCGTTATTTTCGTCTTCTGTTGGACCGGCTCAGTTAACAAAATCTATAGGGCCTGTCCTTTAAAGAGTCAAATCAAAATCATAGTGTGATGGACTAGCAGCTTAGGCGTGTCCTGTCTTGTTTTTACAGCTGGCGATGGGGAAGATGATGGAGCAGGGCCCGGTGTTAATCATCACGTTCCAAGCCCAGTTGGTCATGGTGATTAAAAACCAGAAAGGAGAGGTGGTAGAAGGAGACCCGGTAAGTAAAACCTGGAGGGACTTGCTCCTTTCTCTTTTTTTCCCCCCCTTCACTTCCTCTTATTTATTATTGTTGTTGTTATTATTATTAGGAGCCTCGTGGCACAGTGGTTAAACGCAGTACTACCAGCCAAAACTGTGCTCACGACCCGTGGTTCAATCCCAGGTAGCCGGCTCAAGGTTGACTCAGCCTTCCATCCTTCCAGGGTTGGTAAAATGAGGCAATGCTACACTACATGGGGCAATGTATAGCCTGCATAATTAACTTGTAAACTCCCCAGAGAGTGCTTGAAGGGCTATGGGGTGCTATAGAAGAAGTGTGCTTTGCTTTTAGCTTTATTATTCCTTTCTCTCGTCCCTCCGAGCCAGGCACAAAGGTTTCTAATTATGCCTGCCAGCAGTGGGAGTGTTTCTAATCCATGACGTGGTATTAAATCAGTTAATTAAATGGGTTAATTGCTGGGCAGGTGATAGATTTTCGAGACTGGCAGCAGAGGGATCTTAAATCATTTAATTGGTCTTAAATAAATTTCAGATGCATTAAATAAATCACAACGCCAGTGTCAGCAGACGCGCAGTCTCGAAAAGGGTCTTCTGGGCCAGGCGGTGGCCGAGAGTCGGCTTTAAGCCTGTCTCCCTCCCGGCCAGCTTCTCTCTGCAATTCAAGAGGTCTACTCCTGAGCAAAGCAGCCGCCTCGTTTAGCTTAAGAGTCTTTTTCTGCCTGCCACTGAGCCTCAAAAGGGAGATGTTGGCATTTTAGAATCAGGGGAGAGGAGCTATCTGCAACTCATAGGGAGCCACCTAAACATGCTGCGGTTTGGCTGCTCGGTTACCCCTGAAGGACAGGCAGGTTCAGCCCCCAAGCCCCATGAAAGGATGTTTTAGACCTAATCGATAAATGTGTTTTAGATGTAATCAATAAATGTGTTCCTATGGAGCCGTGAAGATGCTGAATTCAAGTTCCTAAATTGATTTGACGGCGTGTCGTTGGCAAAAGCACGCCAGACGTAGCCGAGAACACGAAAAGTTATTTTTCTTTTTCAAGATTCCTCAGGTTACATGAAAGACCAATCAGGGCCCATGAAACCACTCACGAAGTTTCTCCTTAAAACTCAGAACAATGAGGACTAGGGACTTAGACTGGATCTTTTCAGGAGAAAATGCACTTGCCTCCCATCTCAGAGAAGCAATCCCTGCCTAGAACAGGGTGGGTTTTCTGCTAGTCCGAATGGAGACTTGAGGACTAGGATCCGAAGTTCCTTCTTCCTGGAAGGGACGTGCTTTTGCCAGCCTGCTTTGTGTTTGATGGTCCAGGCTCTCGAAATAGGGTTCATGCATGCCCTTGCTTTCAGCCGGAGCGGTTCAGACATCCCGCCGGGCAGCTTTTGAATACCTCTCCGGGATCTCATTCCAGGGGAAAGTCTTACGGATGCTGTACGTCTGGGCCCTCTGCCGAGACCCCGATGAACTCAACCCCTATGCCGCTTGGAGGCTCTTAGACATTTCCGCCTCGAGCACGGAGCAAATCCTATGAGGCTCATCATCCGCCTCCCGCCCGGCCTGGGCTCCTCTTCCATCTCGGGCGAAGCCACCAGTGGATTGGGGGAGTCGTGGAGAGCTCAGGGTGAACGGCGGGCGTGAGCAAGACCGGGATGGCCAAGGATATTGTGTGGCATTCTCGCAAGGAGCCAGCCCCCCCCCTTATCCTTGGTTCCTGGGACTGGCCCCTGCGGCCCGATTTGGAGCCCACTCGGGCCAAGACCTGCATCGCACTGAAGGCCGTCGCCTGCCTCGCCCCCCCCGCGCTCTTCTTCTCTCTCCTCATCTCCTCGCCTTCGAGTTGCGGCTGGTTTGGCGCGGCGCTTCCTGGAAGCCGAAAAATCCTTACAGAGAGACTGGTGTTTCCCCAGTACTGCCAGGGGAATATTATTCACAGGGGTGTGAGTGAGCGAGTGTGTGTGTGTGTGTCAGGGGGATAGGCGGATGTTGTGATTGCCTTTCAGGGGGAAGAGGTGCGACTGAGGAATCTGGCGGGCAGGGGCAGATTTTCCAGCGCAATGAATTTGGAAGGTCTTCATTAAAGTTTTTCAGTGGCTCGCCTTTTCCTGTGAGGGGTGCACTCTCTTCACTCCGTCTCCCTGCAAATACTCCAAGGGTGTCGGCACATAAAGCGAGACAAGCAAATACATGAGAAACCCAATCGTCTACGGCCTCCGTCCATTAAATAGGCGTCACCAACTCCTCCTGTCCAAGTGCGTCGCTTCCAAGCATGCCATGAAATCTTGCTCGGAAAGCCCGTGACGGTTGAAAAAAACGATGCAGAAACTTCACCGAGGTGGACAGAAAACATCCCACCATCTTGCAGGAGAAGACAGGAAGACGGTCACCGCTTCTCGCCTTTGCGTGCGAGGAGAGAGCGAATCAGGATTTGCACCCGTAGCCTGGCGGGGGAGGGGCAACTCAGCAATAGGGGTTGAAAACCTAGTCAGATTTGTTCAATGGGTTTGCATGTCAATTTAGCCAGAGGTCGGGAAAGATCTGCCACTGGTGAGACTGGGCTGAGCTTCACCAGCTGTGGACTACAATGTCCTAGCACCTGAAAGCCATTCTCCTCCTGACCTCTCTCACACCATGCCCTGGGCCAGTTCATCCTGGTCGTTAAACCCCTGGTTCTAGTGATGTTCACGGCCTTCCTGGTTCGTTTGGAGGAAAGCAATTAATGTTTACAAACAGGCTTACTTGATGAAAGCAGGTTTCCTCCTTCTCCCCGCTGGTTGCTCGTTAGCTTCAAATGCCCATATATCTGTCGGGGAAACCTCCTCTCACATTGTGGCAGTTAATTGAGCGTTGTGTGTGCCTGCCTCGCTGGGGTGGGAGCGGGTTTAAGGAGCTACACAAGGTGTTTATATTTGCAAGAATAAAGGCGGAGGGGTTGCCTGGGCCGAAACTCTGAACGGCCTGTCTGTTCTGCAGAGAAATGCACAGAAACAAGTACAAATAGGGTCTATGCCATTTATTTTATGCAAAAATAAGTTGTGTTTTCCTTAGAAGACCCCTTGAATTCCTTACATTTATGGCCCCAGGAATGATCTGTGGACCTCAGATTTAGATATTTTACAATAAAAGCATTATTGAGCCCCTAATTTTCATTATTCCCCGAGCTTTTCCACCTCAAGTTTTTTCCTTGCTCTTCATTTTCTGTATAGAGGATGGAAAATAAAAAGCAAAACGAAAAACAAAACAAAAATCCCTCCCTATATAAAGAAGAAGACACCCAGTGGGGACTTCATCCCTGTTTCCCTCCAGGCTTCCTCCTGCCTTCTTTGCAAAAATTAAAAATAATCACCGTAATGAGCCCTCCGCAGGCCGCGTCAAGACAGCTGATGGATGCCGCAAGAGAGGATATAGAAAGGTTGCCTTGACACTTTGGGGGGGAGGAAAAGGGGAAAAAACATGGGGACATGGTGAACAATGAGCAATTATATTCCTGAGTCACCCTGGTTTATTAAAAAAAATTAATAAGGGTGGGGGCAGAGGAAAATGAATCATACACGTTTGACAGTCATTTATTTCACAGATTTAGGAACGATGATAAAAAAGGTGCTTTTAAAAAATGCAAATGCGGACAGAGAGGAAAGGCGGAGAGAGAGAAAGGAAACCAGCCTTTTGCGAACCCGGTTCTCCGAACACCCAGCCCTCTCCTGGTTTCGGACCATCCCGTCTTTTTATCATGACAGGTAAATGACGGCGAGGGGGGTGTTATTTTGGAACGGGCACCCAAATGGCTTCCCATGCTAGCTCAATTTTTCTAGAATGCATTCCTCTTTTCCATCGGCTTGCTTTGGGTTATCTGGAAAAGATGCTTCCAGGATGTTCTGAGGCTTTCTGTATCTGCCATCTTATTATTTTGGATAAATGATCAGCAATTTTTGGTACCAATTTCCACCTCTCTCCCTCCTTAGAAATATAGCTAGAGTATCGGGCTTCATCCTTCGGGCATAACAGATCTATTTGGATATATGTGAGAACAAATGCACCTTTAGGTAAAAGCTTTGGGAACAAATGAGCCTTTAGTTAAATCTTTGGGAACAAATGTGCCTTTAGTTAAATGCTTTGGAACAAACGAGCCTTTACTTAAAAGCTTTGGGAACAAATGTGCCTTTAGTTAAAAGCTTTAGGAACAAATGCACCTTTAGTTAAATGCTTTGGGAACAAACGTGCCTTTAATTAAAAGCTTTGGGAACAAATGCGCCTTTAGTTAAATGCTTTGGGAACAAACACACCTTTAGTTAAATGCTTTGGAACAAATGAGCCTTTAGTTAAAAGCTTCCTGGTGTGCAGGTTTTATGGTTTCCTGTCTAATCAGCAGGTTGTATAATTAGTGACTCATATTCTTAATGTGTCCCTCTTATCAGACCTTGTGAAGGTTACTTTTCAATGGGCCACTATTGCCAGAATCACCTTTCTGGCATGCTATAGAGGTTAAAATGTTGAGCCTGTTGAACCCAGTTGAACTCAAGACACCTTCCAGTATCCTTGAGGACTAGAAACCTGAGTTCCTTTGACTCTGCTCTACCTAGAGTTGAAAACATAGTCATTTGTTCCCATCGGAAAATAGCAAACATTCCTTCCGCCGATTAAATAACGGCACCCCAGTGGTGAGGCAATTTTCAAGATGTAGTTTTGTTATAAGTTGGACACTCCAAAGTAACTAATTAGAGGCAGTCAGTTACATGGGGCTACTTACTTCCAAACTCAGCATCTGCCCCCCACCCCCGCCATGGCAAGCTCCTGTTTTCTGTTTGCTCCTTTCAAACAATATCTGATGGCTGTTTAGAGGCTTTCTCAGATGTTTCTGGGCATTCTGCGTCTGTCTTTCTAATGCCACTGGCCTCATTTAAATCCCCTTTGTCCAACCCCATCTATTTAATTTCGTTTGCGCCTGATTTTGCGAGGACCCATAATCCAGATTATGTTTCAGGGGATCCTCTTCAAGAAGCTATGAATCTCTCTAGCCTCTTTATTAGCTGGGGGCACAGTCCATCGCCGATGCTGGAATCAAACAACCAGGGAGTGAATTGCGGGTCTTAAAATTACATTAAAAAAAACAAACTAAACCATAAAAGGCAGAAGCGAAAGCACTTCATGAATGTAGGGAGTTAACATTTTAGTGTGTCTTTTTCAGAGAGACTTTTGAAAGGGTGTTTTTTTTTTGGGGGGGGGGTTGCACCATTATTTAACCGGTCCTTAAGTTCTTCTCCCCCAAAACAAAAGGCGAAAAAAAACTTAACAGATACACAGTCTGGAGTTTTTTCCAAAAGAAAGCAAGTGGGGGGGAGTATTAATATAGTAAAATGCATGATTTTCCTTGTGCGTTGAGTGTGAAAAGGAGCTCACTTACAAAGCTGCTCCTCCTGCACTGCATGACACCACAAATTCACATTTTTCTCTCTCTCTCTTTTTTTAAAAAAAAGACCCCTTTCCAAACTCTTGGCCAGGTTTCTCTTCCTGCGTCATCCATCCCTGCCCTGACTGATGCTGCCTCCTCTTAAGTGGTGGTCCAGAGTCCCAGTGATTGGCTGCCTGAGCCCTGTTGCCGTGGCAACCCTCCACCAGCATCCTTTAGCAGGTGGTCCAGGGTGGAAGGGAGAGAGAGGGCAGCCAGGACCAGGAGCAGCGGGTGGGTTAAGGATGATGGAGATCAGGGGGAGCATTTGACCCCTTCTTTGGCCTTCTCTCTCCCCCCCCTTTCTAAACTGAATATTGCAGGCGCTTTTTTAAAAAAAATTGTGAAAAAAATTCATTAGGGAGTCGACTGCAAAGGAGAGAGTGGCCATCAAGCTGTTGGGGAAGTCACTACAAGACTGACCCCCTGACATGCGTGCCCAGGGGTCACCATGCTCTGAGTAAGTTCCCCCCCACACACACACACTCATACGCAGAAAGAAGAGTTAAAAGGGGAGGGGGAGTTAGATCGGAGAACTACAACTCCCAGGATCCCCACTGACTGCCCCAAGGGCCGTGCGGGCTGGGTTATTCTGGGTGTAACTTGCTAAGCATTAAAAGTACTGTACTGTAAAAAAAAAAACCGAGTTACCTGGACCAGCCTTTGCGCAGCCTAACCAAGGGCGCGCAATCTCCGCGGGGCGCGGGAAAAAAAAACCCTCTCCAAAAAAAGGCGCAGGGTGGAAAATCGGGGCGGGGGGTTGAAGAGGACTCTTCGGGGACTGGGGTCCCAACCTCTTGCCCTCGCTACACACACACAGACACAGACTCCGGAGCGGGGATTCAAACTCCGCGCACGCTCTTAGGCGCCCGCGGCGGGTGCTGCCTGGGGAGGAAGAAGAGGAGGAGGAAGGCGAGAGGCTGGCCGCTGGCTGGGAGGGGGGAGGGTATGCGAGCGTGGCCGCCGGGCGGGTTGCGCGCAGCCCCGCCTCTGGATCGCTGCCCTGCGCAAGCTGCGCGCCTTCCTCCGGAGCAGCCGGGCGAGGTGAGCCGTGACGCGCGGGCTTTGGCAACGAGGCAGGCGCGCAGGAAAGGAGGGAAGGACGGAGCCAGCGGGCTGGGCGGTGGCGGAAGAGGAAGGAGGGGGCGCAGCGGGCTTGGATAGCGCGCAAGCGGCGGCGGCCGCTCCTATCCTTGGCGCCCGGGCGCACGTGTCGGGAAGGGGGCCTTTAGCCCAGCGCGGCGGGCAAGCCGGGAGAAGCCCCCGCCCGATCCGAGGGGCTTCCGTGCCTGGAATTCGTGAGGACTAGAAGCTTGCTTCGGATTGAAAGGGCGCAGCTGGTTTGCGGGAGGGTGGATACCGGGAGACCCCTTTTGGAGGGAGCAGAAGCTGATCTCCGAGGAGCGCGGGAGGAGGGGGGGAGAGAGGATTGTCATTTAGGGACTGCATTTCTGCCCCAAAGTCTGAGGTCTAGCGTCTTGGTTTAATTGGTTTTTTTTAAGGCCAGCATGGCTTCAGTGGGATTGCTGCTACCCATAGTGGGTGAAAGGAGGAAGGTCTCTCCCTCCCCTCCTCCACTGGGAAAGTCTGGACCGCCTTTGCTGATCCTTGAGGACTAAAATATTACTTTGATTTTTGTCCAGAAGCCATGCGTCCATATCTCTTTTCGGATAGGGAAACTTGCCCGTTGAACCTATCCGCTGGGATCTTTTTCTAGAACTGGGAAGTTCTCCAGTGTAGAAGCCTGGGCCCCAGGGACCCATGAGGGCTAGCCCCTTGCTTGGTTCTCGCAAGGGGTTTACTGGGCTGGGTGGCCCACCGGGCTCCTTCCTCTCCAGAGGGCTGGGTGAGATTTCCTGGCCCCAACACCTCAAAGAAGGGTTCCCGGCTTGTCGAGTGGGAGCACCCCCAGATATTAGGGGTGAAGGCAGAGACCCCCCCTTCCCCAGAAATCCAGCTTTTGCATCGTGACCTGCCATCTTGCAGGCGGGGGGGGGCTCCTGACCCCTTGCCCCCACAAATTTTCCCAGCCTAGGAGGGGGATCCCAATACCTCCCCACTCTCCCTCCTTGTTCCCCCAAATGCCCTCCGCCCACCCCCTTTTTGCAGGCCACCAGAGAGCATCTCTCGGACTTAGCCTGCGGGACCACAGCTGAACTGGGACACTCTGGGGTTGCAGTTCAGCCTTTGTGTCCAAACAGCCTGGAAAGGGTGTGTGTTTGTGTGTCTCTCTCGGCCCCAAAGGACCACGTTTTGTGGGTGTGGGTCCCTTCCTAAAAATCAGGACCTTTCCGCCGCCTTCTCTTCCGCTTTTCCTGCTGCGCCCGTCACAAATCTCTAAAGTAATCCGTTTAAAAAAATGTCCTGAGCTTTAGCCAAAACCAATTCAAGGGCAGACAGGGTGTGTGTATGTGTGTGTGTGTGCGCGCACAAGTGTGCGAGATAGTGTACACACTTCTGGCACATGTCAGTGGTTCACCGTCACTTTCCCGTCTGTGCTGGCTTTTATCTATCTTTGAATAATAATTTTATCTTAAAACGGCCAAGCTGGAAGGGACCCGCTCTGGATCATTGAATCAGGGTGGAATTGTGGGGGATTCGAATTCCCCACCTGTCGAACCACTGAGCTATCCAGCAGTTTGTCTTTCTCCTTTTTTTTAAAAGGCATTTTTTTTGTGGGGAGAAGGTGTAAAGGCAGTGGGTTTCCCGTGCTTTGGCCCCAGCTAAGAGATTTGTAGGGCCAAATTTTTAAAAGATGCAAATAGTTTTGAATGACATTTTAAAATGTGTAACTCTGGTTATTACGTGCCGGAAAAATATGGAACAATAAGATGATTAATCAAGGTTTCAGGGAGAGCAGATAAAACACGCTCATGTGGTCCACTTTTTTGACCTTTTTTTGAAGGATCATTGAAATAAGAGAAGCCCACCTTTTTGGAATGAAGTCAGCTTTCTAGTTATACTGGGGCCTGTGTCTGATAGTGTTGTGTGCAAGTTCCTGACCCACATTGGAATCTACCAGGCAAATCAGAAATCTGCAATAAGGACTAGAAACTTGAAACAGGAAGGTCTTTTTTGCATCCTAGGGATGGGGAAAAAAGAAAAATGCATTTGGCCGACCCCAGAAGGAGGAGGGCCACGAAATCTTATCACTCAACATGTCCTGTAGAAACAAAGCGGTCCCTTCCCTCCCAGTCAGTTGCTCATTCTGGATATAATTAATTCCTCCCGCTTGTCAGTAAAGAGCCCCGAATGGGTCACTTGAGTGCCCTTGTTAACCAGTTGTGGCAGCGTCGGACCATGGATTCGATTAATCGGTGAATGGGCTGGTCCGGAGAGGCAGCCTCTCTCTGAAAGGACAGGAAAGGTTGCCAACTACTTTCTCTGGCCAGGCTCCTGTGCTTTGAATGGGTGCTGCAACTGGCCCGCCAAAGATTTTCCTCGTCCAATTCATGTTTATTGAGCAGCCCTGCAAGGTGGGTCGGTAACACTAGGCCCCGGGTCTCAACCTGGCCCTCTTGAAAATCAGCCACGAGCCGAATCCAGGCCCCCGTTATGGGCAGCACGAGGAACGGTGGCTCATTCATTCAAATAATGACTTTGGAAAGCAAATTTTGGGGGCATTTGGGGGGGGGCTGTTTGAATTGGAGCACCTGGAGTTTTTACACTATCCCGACATCTTTTCCTTCGGGAGCAGATGGAAAGGCCAGGTTTTAATCCGATTGTAGCCCTTCCATGTGGCCACCCTCTGCTTCTCTCCTAGCGCCACCCCTGCGGGGATTCGCTGGAGAGTGATTCATTTCCCTGGCGTGGGTTTGGCCAAACAATTAGCACATGCCCCCCCTCTCGAGGCTGCTTTGAAATGAGGACCCCCCCAAACTTAGCCTCTTGTGTGGACAAAGGATACCCAGAATTTAGTAGCCAACGATAGATAGATAGATAGATAGATAGATAGATAGATAGATAGATAGATAGATAGATAGATAGATAGATAGATAGATAGATAGATAGATTAGATTAGAGATTTTAGCAGGATGCTACCTTTTTCCAGAGACCCCTTCCCAGGATTTTGGGGGTGGGCATTCAAAATATCCCCCTGCTCCCAAACACTCAGTTTGGCAAACACACACCGACAAGGGAAGAGGGGATAAATCTTAGCCCACCCCACCCTCAACCCACTCAATGGGATAGGAGGATGATTAATTTGAGCCGGCGGCTTCTCCCAGATTGGTTTCTCCGGCCCCACCCTGCGCCCGGCCCCCGGGCTTTCGAGCATGGACAGATGGCATCGGTCGACTCATCCGTCCCTCCCAATCTCAGTGAGAACTTTTTTTCCCCCAGATTTTTCCCTCTTCTTTCCTCCCCTTATTTTTCCGGCATGCCTGCCTCAGAGCCGGTCCTCCTTCCCTCCTCCTCCAGTGTTTTCTTTTCTTCCAAATATGATTCCCCCCCCCCTTCTCTCCGTCTCCACCTTTGGCTGCTGTAATTGATGCACCGATGTCTCCATAGAAACAGATCCGAGGTGTCTTGTGAAAAAAGGACCCGTCTCTCTCTCTCTCTCTCTTTCTTCCTCCCCCCGGAGGCGCCTTTCGGTTGCTGGCTTTCTCCCTGCGAGGCGGGACGCGGTGGAGAGACCCAACAGGTACCTGGCCCCATCCTAAAGTTTTGGGAGAGAGGCACCCCTCCGTCCGTTGGTCTTGGCATGACTCCGTGGGACAGGCGGTCCCTTGTACCCGGCGCCCCCGGGGAATGGGGAGTGAGGGGTCTCTCCTTGCACATGGGTCATGGAGTCAGTGGTGCAGGGATGATGAGATTTGTAGTGCACCCCCCATGAGATTTAAAAAGAGGAGGCTAGGGCAAGCCAGAGGCGATGTTTTAATTGCCGTCTCATTTGGAAAAGGAGAAGGGGAATTAATATTCGTGAGATGATTTAATGCTAATAACAGTTCCGGCTGAATTAGAGTTCAGCAATCATCTGGGGGAGGAGAAAGAGATGTGTTTCCCCCCCCTTTGGTTCCTACCTTTCCCAGTCTGGGCTTCAGTCTTTCCAACAGGAAAGGATGCTCCCCTCCCCTCCCCCCTCCCGGCTGTCATGTCTCAGTGTGAGTTTCTCACCAGGCGCTTTTCGTTGGATCCAGTTGATCCTTCATTCTGGAGATCTAAGCTGGGGGTGTGTATGGATCAATCAACCCTTTAAAAAAACAGCACCCCATTCTCATCACTGTGAGACTCCATTTTGGGATTCTCACTGGGTGTGTCTTGGGTCAGGCAGATGTTCAATGGGTCAAGTAACTTGTCCGGAGTTTCCGAACCTGTGAGGAGTCCCTTTCCCAAAATGCATTCAGAGTGAAGCCCATTGAACCCGCTGCTCCGTGCGGAGGTGTGGGGGTGTGTTGTTCCTCCCTTCCCTAAAAACCCCATTGATTCAGTGGGTCAAGCTCTGGCGTGTGTGTGGTGGTTGTTTTTTGGGGACTAACTGGATTTATGGCCCCAAGTAGCCTTTTCTACCCCCCTTGCTGGAATCATGGCTTATTTGGGGACAAACTTAGGAATAAAAGGTCAGGCAGAGGGGCGAGGGGTCTGGAAAGTGGGGGGCGCCTTCTGGAGAACCCTCAAAGGGCTGGATTCGGCCTCAAGTTTGTCCCCAAATAAGCTCAGAGGGAGATGTATAAACCGTGCCAAGTTCTCTTATAATTTTAATTTATTTTCTCTCTCTCCCCCTCCCCCCCCAGGTGACTGTGGCCGACCTTCTCAGCTTGTTCTCCCCTTTCTGCAGTCTTTGAGCTGCTGGTGGATTGCGGGTCGGCCGCCCATCCCCAGCCGCCGGGGAAAAAAACAACCCACTTGCTGGGGTTGTAACGTGGTCTTGGGACCGGCCGGCAAGGCAGTTGGCCGGTTGTGCCGCCGGGATGGATGATGCCTCCACCCTGGAGTACGAGCTGCTTTCCCCGGGCCGGGCCGGGCCCGGAGGCACCGGGGCCACGGGCATGGACGCCGAGCAGAAGACCGTCTTCGCCTTCGTCCTCTTCCTCCTGGTGTTCCTGGTGGTGCTGATGATCCGCTGCTTCCGGATCCTGCTAGACCCTTACAGCCGCATGCCCGCCTCATACTGGACTGACCACAAGGAAGGGCTGGAGAGAGGCCAGTTCGATTATGCCCTGGTCTAGCCTGGCCCCCCGGCATGGCCGGATCTTGCTGCCAGTGGCCGCCGGGACTCCCTGGAGGCCACGAGGAAGTCAGGGAGGGTAAGTGAACACCGATGTGGGCAGCGAGAAGACCCACATTTTAGCGTGATTTTGTTTTTGAGAAAGAAAAGGGTGGTTTTTAATTTATTTTTCCACCCTGGCTTTTGTGTGTGTGTGTGTGTTTCCGAACAGGCACCCAAGTGGTGGAAACGGCCGGGGGACAGATTCTGCCTGAATCTAAAACATCAGGACTCTGGTTTTGGCGTCAAGGGCCTTCCCGGGTCCCCATCCACAACCTTGAGGACTAGAATCTTAGCTGAAGGAAAGGTGTCTCCTGCATGGATGTCGGATCTGCCTTTGTCCCGGGTTCCTTGGCTGGTGTCTCCAGGTAGGACTATTGGGGGAACTCGATGCCTATCGAACCATGAGGACTAGTCTTTGTTTTCATGGAAAAGACTACCACTCCCTCCCACCCTGGGGGCTTTGCATCCAGAACGGCTCAGGCCCCCTCTTGGCATCTTTGAGGAAGGTAAAAAAAAATCCACACTGGACCCTTATCCTGATCTGAACAGCCATCCTCACAAAAGCTGCTGAACATGGTTCAGAATTGGCCTCCCACCGTTTCTTACCCATGGCGCTGGGGTCTCTGCTTTTATCTGTGATGTTGGAAAACACGCAACCTGTCTCTGCCTTTTGTTCTCGGAAGGTGGCCAAAGGGACCACGGTGGGGAAAGGACAGGGGCCATCTAGTGGCAGGGAGTTCCAGGGTCCGCACCCTTCTTTGAAGGTTAGGAAGAGACCAAAATAATCCTCTAATGTGTGAATCCGAGCTCCATGGCTGCGATGCTGCTGGAGGGTAAAAACCGTGGAAATGAAGTTCTTGTTTTGTCTGTAAGAGAAACACCTGTCCCTTATTTTACCCTTGAATAAACCCACCTTCAGATGTTGGGCTTTGCCCTCCCGGTCATCTCCTCTTTATTCCGCACCGGACACACCATTTGGGCCAGAAGCCACGCTTTGGAAAAGCGGAGGGTTGGGTTTGGGCTCCCAGCGGTCACAAGGGAGACGGGAACGCTTGGCGTTTCGAAAGGAGGATGGCACCCACATTAACCCAAAATAACTTTATTACTGCCGGCCTCTCCCCAACTCGTGGTACAAGAAAACCCCAAAGCCTGAAAACAGGTCCCCGGCAGCCGGTGGTTGCTTTCAGTGCCGTGCGCGGCCCAACCCTCCCCACCCTGGCCACGGAGAGAAAAGCCACCGGCGTGGCACCAGGAGGAGCCAAAGGGGAGGGCCCCACACCCCTCCCCGCCTCAACACGCACATAGAATAAAATCACAGACCCCACACACACGTTCCCACTCACTATGCACACCCCTTTTGGCTACATGGTTATAATTATCATTGTCATTATTAATATTATTAATAAACAGCAGGGGAGGACTAGCACCATTTGGCAAAACCTGAAAGAACAAGTAGATCATAAATGACTGTATAGATATACAGTATAGGTACCTATCGATAGATAGATAGTCTATTATGTATATAGTCTGGAAGTTTCAAGTTTTAGGGGGATCTCAAGAGAATACCCCCATCTGCTTTTTTTTTAAAGGGGGGCACAGATTCAGAAACCAGATTAACCCTCTCTGCGCTCCCTCTTGGAAAACTGAGAAATATTTGCTGTTCCACGTTTTTTCCCCCTTTTGGAAGCATTGGAAGAAAACCAGAACAGTGGACAGCCATCCTAAATTTTAGAAGTCTAATGGATTTTTTTTTTAAGCTAGCTTCAGTACTATAATAGCCCCCTTCCCCATTGGTTTTTTTTAAAAATACAAATATAAAAAGAACCCTGTTTCCCCCCTAAAATGTCTCTCTGTCCAACAGCAGAAGGCTGCAGAGAAGGTGAAGACCCGACGGAGAAATGCACATTTTAAAGTTTGTGTTGTAAACTGGATTGCCGACCTGGCAGAGGCCCTGAAAGCTTTCTGTGGAGTGGAAGAGAGGTTCAAGCCAAGCCAGGAATCCACCCTTATTAAATATATACATTTATCTATAGCTGCACGAGATGAGGACGCCGTCGGGCGCGTGGGTGGTGTAGATGCCTGAGTTTCTTCCCTTGTGTCGTATTTCTCTGGCCTGAGAGTGGACCTCCCCCTTACCAGTTCTTATGGAGTAATCTGGCTCCGGGACAAGAGCGGATTAAAACGGGACGAAAGGATCTCATGTAGAAGGCCAGGGTCTTCCGTATAGACCCCGGGAGACTGATGTGGGTGCTGTCTGATTCTGCAGAGAGTTCGATTTGGATTGAGAACCGGATTAAGGATTTCTCTCCATTTGCTCATAAATAATTCCGCAAAAGCTGTGCCATGTTGAGAGAGGACGCCCCAGAGAAAGGAAGCTGCAACGAGGCTACCCAGTTGAAGAATGAGGCTACTAAAGAGGAGACCTACACTACGCATTATTACAGTTCGATTCCAATTTTAACTACCATGATTCCGTTCTATGGAAAGCTGCCGTTTGGTGAGGCCTGTTGAAAACTCCTAAGACCCTGGATCTACAGCGCTGAAGACTACACGGTATTGATCTAAGAGATCCAGATTGCTTCTGCGGCTTCATTGCCACCCCAGGATCCTATCGTTTGCAATTGGGGGAGGAAGGACTTGGAATTCTTTGCTCAGAAACCCACTCTCGGAGGCCTCCCTGAATTAGGATCGAGAACCCGGACGGCCCTCCCAGGATTGTCGGATGGAAATTCCAATCACCGTTGGCCCGATCTAGCGCTGTAGCAAAGGCAGCGCGCCAAGAGTCCGGACCGGATGGGAGAAGGGACCATCGGGTCGCGGAAACTGTTGGCTCTGGGGGGGGGGGGGGGGCTGAGTGGACGGCTTTGTTTGTTGAGTCGTTTCTGTGGTCATTTCCCAGAGTCCTACAACCAGGAGCGATTATGCTGCCCCACGGCGTGTAAGATTATGTGCGTGTGGGTACAGGGGGTGGTTGTGTTCACCTGGAAGGGTGGGGGGGGAGGAAAGAACACTAAACAGATTCGGAGTGGTTCGCCTGTGGTTGTCCCCCACCCTCACCGAGGCTGTTGTTTGGTTGATGATCCCAGAAGAACAGGGTGCTGAGTTCGGGGTGTGGGTTGACGAGGAGGGTGTTGTGCAGCCCGCGTGCTCGGTGTTTCCTCGGATGCCTCTCCGTGCCCCACCAGGGGCTAAAAAAGGCGGAGTTGCAGCCTCAGCTTGAGAGCCTGGCCGAGTTCTCCAGCGAGGTAGTCAAGATCCTTGAGGGCCTCCAGTTTCTGGAGCTCTGCTTTGCGATAGTGGGGCACGCTTAGGATCTCTAAGAGGTAAGTCCCCGGGGTGGCGCGCTTGCGGGCCACGTGGAGGTAGCTGAGCCCCTCTTTCTGGTGGATGTGGAAGAAGCCCTCGGGGTTCCCCTGAGTGATCACGTAGCGGACGTGGTTCTCCAAGGGGACCACGGCGGGCAGGAGTTCGAGGATGTGCTCCTTGTGGCCCAGCTGAGACAGATTCAGTGCCACCACCAAGGGGGCCTCGGCATCAATGCTGGCGAGGCTGACGATCTGCTCCTCCTGGAGGGGAAAAAAAAAGAAGAACATTTGTGGGAAATTACTTTTTAAAAGGTGATGCGGGACTTTCTCCTCTGTTACAGCCTTCAAAAGGACCCACGGCCACGGTAGCAGCTTTTGTGGATGGCACTCTCTGGAGAAGCAAGTTCTGTGAGACAAAACCTCTGAGCCTTCCAGAGGGCCCCAAGGATCCTCCCTGTTTTAAACTTCTAAACGTAACTTTGAAAAGTTACAGCAGGGAAGTTCCTTTACTGTCTGTTCTCTCCCAAGCATCGTAAAGCACGAAAAGAGATCAGGCGCTCTTACCCAACGATCCTGGGTCTCGTTGGCGCTGCGCCGGTGACGCCCTCTCTTTGGGTAGCCGTTGATCTTGCACTCATAACACGCCTCGGGAGACAGCAGGTTCTCCTCTTCTTCCTCTGGCGGGGCGGGGAGATACGCCTCTTTGCCAAAACCGAGCCCAGAGACGCAGTGCCTGCCATCGGAAGAGAAAAGTCCGAGAACAGGAGAGCATGAGAGAGAGGAGGAAGGTGGCAAGCCGGACGGTTCCTTGCCCGACGGTACTTTGGCGCCACCCTCCGGAGGCTAGCTTTGGATGGAGACAGGGGTCTTTTCCAAAGACAAAGGCTCTGAACGCCCCCCCCCCCGGGCCAAGAGAGTGCCGAAGGCCGGATGGCGGACTTACCCTTGTCCCGCGCGGAAATACCCGCCCGGGCAGCCGCACAGGTAACCCCCTTCCGTGTTGGAGCAGCCGTAGCTGCAGGGGCTGCTCCCCGCCGCGCACTCGTTGACGTCCTGGCAGCCTCCGAAGGCTTGGTCGAAATCGAAGCCGGAGGGGCAGAGGCACTTGAAGCTCCCCAGCGTGTTGTAGCAGGAGGCCGACCCACAGGCCGTGGGGCTGGAACACTCATTCTCGTCTGCGAGGAAACGCACCAGGAACCAGAACAGTGGTAAGGGGTCGTCGGTGGTCTCCCCATAACCCACCCCAAAAGTAACTCACAACACCTAAGTATAAATCTATGGGCTACTTATGAGCTCAGTCATGCCCCTTCGGCTTTCTTGGGCTTCTGGGCTCTGCCACTTACCCACGCACTGGTTCCACTGGTAGTGCTGGATGTAGCCCTGGGGGCAGCCACAGCGGTAGCCCCCCAGCACGTTCTGACATCCGTGTTGACACCGGTGGTTTCCATCACATTCGTCCACATCTGTGTGCCAACAAAGGTTTGGTTTTTTGTGTTTTTTAGAGGGGGGGGAAAGCAATGTCTTAGTAGTTGAATCTCAAAGCCAAAACATCAGTGTTCCAAAAGGAAGTGGGGGCCAGAAGCTGGGTTCCCCCATCTCCCTTTTTGGAGCGCCTGCTTGGCCATCGGCATGACGCTCTGAGGTGCCCTCCCTTCGTACCTTCGCAGCTGTTGCCGGACGTGTCGAGCGTAAAACCCTTCTGGCACTCACAGTTGTAGCTCCCGGGGGTGTTCAGACACTGCCCTTTGGCTCCGCACAGGGTTGGCTGGGCCGTGCATTCGTTGTTATCTGTGCGGTGGGTGGGGGGAGGCAGGAGGTGGGTCACCTTTGGGCTCAACAAGAGTCGCTGTTGCTCGTTTTCCCCATTCCATTGCTCCCGAGCCTAGGGAACTCACCAATACAGGATGAATGGTGCTGAGTGAAACCCGGCGGGCACTTGCAGTTGAATCCGCCGATCACGTTCACACAGAGGAACTGGCAGTTGTGTTGTTTGGTCGAACATTCGTCCAAGTCTAGACGCCATCAAGAAAAGAACCCAGGAGTTATTCCCGCCCCCAGATGGAACGGAAAGTAACTTGGAAAAAAGGAGTGAGTTACAACTAGGGTTCCTAAAAAAGCACAGAGTTGATTTTTTAAAATGGTAACTCTAACACGTAGAGCTATTAACTGAAAGCTTTCTGGTTGTACCTCTTATAATTACTGTTTCACAAAGCAACTCTGTGTTTTGTTACTACTGTTCAGGAACAACTAAAATAGTTACCTTAAAATATCAGAACGCTACCTGGTGTTGGTGTATGATGTAAATCACACCTTCCTATAACTTACTGATATTTTTTTTCTTTCATTTTTTTACTCTTTAACTCGTTGGACGATGCAGAAATAATACCTAATTGTAACTAGGTATGTTTTTATGGGTAACTATTTTTAATTCCCTTGTGGGGATATTTTTAAATTATGCGTAGAAGTCCACTCTGAAATATGCATCTTTAAAACACAACCCCAAATTCTGGTATATTTTGTTTAAATTAAACTTTGGTATATTTTGTTTAAATTACGCTTGGAAATACATTATTAAGCATATGTCAAAATGCATTTTTTAAAAACTGAATTTTCTAAAGGTACGCATTTTATATGTATTGTTTGTTATGCATGGACATTAACTCTCTAATACCTGTATAAAAACACCTGTCTCAAAATGAACATTTCATATAAATTGTTAGAACAGTACAAGAAATTAACTCTTAATTCTGTTCCTAGAGGCATTTTTGAGCAAGCCTTATTTGTCAAAATACATACAGTGGTGCCCCGCATAGCGACGATAATCTGTGCCGAAAAATTGTCTCTATCCAGATTCGTCACTATGCGGGGGGGAAAGCCCATAGGAACGCATTAAAACACGTTTAATGCGTTCCTATGGGGAAAAAACTCACCGCTATGCGGAAATCCTCTATCTGGCTGCCATTTTCACTGCCCGGTAAGCGAGGAAAGGGTGCGAAAACACTGCGGGCGGCCATTTTTCCCCTGGCGGCCATTTTGGAGCTGCCGATCAGCTGTTTTTAAAACATCACTATGCGAAAATCAGTAAGTGAAACGCTTACCAATCATCGCAAAGCGATTTTTGGCCATCTAAAACATCACAATGCGATCGCTTTTGCGATCACAAAAACCTCACTGCTATGCGGATTCATCGTTAAATGAGGCGCTCGTTAAGCGAGGCACCACTGTATTTGAAACACCTTCTTTAAATTGTGCATGGAAACCCACTTTCTAAATGCAACTGCTCGGTGTACACTTTTAAGTACCTTTTCCTTTTCAAAATGTTTTTCCCCCCAAGGGGATTTCAAGATATTTTGCTTTGAAATATTCACAGACACACAAAAACCAACAGACAGCTCTTCTCCAATCCATCCCGTCAGATCGAGGCAGTTTGATACCAAGAAATCAAACAGAATTCTACCAGGGTCTCAAATTTCAAGCTTTCTCCCTTTCCAAATGGCTAAATACCTTTACAGGTTTTCCCGTCTTCTTGCAGGATGTAACCCCTCGGGCACAAACATTGGAAGCTTCCCTCTGTGTTTTTGCAGATGAAATTGCAGGGCTTGGGGGACTGGTTGCATTCATCAAGGTCTACGGCCGAAATTTAAAAGGAAGAGGTGAACCAAACGGGAAAAAAGAGTCAGTGTTCCCTCTGTCAAGGTCTCAAACTCTAGATAAGGAAAGGCCTCCGCTTTCTGTCCTGCAGCTTCCAAGGCTTTCATGCAATTCCCATGACTGGTGGGAAAGAAGGAGGAAGTCTTTTAATTACTGAAAATCACCCCTTCTCAAGGAAATCACCACCATTACCCTTCTGCACGCATCGTAAGGGCAAGTATGTCAAAATGAATTAAACACATGTAACATCTTATTTCTGATGCGTTCTTTCTGAGCTGTTGGGAGGTTGGGCTCACCCTGGCAAGCTGTTCCGGTGATGTCAGATGTGTAACCCAGCTGGCAGAGGCATCGGAAGGAGCCCATGCTGTTGATGCACTGTCCATTTTTACACAGGTTTGGGAGCACCTTGCATTCATCAATGTCTGGATTGTAAAATGGAAACAAAGAGGGAAATGTGAAGTCCTTGAGGTTAATTCTGAGTGGAATGTTACATTGCTGGGGTAGCAAAGGTGGGCACATCACTATGGGAATTCTCCCTGTCACTATCCCATAGTATGAAAAACCAAAGGGAAGGGAATGGCCACTGGAGACAGGCACTATGCAAGTTCATAGCTCCTTTAGTGGGTAGCAGCGGGTGTGCCTTAGAGAGACCAACACACGGAGATAGTAAGAAGGGTCATTAATAGGCTGCAATACTGGGGTGGATACTGGGGGGAGACATAGAGCTGCTTAATAAATCAGTTGCAGCACCAGGGGCAACCATGAGATGGTGGCAGAGCAGCTTCATAAATAGGTTGCAGTATTGGGGTAGTCACCTGAGGGAGGCAGAACAAGCTCATAAATACCAGGGTGCAATATGGGGTGGCCGACAAAGTGGGCTCATAAGTAGCCTGCAGTACCAGAAGTAGCCAGTGGAGGGAGACAGAGCGGGTTTGTAACAACCAGGCTGCAATGGCAGTGTTTGGCTACCGGAGGCCGACAAAGAGCAGGTTCATAAATATCAAGATGCAACTGCAGCCTTTGACCACCAGAGGGAGACAAAGCGAGTTCATAACTACCAGGCTGCAATGGCAGTGTTTGGCCACCAGAGGCTGACAAAGAGCAGGTTCATAAATATCAAGATGCAACTGCAGCCTTTGACCACCAGAGGGAGACAAAGCGAGTTCATAACTACCAGACTGCAATGGTAGTGTTTGGCCACCAGAGGGCGACAAAGAGCAGGTTCATAAATATCAAGATGCAACTGCAGCCTTTGACCACCGGAGGGAGACAAAGCGAGTTCATAACTACCAGGCTGCAATGGCAGGGTTTGGCCACCAGAGGGAGACAAAGAGCAGGTTCATAAATACCAGGCTGCAATGGCAGTGTTTGGCCACGAGAGGCCGACAAAGAGCAGGTTCATAAATATCAAGATGCCACTGCAGCCTTTGACCGCCGGAGGGAGACAAAGCGAGTTCATAACTACCAGGCTGCAATGGTAGTGTTTGGCCCCCAGAGGGCGACAAAGAGCAGGTTCATAAATATCAAGATGCAACTGCAGCCTTTGACCACCGGAGGGAGACAAAGCGAGTTCATAACTACCAGGCTGCAATAGCAAGATTTGGGCACCCGGCGGGGTACAACAGAGATGCAACTGCAGCCTTTGACCACCGGAGGGAGACAAAGCGAGTTCATAACTACCAGGCTGCAATGGCAGTGTTTGGCCACGAGAGGCCGACAAAGAGCAGGTTCATAAATATCAAGATGCAACTGCAGCCTTTGACCACCGGAGGGAGACAAAGCGAGTTCATAACTACCAGGCTGCAATGGCAAGATTTGGCCACCGGAGGGAGACAAAGAGCAGGTTCATAAATACCAGGCTGCAATGGTGGCCTTTGACCACCAAGGGAGTCATGGAGCATCTTTTAATGGGAATTAATAAATTAAACCTCAAACATGCTATCTTTCTCCCTCTGGTGGCTAAAGTCTGCTATTGCAGCATAGTTTTCATGAATCTGCTCTTTCTCTCCCTCCAGTGGTGAAATCATGCTACTGCAACCTAAGATTTACAAAGCTGTTACATATTCAATGACCCACTTCCTGATATTGCAACCTTATAGATTTGTGGATGTGTGCTTTGTCTCCCTCCAGTGGCCAAAGGCTCCTATTGCATCCTGATATTCATGAACCTGCTGTTTCTCCCTCTGGTGGTCAAAGGCTGCTATTGCATCCTGATATTTATGAACCTGCTCTTTGTCTCCCTGTGGTGGCCAAACCCTGCCATTGCAGCCTGGTTGTTATAAACCTGCTTTGTCTCCCTCCAGTGGCCAAACCCTGCCATTGCAGCCTGGCATTTATCAACCTGCTCTTTGTCTCCCTCCGATAGCCAAAGGCTGCAATTGCATCCTGGTATTCATGAACCTGCGCTTTGTTGCCCTCCGGTGGCCAAATTCTGCCATTGCATCCTGATATTTATGAACCTGCTCAGTGTCTCCCTTTGGTGGCCAAAGGCTGTTATTGCAGTGATTCGCATAAAGTGGCCTAAATATTTAAGTAATATTAACTTTTAAATAATAAAATGATTTATTTTTGTAATGCTGACACATCCTTTGTAGGCCACACCTTTGTTCAGCAGCCTGCTGTTGCTTCTTATGGAAAGTACAAAGGGCCTTTTCTCCCTCCAGTGGCCACACACTCATCCTGCACTTGATGAATGAAGTCTTATCTGCCTGTTCAGTGTCTCCCTCCGATGGCCATGTCAGGCACTGATTTCTCCTCTGACCCTCTTCCTCTTGGAATCAGCTGCCCAAGTCGACGAGGGCCCTGCACTCACCTCTCCCATCTGTCATGTAGCCCGGCCCGTGTGGACACATCTTTTTGTAAGGACCAGTGCCCGGGAAGGGGCAGAGTTCGCACTGGGGCCCCCAGCCTCGCCCTCCGTTGCAACAGCACTCCGATTTTGCAACCTGGTGCCGGTTGGTGGAGGCCATTTGGCACATGGTCTGGAGCACCTCCGTGAAGCAGAAGCCCTGACGCATGTCTGGCGTGGGAAAGAGGCAGGGTTACTGGGCAGCTCGCCTGGTGGCGGGACTCGGGTGCGGATCATGCTCCGTGCATGCTAAGGGGGGCAGATGGATGTTAAGGGCAGCCACCCTCTTCAAATCACACCCACCCTCCCCTCTATTCTTTCCTGTCACACTGAGAGGGTACAACTTGGCTCACACTCTTGTGAACCAGCCCATCCTGGGCTGAATGCTTCAGACCCCTTCTTGTGCTATCCCGAGACGACTCCCAGCATCCACCACCCAGCTGTCCCGTGATGGCTGCCAACCACCTCCACTCAAGCGCTGGGGGGGGGGGTTTACCAAGGCATTCAGTGCCGGAGGGGCTGCTCTGGAAGCCTTCGTTGCAGTCACAGTGGTAGCTGCCCACGGCGTTCACGCAGCGGCCGTTGGGGCAAAGGCCCGGCTTTGTACGGCACTCATTCTCATCTGCGGGTTGGGAAGGGGTGGGAGAAGATCCGGTCAGGAGGGGAAGGAAAAGCCACCTCTTTGCTTCCTGCCCCACTTCCCCACCCTTCGTTGGCTACAAAGCCCCAGACGTGACGTGGGATTCTCCCCTCTTGGGCCGGCCCGCCGGCCCAGCTCGTTGGGAGGACAAGCCGTCCATCTCCTAAATCTCAGAAATACCCGTGAGGGGGCTAACCGTCTAACACTGAATCTTAGAAATGACAAATATCTTACATATCTATAAGCCACTGGACCATCTCACCTGAGCAAAGCACCCACATGACACACCCACTTTTGTTCCCTGTGGTCATGAGAACTAGAAAGCTGGCATCTTTCTTAAAACCAAAAGAGGAAACCGGGAGGGTGGGTGGTGTGCCTCTCACCTGTGCAGCCCTCGCCGTCCGGCCGGCGCTGCATCCCCGGCGGGCAGATGCAGGCGAAGGTGCCAATGAGGTTCTTGCACAGCATGCCCTGTGAGCCACAGTCGTGGGTGCCCTCGGCGCATTCGTCCAGGTCTGCAGCAAGGGAGGGAGACAGTAGCAGGCGCAAGACAGCCCAGGGTTCAAAACCCCAACGACTCCTGCTACAGTTTGGAAAGCTCTCTGGGGAACTAGCTGTAAGGACTAGAACCTTCCTTTCCTCTTCAAGGGTCGCCGTAGCTCGGAGATAACAGACCGGGCGGCATCCAGAAGGGCCCAAATCCTGGCTGGGAAAGATCCCTTACCTTTGCACATTCGTCGGTCATCCCGCAAGGTGTACCCTGAGGGGCAAGTGCAGTCGTAGGAGCCAAGAGTGTTGAGGCACCGGAAGGCACAGAGCAGGGGGTTCAAAGCACACTCATTGATATCTGGGGGGGGGCAGAGAGAAGATTGTGGACTCAGGAACCCCATCTTTGCTCACCCGGAGGATGCCGCCCTTCTGAGGGGGGACAGGCAGGGTCACCGACCATTCCGAAGCAAACCCTCCATGGACAGGAGCAGTCTACCCCCAACAGTGATGTGGCAAACAGGTCTTTCTTGGCACGGCTATGTAATGCCTGCTTCTTGGCCGGGGGAGCTTAAGAGGCTCAGCAAAAAAAATCTGGTGACGGTTTGCACTTCCCCAACCGACCGTGGTCCGAAATGAAGCGCCGTTACCTTCACACGTCATCATCGGCCCTGGCTCGAATCCCTCGTCGCAGGCACACTCGAAGCCCCCGACCACGTTGGTGCAGGTCCCGTTCCCGCAGGGGTTTCCGATGGAGCATTCGTCCGTGTCTTGGTGGCCGGGGGAGAAAAAACATGATTTGGGGCCTGGCTAGGAAGCCACTTTCCCAGCCCGTTCGTGTTTTACCGAACGTGTCCCCGATTCGTGCATCTCGAAGCCGTGGCCTTATTTTAAAGCCACCGCTGCACCTTTCCCCCTCCAGTCTCCGCCCTCTGAGAAGGGTTTGGGCTGCAGAGCGGCCGCTCCCAACTTACCCACACAGTTCACGCCAGTGTAGTCCAGGTTGTATCCGAAGGGGCACTCACAGCGAAAGGACCCGTCCGTATTGATGCAGGCCCCGTTGACGCAAATGCTGGGGTTCTCCAAGCATTCGTTCACATCTGGGGAGGATTAACAGAAGGAGGGGAGTCCCCAAAACGGGCAGGAAGGAAGAAAAGTGGAACTGGCATGGTTTTTACTTGATTTGCCCTCCTCACACAAATACACCAATTTTGCCCAGAAAAAATGGTTCGAATGAAACAGGGTGGAGGAAATTGTCCACAATCCTTCCGGATGGCTCTCTCCATCCGCCCCTGTGAAAAACCTCCAGAGTTCTTAGAGGTCTAGCTTAACTCACAAGCTTGTAAGCAAAATCTCAAAGGCCATGGCAAACGGGAAGACGGGGTTTCCCTCTCGCCTCCAGCCTTTCTTCGGAGGGACGACGAGACTGACCTTCTCGGGTATCTCCGAGTCCAGGGATGGCACCATGGCCGTACGGGCACAGCTCCTGGAAAGCAACTGACAAGGCAGGGGGTGGGTGTTTAGAAAGGAGACGCCATTCCTCAACATTCTTACAAGAAAAGTGAAAAAGTGTTCTTTGAATCCTTAAAGATGGACACTGTTATTTTGATATTTTCTATCATGCGATTGATTGCCTGGTGGCCCGTTGATACGATAATTTGTACACGGTATTATCTCAGCAGTGTGAACCGTTCCTTTTTAATTCTGAGGATGTTAACAAAGGGGTGGGCTGGGAAAAAAGGAACGCTCACCCAGAAATAAATAAGGGCCAGAAGATTTTGTTTTTCCACTGTACCTGAATGACTCAAGGAATCAAGCAAGGCATTAAAGCACTCAATGCCTAAAGAGCAAGATGTAAAGTGTTCAGCATTTAAACCTGAACAATGGCACACTGATGCGCCTCTTTCTGAAGATCTGATGGCCGGCAACCTCGTCTTGATCAAAAGGACGTTTTACGGATTTCCCCTTTGCCAAACCGCCCACCCCGGCCGAGCCAGGTGGGTCGCTACTCACCGTTTCCTTCCTGGGGGCACAGTTCGCAAGGGTCCCCCCAGCCTTCCCCGGGCATCTTGCTACAACAGCACCGAGCTTTTGTGGTGTTGAAGGCCTTCGGGACCGAGCACTTCCCATTGTCAAAGCGGGTGAAGCAGAAGCTCTGGCGGGTGTCTGCGGGGAAAGAAAGCAAGGGGAAAAGTTTTTTTTTAAAGGGAGGGGGTTGCGAGTGGGGTGGAAAAGGCAAATTCTGCAGCCAGAATCCTTCGCGTAATGTGAGCCCATCAGGGCAAAGGATGAGAGGTGTTCTGCTCTCTGTCCATCATCATCTACTTAGCTTGATCCAAGCGGGAGATGATTTAGGAGCTGTCCCTGAGCAGGGATGGGGAAACAGCACAAAAAAGCCCAACCAGAGCAGGGGGGGTGCTTTAACTTCTAGACCCCAAGAATTTCCAGCTAGAGGATTCTGGGACATTGTAATGCGAAAGGAGCAGTTCAAAGATCTGTTTGCGTGGGTTAAGTAAAACCTCCGTACCCAGGAGCAGTCTAACTCGGAGGATTGGCCTGGCCAAGCAGCTCTTTCCCTCTGGATCCAACTTGACTCTCACCATAGGTACAATGAAAGTGGTCCTCTTTTCCCTCCCCAGAATGGCCACAATGGTTGGAGGAACTCCCCACCCACCCTGCCGGGCCCTCGGCACTCACCAAAACAACGGCGGCCGTTGTCGGACAGCACGAACCCTGGCGGGCAAATGCACTGGAAGGTCCCTGGGATGTTGGTGCAGGTCCCGAACAGGCAGATGTTGGGCTCCTCCTCGCACTCGTTGATGTCTGAAACCCACCCAAAGAGGTGTGGAAGTGGCCGGCCAGCAATGCCCATCCTCCCAAGGCCGGCTCGAGGGCTGGCCTTTCTGCCTGGGGAACGATGGGAGTCGTTGCCCCAAACCTGCTCCTTTAGAAAAGCTCTGAGGCAGACCAGAGGCAGCTCAATGGACCGACTGGTTTGACTGGGACTCAGGTGAGATGGAGCGATGCTGTAAAGGAAGCCACGATCTTGAGCTTGCAAGACCTGAGCTGTTCCAAGGGGTCGCACAGATGACGGAGAACGGACCCAAACAGAGGTCAGCTCCCTTGATTTGTATTTTAAAGCACCTTTTTGTCAGAAGATTCTGGGAATGTGATATTAGTGGGAAGGCCATAACTAAGTAGACTGTGGGTAAGCTCAGCAAGTTAAACTACAACCGGGGAGGTGGGCGTCTCTGTGGGTCGTGGGGCGGACCCTCCTTACCAATGCAGTTGTCATTCTGGACTTCGTAACCCGGAGGGCAGATGCAACGGAAGGAGCCTTCTAAGTTCTGGCACGTTCCTGGGGAACAGGTCCCTGGAAGGCTGATGCATTCATTGACGTCTATGGGGAGGAAGAAGAAGGTGGACGTTGGGGGTCACACGGGTCTCACCAGTCTGGAAGAGTTCTCCAGAAAGGAGAAGCAGGAGAGCATCCCCTCCAGACCCAGAAAGGGGGCAGAACTGTCAGATCCCAAAGATGTGGGGGAGGTCAAGAGGCTGAGAGGCTGGTGGGAGGTCGCCCAGTCCCTGCCTCAAAGGCTGGACCCCCCTCCCAGTCCACGAAAACGTCACAAGATACATGAACGAGCTTTGCAAGGTGCAGCAATTGAGCAAAAGAGAGAAAAGAAGATGATGCCACGATGATGGGAGCTGTAGTCCAAACAAAGCATACACACACACACCAGCTGAGACACCAGCTAAGGCTTTCTCCTGCCCTCCTGGGAGAGGGGAAGTTCCAGAGGGACTCACCAACACAATTCTTGCCGTCCGGGGTGTGGTCGTAGCCCTCCTGGCAGAGGCAACGGAAAGAGCCCACGTTGTTGATGCACTGGCCGTTCCGGCACACTTGCCCCACCAGGGCCGAGCACTCGTCCACGTCTGCGGGGGAGAAGCGGGCCCGGCGAGGTGAGCATGGCCTTGCCAGGAAGCTCACCGGGGAGGGGCTTCCCTCCCCTGCTCGCCATGCACGCAACCAGCCCGCCCCCTTCTCCGTTTCTCTCCACCCCTTACCCATGCAGTCGTTGTTGTGGGTCAGCTCAAAGCCAGGAAAACAGAGGCAGTTGTAGGAGCCCACCGTGTTCTTGCAGGTCCCGTTCCCGCAGGGTTGGCGGTCACACTCGTCAATGTCTGGGGGGGGGAGAGAAGGGCCGCTGATCAGCGAGCGGGCCGTTTTCTACGGCTTTCCTGACAAGATCCAAAGGCATCTCTGCTTCCCTCCAAAATAGGCAGAGAGACCTACTTTTTGAGCGGTTGCGTAAAAAAAAGGAAGCCAAGAAAACGGCATCTCGCAAGCTTGGATCCTCAACCACGGGATGGAGCTAATTCCGAGTGAGGGTGAGGCTCCTCTTACCCTTGCTCCGAATGGGCGGGCTGTTTTTGGCCACCGTTTTTTTTGCAGGGTTTCCGACAATTACACTGGATTTCTCGCCGTCCCTCTAGGGACCTGGAATCGGACTGACTCTGGCTGGAGCCATCTCAAGCCACCCCCGAACCTACCCATGCACATGGTCAGGTCACCGGTGGCTTTGAATCCGTTGAAACAGAGGCAGAGGTAGCTCCCTTCCGTGTCGACGCAGTCCCCGTGGCTGCAGACGTTGGGGATTTCCTGACACTCATTTCGGCCTCAGGGTCGAAAAGAGAAGCAAACAGTGGGAAACTCTTTTTTTTAAAAAACACACACACTTTACAGTGCTCAACAACGACCCTATAAAGCAGGCATCTATCCTCATTTTACAGGCCCAGCGAAGAATCCTGGCTTGTCCATAACTGCTTCCCCAGCTGAGAAAGGGGGGGAGGGTGAGGGATCCCCTTGGGTCCATGGAGCAAAGGGAGGAGGCCCATCTTACCCACACATGCTCCGCTCGGCGACAGCTTGTATCCAGAGGAGCATTCGCACCTGTAACTACCCGGGATGTTCAGGCAGTCGGCATTGCGCTGGCAGAGGTTCTCTCCACTGCTGCATTCGTCAATGTCTGCAGGAGAGCAGAAGCAGAGGGGGGGGAACTCAGGAGCCTCTCTAGACCAGACGCTGAGCCTGTAGTTAGAAGCAGTGCTCCCTCAAGAAAGAAAAATGATCTGTGCTTTCCAACACAAGTTTGCATCAATCAACATGGGGCCAAATCGCTTGCTTCATGCCTGTGGTCCCAAGACATGTGGCACTGAAAGATTCGTTGCAAAAGGATTGAATAATACTTTTGGCGTGGGCCTCCCCTGCCTGCCTCCCTCCTTCCCTCCTCCCCTCCCCAGATCCTTTTCTCCTCCTCCTCTCCCTGGACCGTCACCTTCACAGATCAGCAGGATGTTGTTGTAGCTGAAGCCGATGGGGCACTCGCAACGAAAGCTGCCAATCTGGTTGATGCAAACGCCGTTGGTGCAGATGGCGGGGATCTCGCTGCATTCGTCAATATCTGCCAGGGAGGGAGAGGGGAGGGTGTCACTTCTGGCGGGGTGGTGGGTGGGGTTCAAGCAGGGAGCGAAAGGATGGTTTATGGGAGAGGGTTTCCTTACCGATCGGCTTTCCCGTGTGAATATCAATGATGAAGCCAGGGGCCTGGTTGCCACACAGGATCTGGTACTCAGCTGCGAGGAGAAAAAGGCACCCTCACCCTCTTGTGGGATAAAGGAGACAGTCCCTTTGCAAGACCTGAGGTGGAAGACCTGGCAAACGGCTCAGGTTCAGCAAAGAGCACCTGCGTGTGCTTCTGAGTGAATGTTTTTTCGGCATTAGGTTTCTCTGCATGAGTTCTTTTTCTACATTGGTCTGTATTTTTTCACCTTAAGGGCGAACCAGACTAGCAAATCAGTTTTAGTGAAGGCCGCCTTACCTCATCATGACACTGTACTTTGTACCAATGGTAGAGAGAGAGAAGAGAGAGAGACATTTTACAGTTAGACTTTTAAAAAAACACTTGAAGGAGCACTCCTTCTAGAAACGGATTTCTCTGGGCACATGCTTTGGACCCCAAATTTCACCGGGCTTGGGGCGGAGGAGGTGCGCTCTTCCAGGACACTCATCACTTCCAAAGTAGCCGCTCAGCGCTGGCCCAGTTTCGTCACGAGGCTCACACCCCACCCTGCAGAGAAGGTCCTGGCCCCAAGCAAGTCACTTACGGCTGGCAGGGGTGGGGCAGGGCTCACAGGGCTTATTCCAGGCCTTCCCGATGTTGTACGAACAACAGCACATCTTCTTGGTCATGTTGAAGGACAGCTCGTTTTCACAGGTATCGTTATAGTTGCGGTAACACAAGCTCTTCCTCATGTCTGGAACAGAACCGAGATAGGGGGTGTCGTAGGAAAAGGAGGGCGCGGGCAGAGAAGAGACAGGATCAGGCCAAAGGGCTGCCTGACCCAGGACTTCAAAAACTTAAGTTTTATTTTGCATCTGTTACTACAGTGCCCATGGTCCAGCCACAGCAGAGGAAGCAGCCACATCAGTGAAAGGGGGGGGGTTGGGTTTTGACAAAAGCTAGTAAGTCTGAAAAGGGAGCTTTTCAAAAAAGAACCCCCATGAGAATCCCGCACAGAAACCTACAGATTTTCCCCGCTCCCTCCTGGACTTCAAAGTCACACGGATTCCTCCTTGTTAAGTGGCTGAACTGGGTTGCCAACTCTTTCTTTCCGAAGAGGTTCCTCTGCTTTGACCCACCCCCACCCTGGTCCTCTCTGTAATGCTCTCCCTTCCCCGTTGGGTGGGTGCCGAAAGCAGGGAGGGACTCCCTATCCCCATTTATTTATTTTATTTGCATTTGCTAGCATGATGGACCCACAGGGCTTGGGTGGGTATAGAACCAAAGGGAAGATTTTGGGGGAGATGGGAAAAAAGCATAGGAGGAAATAAGCTGGACAAATTTCTCTCTGAAACACCGTTCCAGCGAGATAGAGAGACCGCCACCCCCCAAGCCCATTTTATGGGGGCGCCCCCCTTGGTTTCGTACCCATACAGTTGTTCCCGCCGTTGACCTGCATGTATTCCGGGGGGCAGACGCAGGTGTAATTCCCCAGCGTGTTGTAACAGGTCCCCGGGCCGCAGATCCCTATGTGCGCTGAACACTCGTCGATGTCTGGAAGATGGTAGCGGGGTGGGGGAATGGGAGGAGAAAACAAGGGTTCCCCCCAGCACGCCGAGCGTTATTCCAAAGCCCTCTGGACAGGAAGCTCCCAAAGACGCCAGAAAAGATGGTTCGGGGTTTATGGGACCCGTAGATTCATCTCCACGTTTCTGCTTCCTTAAAAAAAACCCTTGTGGTACAGTTGACGAGGAGCCGTCTCAAGAGAGTCTGCTGTCTGAGTCCAAAAAATCCCCCCCACAAACCAACCCTGCGAGGGTTCCCCCCTCCAGTTCTATCCATGAATGGAACGTGTCTTCGACCCACCGCCTTGCCTGCACCCGAAATAAAGCAAGCTTCAGGGAACAGGTCGCAAGGCACAAGACCCCAAACACCTGGAGGCCACCTCCCAATCTCTGCCCCCCCCCAAGGCATCAGTGGCCTCCTTCTGCCCAACGGTAGGGCTGGCCCTCAAAATAAAATTCTGATTCATTGAAGGACCTGAGTGAGACTCTGTGAAATGGGATTTCTACACACCCGCCCCAAAATGGGTCCTTTTTTTGCTTCCCCGACACCATCTTCCTCCTCCGTACCTTCACAAATGCGGGTGTCCTCGTTTAGGTAATAGCCTAGCGGGCATTCGCACTGGAAGCTCCCAAAGGTATTGACGCAGTTCCCTCCTTGGCAGAGACCAGGGAGTTCTTGGCACTCGTCAATGTCTGGGAGCGAGGAAAGAACAAAATGAAAGGGGCGCAGCTGAGCCCTGTTTCTCCTTAAAAGGATGACTGAGTGTGGGTCAGATCAGATGACCTTCTGCCCCCCCCTCTTCCAATACAGTGAACTCTTTGTTTTGTGGTTTTCCCTGGCCGAGTTTGCCAATCTTTGGCCGGTCAAATATGGGGAAGTTGTTAACATGGAGGGCTTAATGCTTCTTGCAGCCTTAAGGAGTTGTTTTTTTTTTTTTTCCAAACCAGTCGCCCACCCCATTAATGTGTTTTTTGAGCTGATTTGGTGGAAATCGAGGGTCCTTTTGCTCGTGGGAGCCTCCGCCTGATCTTACCTTCCAAAATGACTGTGATGGGATTCGGCCGGAAGCCCTCACCACCCGGACATAAGGTCTTGTATTCGGCTGCGAGAATGAGAAGCGGGTTACTGCCCGAACGCTCAAGGGATGAGTTGATCTAGCCCACGAAAGGTGTTTTGTTTTTCCTGACGCAAACTCAGAGGATGCGACGCTGGTCCCCACGCGGCCAAAGGATCGGACCAGCCCAGGATTGCCCCAGTACTCACTAGTGTTTGCTGGAGGGCACAGCTCACAAGGGTTGCCCCACGCCCGGCCGAGAGAGCAGCAGCATGATGCCCGGGTTACCCCGACACCGATCTCGGCGCTGCAAGAAATGCCTCCATCGCCCCGATCCTGGGTATCCAGAAAGCAGTTCCCGACCCGGGTGTCTGGGATGGGAAGACGAAACCCAGGGAGAGAAAAAGGAGGGAGAGGGAATTAAAAACTCAGAGCTCAGCAGATCGGGCGACTTTTTCCCCTCCACAGACATCATCTCCTTTCCTCTACAGGGCAGACCAGAGTTCCCTGGCAGACTACAACATCCATTATCCCTGAGGCAGTACAACCAGTTATAGGGAGGAGCATGGGAATTAAGATCCAAAACCTAACTTCCCCAACTTCAGTTCAAGAGGCAGCTTTTTTTTTGGATGGGAATGTGTGTTTCAGAATTTTTATTATTTAGCTCGCATTCTACCCTCCTAACGGCCTTGTGAGGTAGGCCGAGATGAGGGAGAAAAACTGGCCGAAGGGGGTCAACGAGTTTCGTGCCACAAAATGTGGCCCGTGGGAGCCCCAGAGTGGAAAAGGCCACAGCCTGGCCCCCTTCTGGCTGCCTCTTGCACCCGGGGAAGCCACTCACGCCTCTTACCGACACACCCCACTCCGGTGGGGTTCAGCTCGAAATCCTGTGGACAATTACAGAGGTAGCTGCCAGGGGTGTTGACGCAAAGGCCGTTGATACAGTTGACGGGGTCGGCACACTCATTGATATCTGCAGGGAAGGAAGGAGGACGGTTGTGAGACCCTGCGTGTATACAGAATTTTACCTTTATTTCACGGCTAGGACCAGGGCCGGAGGAGGTGACCCTTAGGGTCCTTTTTCGACTCCATGCCAAGAATGCAGATTTTATCAGCTGGGGCGTTCACGTCTTCCTCCACCCAGCTCACCGGTGCAGTTGCCTCCGCTCCGGTCCAGCTCGTAGCCATCATCACAAACGCAACGGAACATCCCTGGCAGATTCTGGCAGGTCCCGAACACACAGATATTTTGGAAAGTGCACTCGTCAATGTCTGGAAATGAAGGGGGGGGAACACACACGTCAGGATAAATCGCATCTCTGTGTATCCCCGGCCCTTCTTTCAAACCTTCTGACCGACGATTCCGAAGCCCGTCCGTCCCGGCCGCTCCCACTTTACCTTGGCAAGCTCTGCTATCCTCGGTGGGGTTGAAGCCCATCTCGCACTCGCAACGATAACCCCCCGGGGCGTTGAGGCACTGGCCATTTTCACAGAGGTTGACGTTGTCGGCACATTCATCCACATCTAGGGGAAAGAGGGCGAGATGGAAGGAGATATGAACTCCTCTGCATTGCCCGAGAAAACCGTTCGCAAATACCCCGTGTTATCAAGATCCCATTCTCCGGGCAGATCCAGAGAGGTCGGGAAGCGACTTTCCACCCGGCGTAGGAACCCTTAAAACCAGCAGAATTTGGCAGCTCCCATGTCAGCAGGGTGTTGAATCCAGTCCAGGTCTTCCGTTTCACTTTTATCTTTTTGTGTGTTTTCCTTCTGGCTCAGGACCTTCTACCCCGCTGTTAGAAACACCTACTTCTTATTCTCCCCCCCCCCTTTTCTTCGTCCCCTTTACTCTCTCTACTCGATCCAGGGAGCTCACCTGAGCAGGAGAACCCGTCCCCGTTAAAACCTTCCCGGCAGGCGCACCGGTATGAGCCTGGCGTGTTGAGGCAGTTGGCGTTGAGGTTGCAGCTGTGTGCCTCAGTGGCGCACTCATCCAGATCTGGGGAGAAGCAGCAGATGGGAGGGGAGGAGGAGATGAATCGTGCCATTACATTTCAGGGGTTTTCATGATTACGATTTTTTTAAAAAACTACATAATTGAAAGAAAACCAGAAAATGAGCCACCGAGAGGACGCTTTCCTTCAATGATGGGGTGTTCCAAAAACCAGTGGCGATGGATCTGGAGGCTGACCAAAGAAGGCCCCTTTTCTCCACTCTGGGATGCAGCCCCTCCTCGCCTGGAAAGGCTGTTCGGGGAGAAATGCGTGGCCCAAAGGAGGGACACCCAGGGCACATCGGTTTTGCTGTGCAAGAAGCTGGCCCTCACCGTTGCACTTCAGCCCGTCGCCCAACCAGCCCATCCGGCACTTGCAATGAAAACTGCCAGGGATGTTGATGCACGAGGCATGCATGTCACAGTTGTGAGCGCCGATTTCACACTCGTCAATATCTGGAGGAGGAGGAAAAGGGTGTAGGTGACAGACAGAACTGGTTTCGTTTATGCATTTATTTATCTATCTATCCGCAATTTAGATTTCTTCCAGGGAGTCCAGGAAGGAGTGCCGACGTCTGTTCCTCCTGCACACTGGCCAGAACAGCCCGACGAGGTAGAACAGACGAAGTGGGAGTGACAGGAGGTTTTTCTCCCTGCTCCCATTGGCCGGGCTTCTGTGATGTCACAGAAGCTGGGCGGAAAAGCCTCACCTGTACATCCAGTTGTGCCCTTTTTGACGAAGTAGCCGAGCCGACAGTGGCAGATGAAGGAGCCCTTGGTGTTCTCACACTCCCCGTGTAAGCAGATGTTGGGGTTCAGGTCACACTCGTTCACATCTGTGGGGAGGGGGAGAGAGGCTGAGGTTCAGGAAAAAAAAAACTCTCCAAAATCAGGGTTTGCCACTGCTTCTCGGGGGGCCCAATTGGCTCGCAGGGAATCGCCTCACTTTGTAACCACCTATATAAACCAGCTCTGTGAGACTCCAGGTCCCATGGCTGGGGGATTCTGGGGACTGTAGTCCAAAACAAGCCAGCCTTACTGTGAGACCCACGAGGACTAGATCCTTAGATTGTGGTCTGCCAACATTCGTCCTCCAGGAATAAAAAACACACACCCGGGGACGAAGCAGGAAGCGGGTGTAAAAAACGCCCAGGTAGATGGACCACAGTAGAGGGTGTTACCACTGGACACCCCCACGTACCCCTCAACTCTGCCCGGCACGTTGTCTTACCCAAGCACATCTTCATGTCCAGCGAAGCCATGAATCCATCAAAGCAGAGGCACCGAAATTCGCCAGGCATGTTGGTGCACTGGCCCCCATCACAGATGTCCAAATCGTCCTCGCATTCGTCAATATCTGGAGGGGGAGAGAGACGGAAATATGTCTGCTTCTCTCTTCCCCCCCCCACTCCAAAGCTGTGGGAGCTCTATTAAGCTTTCCACCCACCCCCTCAAGCAGCTAAGAAACTGTAACTCTGGGGTTCAGGCCCCTCCAGCTCCAAACCAACCAGAACTCTTATTTCTTGTGCCAAAATCATGATTTGGGGGGGCTTTATTTACAGCTCCCCCCCCAGTTGAGGAGGATGCTCAGAGCCTTGTGTGTGCCACACACACCATCTTGGGACCCGCACGACATCCCAGCGAGGCCGGGCCCAACGGCTGGCTCGAAGTTACCTGGGAACCACTGTTTTCTGCATGACGTGAAACCCGCGTCCGTTGGTGGCGACTCCTGTTCTCTCCCCATTCTAGCAAGACTCGACCCCCTCCCCCTGTCTCGGCTGGGGGGATGATGGGGCTTGTAGTCCTCACCTGTACAGGAGCGCTTATCCGGCATAAGTGCGTAGCCCTCGCTGCAGCTGCACTGGTAGCTGCCCTCCGAGTTGGCACAGTGGGTGTCGCAGGCCCCGTTCATTCCGTTGGTGGCGACTCCTGTTCTCTCCCCATTCTAGCAAGACTCGACCCCCTCCCCCTGTCTCGGCTGGGGGGATGATGGGGCTTGTAGTCCTCACCTGTACAGGAGCGCTTATCCGGCATAAGTGCGTAGCCCTCGCTGCAGCTGCACTGGTAGCTGCCCTCCGAGTTGGCACAGTGGGTGTCGCAGGCCCCGTTCATGATGCAGGTGATAACTCCTGCCAGCTGGAGTTCCAACCCTCCATAATTCCAAGACAGTCTAAGGAGACTAAGGACAGGTAATCTTTGTTGCTTATCTATCTTCTGGGAGTATTCTTCCCACACATTGGTGGCTCCACTATCTAACCCCATTTTCATGTGTGTGTGTGTGTGCGTGTGTGTGTGCGTGCGTGCATGCATGTGTGTGTAGCCTCGCATCCTTGCCCCCCTCCCTTGTAGTCTTGGCAGGTCTCGCAGGAAAACAGAGCCAGATCTTCCATTTTTTCTTTCATCCAACACCATCATTTTCTTTCATTATAAGAGTTTTATGGATTGCTTGTTTTAAGCTCTTTCAGGGTCCCTTCTCATACAGTCCCAGACTTTCTGCAAAATCGCGGTTTCCTGACCCACCCCCCGAGTCCAGGCAACAGTTTTACTTTTGGGTGGGAGGGAATCGGTCCCCAAAAGGTCCCGGCGCCCACCCTCTCGGTCTCGGGAAGCAGGGAGCGAGCAGCGGGGGGCCAGTCGCTGGATCCTGGGGCCCAGATCCAGGGCAGCCGTCGTCTCTGGATCGGGCAGCTGCCAGGATCCGAAGCACGAGACACACACACACACACCCCGGCAAAGAACTCACCAACGCAGCCTTGCCGGTCCGGGGTGGCCTGGAATCCGGAGTCGCACGCGCACTGATAGGTCCCGATAACGTTGACGCAGCGTCCGTTCCGGCACAGATTATGGCTGAGGGAGCATTCATTGACATCTGAGGTACAGAGGGGCAAAGGTTGCAGAGAGGGGGAGAAAAAGAGCCCATGCTTCTTTCCAGGCCCATGGAACCTCCATGTTTAGGAGGGCTCTACAGTATAAACACTGGTTTTTTTTAAAAAAATTCATCACCACCAATAACCCTCTTTTATTAAATCCTTTGCAGAAAAGTAAATTTATCCAAAGCTAAAGGGATCACCGACACAATCAGTGTTCCAGGGGGCCGACGGGAAAAAAGCCAGAGCTAGGGAAGTTACTTTCAAAAAGTAATTCCTTCCCACGACGGGTTACAGCATCTGCCTGGCAGCCCCTTGTTCTCACTGAAAAAGTAACTTGCCCCATTCACCATGAGGCTGTTTTGGTGTCGCACTCCAGCTGTTCAATTACTTTAGAAGTGTAACTTCATTACAGGAGGCCAAAAGTACCTAATTACAGGAACTATATAACACGTAACCAGCTCTTCCCAAACTCTGGGAGAGATGATGCAGGCGGTATTCCCTTCTCGGTATTCACCGGGCAGCACTCACCCACACAAGCGTGGCCTTCGGACGTGAGTTCGTGGCCCGGGGGACACAGGCACTCGAAACTGCCGTCGGTATTGATGCAGACGCCTCCCCGGCAGAGCAGGGGGTCTCTCTCACACTCATCAATGTCTGGAAGAGACAGGAATCCCCAAAAAAACTCAGAATGGATACCTGAAATATATTCTCCGAAATCTTGGTATACACCAGCCACCCTTGGGCAGCTTCCGGGTTTTGGTTCCCAGGTTTTCTCCTTTCCGAAAGGCTTCCTGACGCCCAATCCCAAAATCTCTATTCTCACCCATGCAGTTCTTCATCATCATGAACCCACTCTCGTAGCCGTCGTAGCATTCGCACTCAAAGCTGCCAGGCGTGTTGACGCAGGCCCCGTGGCCGCAAAGATCCGGCGAGATCCGGCACTCGTCAATGTCTGCCAAGGGGAGAGGAGGAAGAGACACACCATTTGCACCGACCGGAGACGTGGGGGAGTTGGTCTCCAAAGGCATCAGACTACAACCTCCATACTCCCCATCTGCTGCAACTGGCAGTCAGGGAGCACAAAGTTTGTAGTCCTGGAATATTTAGGAGAACAGAACGGCGAACCCGCCTGAACTCCACAGGAAGCCTTTTAAAGTTGTGCGCCAAGGATAAGACTCTTTTGCTGGCAAAAAATGGGAGGCCGGGAGATGGACAGAAAGAAATCCATCCATGTCATAATAAAGCTCTATTTTTTGATCCAAGACGCGCAGGTTTCTTCTTGAGCATCCCTGATCCAAGTCGAGGAGGACTACGCTGACCTGCGTGGGTGGGTCTTGGAGCCGGCGTCTGGACGGCAGTTTAATCCTTACCTGTGCAATTCCGTTCCTCGGCATCCACCGCGAAGCCGCTGCCGCAGAGACACCGGAAGCTGCCGATGGTGTTCCGGCAGGTGCCGTGGGCGCAGAGGCTGGAGAAAACTTTGCATTCATTCACGTCTGGGGAGGTAAAGGGGAGGGGGAAGCCAAAACAAGACAGCAGGTCAGAATGATCTCACGGGACAAGTTTATATCCGTCAGTCGAAGGGCCAGAAAGTGTAACGGGGCCAGGCCCCCGCAAAAGTGACAGGTTAACAGCTGCATGTTAAGACAGTTAAGATATCACAAAGGGAGAAACACAGGGTCTGTATTTATTCGTAGATTTGCTTGATCGAAAGAGGAAAATCCCGCTTGCCGTGTTCATGTGTGTTGAACGAGCAGCTTGTATTTGGTACGTTGCTTATTTTAAAAATAGCTATATCTCACTTTTCTCCCAACGGCCCCAGGTGGCCTTGCAGGATTAAAAGAAACAGCGTTAGAAGCAAAATAATAAAACACAATATTTTAGAAGTTCTAAGGGTGGAGGTCGCTCTGTCTGTGGAGCCAGAGGCTGGGAGTTCGATTTCCCCCACGGGGCCCTCCTTGGCAGTGGTACGTTGCTTATTTTAAAAATAGCTATATCTCACTTTTCTCCCAACGGCCCCAGGTGGCCTTGCAGGATTAAAAGAAACAGCGTTAGAAGCAAAATAATAAAACACAATATTTTAGAAGTTCTAAGGGTGGAGGTCGCTCTGTCTGTGGAGCCAGAGGCTGGGAGTTCGATTCCCCCCACAGGGCCCTCCTTGGCAGGCGGCTGGACTGGATGATCTATCGGGTCCCCCTTCCAGCTTTGCCATTCTAAGATGCTGAGGATGATGATATTGTATTTAAAAAATTCGTCAAGGACAGCAATATTGAAAAGACAAGGAAAATGACAGAATAAAGCAATCCCTTACATATAGATAGATAGATATACTGTATTTCGGTATATGGATTTTAAAACACGATCAAAACGCTAAAGACAAAGAACACAGACATTCTCCATCGGAAGTGATGGGGGTAAATCCCCGAGAGGTCCAATTTTGGGGAGGGGGGCTTGGATTTCCCCACCCATGGGCTCCCAAGAGACTCAAAAGATTAGATACCTTTATAAAAAGGTCTCCCCGACAAGACGTCCCCCCGGTTGGCAAAACCGGGTCCCCGGGGGCAGATGGCTTTGTATTCCGCCGTGCCGGGTTTCGGACACTCCTCGCACTCGCTGCCCCAGGCGGCCCCGACTGAGCAGCAACACAGGTCGACGCGGTATTTCCCCGGCAGCGGGACAGCACACTCGTCCTCGATCCACTTCATGTAGCACTGCTCCAACCGCACATCTGAGGTGGGGGGCAGAAGAAGATGGGGGTCAAGCCGAGGAGGGGGTTACGAGCACCCGTTCCCAGTCCCGCCGCTGAAAGGATTTAAGGGTAACGCAGAGGGCAGGGAAATTCGCACCAAGGTCCCCTTGAATCGAGAGGCAGGAAAACAAGGGGGCCAAGCCACCACTTCCTTCCCCCCATCTCTTCTCACCCACACATGTCCTGCCAGAGCCGTCCAGGGTCAAACCGTCCGGGCATTCGCAGCGGAAGGACCCAGCTGTGTTCACGCAGTGGCCGTTGGGGCAGACGCCCGGGAAGACCTCGCACTCATTGACGTCTGAGGGAAGAGACAGGCAGGTCGGAACAGGAAGGAGGACCAGGGGGGAGGTTGCCCTAAGGGTTATCCACCATGACGGCATTTCCAGATTCTCACTAGACTGGCGAGCCAGCCGAGGAAGTCCAGGCGAACATTTCCCCCTGTGGTCTTGGGAACGTTCCGACACTGGAGAGTTTGTATTGGCTGATTTCTAAGCGAGCCTCCAGGTTTACAGGCAATCTACCTGATGAGAGTATTTTTTAAAAAAATCCACTTGTGTTTTTTTTGTTATTCAATAAAATTTTGCCTCTGCGTCTAAAACGCAGGACACCAGGGATCTGCCGTTGTGGTGAATCCACACCGTGATCTGGCTGTCCCAGCTGAGAAGCAGGGCTCGCGGTTCGAGAAATCTCCTCTCTGAGACAACAGGCCTCCCCTCCATGGCTGAGGGGGCAGGAGGAAGCAAGAGGGAGGAAACCAAAGCCCAGGACCAGGAACTCGGCGGCGGAAAGGCAGGGTAACCCCGACTGAGCCGGCATCCTCGGTACCTTCACAAGAGATGCCCTTCATTCTGGCGTAGCCCCTCGGACAGGCGGGATCTGGGGTGCAAAAGACAGACAGAGCGTTGTGAGAGACCTGGCGGCCTTCGCTCCGGAAGTTCTTCAGAGGCTCAGGGATTGTGACGGGCTTGGGACTACACACCCCATCATCCCTCCCCGCCCCACCAGGTTGTTGGGGAGCAACCCTCCTCCCCAGAGTTAAAACTTTCCCAACTTCTCCACGGGAAGGATGGAGGGGGTGTTTACCGATCTCGCATCGCTCGCAGGGGCTGCCCCACGCGGCCCCTAGGGTGGCGCAACACTCCGACTTCAGGGTGGCTCCGTTGATGTTCACTTCACAGCGCCCCTCCTGGATGTTCAGCCAGCAGGTTCCCTTCATGCTGTCTGGTTGGGGAAGGAAAGGGAGAAGCCAGACCTTCAGTTCACCCTGAAACCCTGGCTTTTCCTGGGGACGCAAACAGGAACCGGGGTGCGTGCTCTATCAGGGAACTGTTCTATCACTTTGCTCATCTACTGGGAGCGGGTCTTCTGTCAAGCTAATAGCTCTCGATGACCGGCTCAAGAACCATCCACCCCAGTGCACTCTACCTTAAACAAAAAGTCAATCAGTGCCTTTGAGAAATGAGTTTCAGCCTGCAGTATAGTGTTAGTGGGGGTTTTGTGCTTTTTGATGAGCGGCTTTTAAAATGGGCGCATTCCACTGTAGGCTAACACTCTAGTTGACTATGATTTCCGTCCCTCGCATGTTTGACTCATCTGTGTGTCTTTGGGGGAGAAACATGGTGGAGAGAAAAGTCTCAGAGGGGCAGCGGCTATTCACAATTTTTGGAGGCAGGAACGTCCCACGTTTTGATTCCAGCGCCCCCGGCCGTGCTTAAATGGCAAAGGGAGAGACGGATGTTGCTCTTAGGAAGGCGGCAGGAAGATACCTGGGCAGCGCCTCTTTGGTGCCTCCTGGCATCCAATGGCTGAGCAAGGTGGGGAGGTCCACGTCTGAAATCCTCACACCCCCCCAGGCCCCACTGATGCTGAAGAGCAGATGCCAGAATCTTTACCGACACAGATGGTCCTGCTGGAATCCAGTTTGCTTCCCGGGGAGCACTCACAGGCGAAGGAGCCCGCGTTGTTCCTGCAAACGCCGTTCACGCAAGGACTGGCGGTGCACTCATTGATATCTGGAAGGGAGAGAAGCCTTTTCATTCCGGGATGCTATCCGTACCACCGATTATGCACAGGTGTTTGTGTTTTTTTGTGCCACGTACGGATACGGACACCTGCCCTCCCCAGACGTTTGAGGGGTGCGTTCCACCCATCAAAAGGGCCAATGCTGTTCTGCTGGTCTCTGGTTGAAACCTCCAGAGGGCACGGAATGTGCACAAACACTCCACCTGTTGGACTCCACCTGGGGATTCACGCCCTCCACCCCAAATCCCACGGAACCGAGCACCCCTCCAGGCCACGGAAGACGAGAACGGAGCAGGAAGAGAAGAAGGGGAAGAAAACCCGTTGGAGGAGCGTCCCCTGCTCCTTGCCTTCGCAGGTGTCTGTGTCCGTCCGGAAGACAAACCCTTTCGGGCAGCTGCAGCTGTAGCTTCCCGGCGTGTTGCGACACAGACCGTTGTCACACAACAGGCGGTTGACGGCGCACTCGTCCACATCTAGGGGTAGAGTCACAATTGAGAGAGAGCGGTGCTAGGAGGGAAGGCCTCCGCGGGCCGGGAGCACACCAACCCCGAGCCGCCTTCTGCCCTCGCCCTCGGCACCACTCACCCACACAGGTCTTGCCAGTGGCGTCCGACTCATAGCCCAAGTTACAGACGCAGCGGTAGCTGCCTCGCAGGTTCTCACACATGCCATTGGGGCAGATGTCCGGGTTCAAGGCGCACTCGTTGATATCTGCGCCGGGGGGGAACGGAATTTGAGAAATGCACCTCCTTTCCCTCCACCCCGGCGATTGAACCTGCCTCTCCTCCCCCCCCCCAAATAATTGCCAAGGGCGATCGAGACACAACGAACCTTGACCATTTTACGAGAGTTTTGAAAAGTCTGTTTTTTCCGGATGACGACTCCCACAATCCCTGACCCACGGTGTCATGGCGACTGTGGGAGTTGTAGTCCATGAAAAAAAGGAACTTTTCCTGATCAATGCTTTCCACATCTGCTTCTTGAATGTACAACATCTTGTTCTTCGTCAGGCCCGTTGTTTGGAACTCACCTCTCCCATCGGCCGTGATCCCAATCCCGCTGCTGCACAGGGCTTGAAATTCAGCTGGGGAAAGAGAGGAGACGTGGGTCGTTCAGAGGCCAGATCCTCCCTTGCTCCCTGAGCGCGACGCACGGAGGGTCTTTCTCTGGAACCAGACACTCACCCGAGTTCTTGGCCGGGCACGGGTGGCAGGGCTCTCCGAAGCCGTGGTCCGGGTTGGCGCAGCAGCACTCCGATTTGGTGACGGCCCCCGGGAAGGGGCGAGCGCAGGTGATGCCCCCGTAGCAGGTGCTGCGGACGTGGGTGTCCACGCAGACCCGCCCGTCCACGCCAATGGCCAGGCCTCCCAGGCACTCGCACCGGAACGAGCCCTCGGTGTTGATGCACCAGCCGTTCATACAGATGCCGGGGGTCTCGCACTCATCGATGTCTGCCAAGAAAGAGGGGGAGCCTCCGTCAACGCTCAGAGAGGACACTTCAAGCCCTGCAACCGGGGCGCCATTCCTCTCCGAAGGAACCTCTGGTAGCCCACCAGGTTTTGGAGGGACGCTCAATTTTCTGCCTCATTGAGGACTAGAACATTTATCTTCCCCAATTGACCCAACTGGCTTTCCCCTCTCGTTTTCCCCCAAGGACTTCGACAGACTCATCTCTCTCTACGTCTTGCTGGTTTTTCCACCCTCATCGCCCACGCATCAATCCAGACATCCGCAAGAAGGAGGAGGCAGGCCAAACCGGACGCCCGGGATTTGCTCCGGAGCCCGCTCACCATTTTTGCTCGGTGCCGGGAGATACCCACCGACACAGTAGCGCCCGTTGGGGGCCAGAACGAACCCCAGTTTGCAAATGCATTTGAAGCTCCCGTCCTCATTGATGCACATCCCATTGAGGCACATGTTGGTTGTGGCGCATTCGTCGTGGTCTGCAGAAAGAAAGTTTGGGCGTGAGCCATCCGTCCCTCCTCTGTATCCCCCCAAAGTCTGAACCTTTGACTTTAAATTTGGTCAAACGTCAGATCTGAAATTTTGGAGAGCTACTTGATGTGGCAAGAAGTCCCGCTAAACGCGAGCGCAGAACCCCACAGGTTGAAATCCCGTTGCGCCATATTGTCCGAGACATAACTGTTCTCAAATAGCACAACGGGGTTTCAGGCATTCCAACATAACCCGGTTTTGTTCTCGCTGTGGGAGCAAAGAGCTTGTCGTTACCGGCACAGTTCTTGCCATCCGGGGTAATTTCGAACCCGGCATTGCAGATGCACTGGAAACTCCCGTCGGTGTTCACGCAACGCCCGTTCCGGCACATCACTCCGTTCAAGATGCACTCGTCGATATCTAGACAGGGGAAAGAGAGCACTTTGAAGGCAGAACCATGTGCCCAAAACCATCCTGAATGCGTGCAACAGCTGGAAGCAGCTGGAAACTCCGTCACAGGCTTTGTCTTTCACTGAGAAAGGGAGAAAAATCTTTGCCAGGGTGGGTTAAAAACTACGTACTGTAATAAGTCGTGGCTTGCTTAGCAATGCCTTCTGCTCTGCCATGCGCTATCATGCTTTTATAATACATCCTAAAATATGTATTCAGGTTTTAAGTAACTTTTTAAAGTGACTTCCATGAGAGGTTTTTTTTTAACATTAAGAACGCATTTTCGGACTTGCGTCTTTTGAAATACGAAGTTGAAGCACTAAGAAACTAGTTTATTAAACCAAACCATTTTCTCTTTGGATTAAAATACCATGAATGGCACATGTGAATGGAGATTTTGTATCAGACTGCAAATGGCGAAATGCATACTCCTCTATTTTATATTTTGCACTGATAAGTGCTTGCAAGCTTTGAGCTTTCATATACAAACCCGCTCGCTAAAATAAACATCAGAAAAGAAGATTCTTTTTTTTTTCAAACGGTGCCCTTTTGGGAAGCAAAGGCAGGACATAAATATTTTAAGTCAATATAATAAATATAGTTTTAAGTCAAAATTTCAAAGAGGCGCCCGTAGGAAAGAGACGGATCAATCCGAGAAAAGGTGCAAAATCTTCCTTGACAGTTGTGTGTAAAACACAAGGCTTTTGAGACTCTCCCCAGCTGTGATGGCCACTCCTTCTTCCCATCATCATCCAGACGCTCCCCTTCCAACATCACTGACCGGACAGACCTTCTTGTCCAGACTTACCGATGCAGGCCTGTTTGGTGGGTGTGCTCTGGAACCCTTCGTGGCACTTGCAGTGGTAGGAGCCGGGGGTGTTCACGCAGTCGCCGTGGAGGCAAGGGCTGCTGGAGCATTCGTCGATGTCTTGAAAAGAGCCACCAAAGGAGAGAATCATGCTTTTTTTTTTCTTTCCCCCACCCCACTTGCAGCACACAGAAAAGCCCCTCTGGACTACATCTCTCATCATCCCGACCGAGAGGATTCTGGGACATGTAGTCCAGCAAGAAAGGTGAGTTCAGATCTGGCCCACTGACTTCACGGATCCCGTAAAGAGGGGAAGAAGGTAACTGAGAATCCACTCCAGGGATCCCTGGAAGGCAGGGGAGTTTGCTTAAAACCTTCTGCCTTCCCCAGGAAAAAGCCCAGATTGTGATTTTAATTCCTGCAGCATGAAAATCTCTCTCTCTCTGCCTGCCTGCCTGCCTGCCTTATCTAGCTATACATCTGTTCTGTTGTTTTTCCTAGGCATTTAAATCTCTCCCCGTCAACACACTGAGTTTCACCCTGACTGAGTCACAGAGCATCCGATCAACATATATTATTGTAATCCCCTTACCAACAAAGCATAAAGAGAGAGTGGGGACTGAATTATAATTTTTTTCACCTCCTAAATCTCTCAGGCTTTTTTCCCTACAGGTGGGGCCCATAATTTCCTTTCCCGACCATTGCGGAGACCCTTCCACTTTGCCTTCTGTTTCGCCACTACGGCCATCACGAAAACCCTTCTTCTGAATGCTTTTCCGAGGAAATATTTAAATTAAAAGGCATGGGCCGTGAAGAGGGTAACAGGAATCACATATCTTTTATGAGGTTTTTTTCCCTCCTCTCTGATCTTTTCTTGAATAAGTAAATAAAGATATTTTGTTTTGGAAAAATCAACTGAAAATTATGACCTCACGAATTCACAGTAAGATTCTATTACATAGAAGCAATGACTAGTTTTGGTAACTTAAGCAGAACTTGGCAGAGTTCCTTTTCCAGTTACTAACAGGAGCTAATATTACTTAACATTAGGTTACACTCTGTATCTATTGATTGCTGTTTAGCAATGCCTTGAGGTTAGCCAAAAACATGCTATTGAGAAACGGGTTTGTGGCTTAAACCCTAACACGTTACAGTAGGATAATGGTATCCACGGTTTCAGTTATCCGCTGCCTGAAAATATTAAATCTTTCCAAGGTACACTATCAGAACTGGCCACTAGAGGGAGCTAGATCTCTCTTTCTCTCTCGGGTTTGTCATATCCGTACGTTTTGACATCCACGGGGGCTTGGAGCTGATCCCCAGAGAATGCGGCGGTCCTTCTGTATTTTCAAGACCCGGGTTCAAAAAGACTCAGGGAGGCAGACACCCCCCCTCCGCTCACCGATACATTCGCCACGGACATCTTGCTTGTATCCCATGTTGCACTCGCAGCGGTAACTGGACGGGGTGGGAATGCAGCGCCCGTTCAGACACAGGTTGGTGAAATGCTTGCAGATGTCGATCGTCTGGTTCAGGGTGGCTGTTCCTTAAGCAGATAAACAAGACACACCCAGGCGGCCAGTTGTTACTGGTGCAAAAACTAGTAGGCATCTCTGGAAATTTTCATGCCAAACAAAATCTCCCGGCGTGATTTTTTTTCTTTCTTTCTGCGCTTACCAATGCTTGAGCTTCCTGGCCCCATGCCTGGTAACCCGGGGATCCCGCCTTGGCCATTCGCTCCGTTGGGCCCAAAACTTCCCGGACTGCTGATGCCGGGGCCGACTCCATTGGGCCCAAAGCCAGGAACCCCTGGGAATGTGCTGGGGAAGCCCGGGACGGCTGGGAGGCCTTCGATGCACAACCGACGATATTCGTCTGGCGCGGAGCAGGGAGGGGGGAAAGAAAAGAGAAACCAAGCAAAACATTGTTTCCAACTTGAGATTTGTACAGACTCGGTCCCGCAGCCAGAGGCTAAAGGGGGGCTGTCCTAAATCAAGCCTGGACTCTCTCTCTGAGAAGCCAAAATGATGCGATTTGTGGCGATCCTATTTTGGGCACATCCTGAGAAGACCAGATTATTTGGGAAAGACCCCCAGGTTGGGGAAAGTGGAAAGGCAGCAGGAAAAGAGGAAGACCCAATACGAGATGGACGGATTCCCTAAAGGAAGCCACAACATTTGAATTTACAAGGCTGTTAAAAGACAGGACATTTTTGGAAGTCACTAGTCCATAAGTCTGAAGAAACTTAAGGACAGGTAAGAGATGCAATAAAGAAGGCTTAGTGATGAACAGTATATTCTTGAAGCTAAAATAAGGATGTGTTTTGGCCCCGCCCCTGTTGTTTTCGCACTCCCCCTCCCCAAACAGGATGGCCATCTCTAACCCCGAATCCGCCCCGGCTCTCTCGGACTTAGTCACCTGACCCTCTGACCGGACACATTTCGGGGATCTGGCCGATGGCCCAGCAGCGCCCCGAGTCGCAGCAACACTGAATCTTCGTATACTGGCCCGGCAACTCCCCAGCGCACCGCCCACCGATGAGGGCCGAAAAACAGGTGCCGATCCGCTGGTCTGGACGGAGAGAAAGGAGGGGGGGGTCGTCAGAGGGTCCGCCCAAGCCAAAGCCAGCCTCCCAGGGAGAGTTCCGACCTCGTCCGTGCAGGAAATGCAGTCAAGCAAGGCCGTTAGCAAAAGATATTGTATCAACAGTATTTACTTACCTATCTACTGTTTTAAACCAGGGTGGGTTTGTTTTGTGTGGTTTTTTATGCCTCCTTCTCCCAAAGCTGACTCTCAGGGTCCACCCCTCCCACCCCCGAGAGATACAAGGACCCCTTCGGATTGGGTGTCAGGAGGAAATCCGAAAGGGTCTGGCCGTATCAAGCAAACACTCTGTTCCCACCCACCAAGGCCTGGGTAGCAAAGAAATTAAGAAGGAAAAAAATGGGTGACGTCTGTAGTCTGGGTGGCTCTCTTTCTGCACAGTAATTGTCTTTAATTGTGTGCCCTTCCCCCCACCACCAGAAAGGCCATGGGGCAACCCTCCATGCCAATGCCATCTTTAATCATCTTTCTTTCTTTCTTTTTTTGCAACCCTACCGTTAAGTGCCTTGGCCAGGATGTGGTTTCTGCAAAGTGAAGTGCAGGACTTAAGAGAGAGGGCTAAATGGGATCAGGCTCCAATCCACCACGGAGCCAGATCACCCACAGCGGTGCAAAGGGGGAGACGATCCAGCTACAAATCCCATAATCCTCAACGCCACATGGATTTCCTCCCCTTGGAGGCAGAGACTCAAAAACAAACGGAGGCTTCTGTAGACAACCAGGAAAAACCAAAGCCACAGCAATCCAAGAATACATTCCCTTGAGGTAGAAAGCTAGCCTGTCTAGGCAGAGAGTTGAGTGGCTACTTCTCTACAAGCCTTTCAGTTCTCCCCCCCCCCATGCCCCGCATCGCCTTCTGGGGATTGATTTATTGATTTGATTTTTATACCACCCATCTGACCAATGGCAAAATAAACATGGCTGAAACCGTTTTATTGATTTCCAGGCTCGAAATTAAGACCACCGACTTAATTTCCAGCTGGCTGCTCGGTTGATCGGATACAAAACCTTGGCAAGGCTGGTGTCATGGCCAGGAGGGAGAGGGGGGGAGGGGCTTTCAGCTCGTTGCCACCGGCTTCTTGGCCCGAACCCCCTGCGTTACGGTGGGTATGAGGATTGGGCACAGCAAAGCCAGCTCCAGATTTTTGCCAGTCCCTCCCCAATGCCGCCACTTTGAGCCATTTTCTATAACAAGTCCGGCAGACGACCAAGGCGATGCTACGCCAGCAGCTGCTTTCCTGCAGGCGGGTTGGAGGGATCCGAAGCATGGGGCGGCTTTTGGCAAAACTCTGAGGATGCTGGCCAGCAGGTCTACACGCTTTGGGTCTCAGTTCTGGCCCACAGGATGACAGGGGAATCTGAGAATCTGGGGAGCCCCCGGGCTGATGAGAAATTGGAAAACAACGCTCCCCCTCCAAAAAAAATATGCCGGACACACCGGAAAAAAACAAAACAAAAAACAGGGAGCAGCCGTAAGCCAGCTTGTTCTCAAAGCATTTGACATCATTCCCAGCAAGGCTCCAAGATTTGGGTCGCTTAACTGGTGAAACACCAGCAAACCATCTTAAGCGGCCCCGGGGTATCTTGGGAGGATCCCCGCCTCCCAAAGTCCTGGAGACACTCACTCGCTCCGTTCCCTGGAACAAAGGAACCTTTAAAGAGCCAGGATGTAATCCGAGGACCCACCGGGACACCCAAATCCCTCGCCAGAAAAAATATTGTGACAGCACAATTACAGCACAGGTTTGCCGGCTGATGGGTGTGTCTGTGTGTGGAAACGGGCCACTGCTGCATGACGTAGGTGAGCGGCGATGGATGGGGGGGGAACCGAAGAGTCCCCTCCGGGAACTTGGAGTTATTTCTAAAAGCCAGGTTCCCTAATTAAATTGGGATCTGATTTTGGGCAATGGCCATGCAGCCGTGATAAGGATCTCAGGTCTCCGATCCCGGAAAGGAGGCGTCCCCTCCCGATTTCACTCCGGTTCTCACAAACCATGCGCATAAACGCGGAGGTGCAAACACACCCATGGATGAAAATACTACAGGGGTGATACAAACATGTCAAGAGGCTCAGGGACATACAGGCATTCACAGAGGTGGGGAACCAATCCCTTACAAATACAGTAGGAACCCCTTCTCTGTGGGGGAGCAGTTCCAAACCCCCTCCACGGATGCTGGAAAACATGGATAATAGCAAATGTTGTTCATAGCGTGGTCTCTGGCTCCCTCTAGTGGTTAGTTCTGGTAACTTCACCTTTAGAAAGATATACTGTATATATTTCTAGGATTTTTCTTTTAATAATTTTAGAGCAGGCTTGTCCAACCTGCGGCCCAGATCAGCTCATAATGCAGCCCAGTGCAATTTTTTATTTTTAAAGAAATTCCAAAGTTTCAAGTTACACTGCCGGCGCTTGAGGCCGGAATATGGCCAGGGCAAGTCACAACAGTAGAGGAGGAGAGAGGGAAGGAAAGAAGGAGTGGGAGGGGAGGGGACAGGGGGGCTACGTGACTGCATTGCGCCATCCCCGTCAATAGGTGGACCCCCTCCCGGCCCCATAAAGCCGCCAGAGTCGAAGCTGGCAGCCTCTGCTGTCTGAGATTGCAGCTGCCGGTAAGCGTGCTTGGAGTGGGGCTGCGGAGGACGGCTAGGGCTGCCCCCCCATGCACCCCTAACCAAATGTATGTGTGGCCCAAACCACATTTTCATCTTCTAATGTGGCCCAGGGAAGGTGAAAGGTTGGACACCCCTGTTTTAGAGGGTTGATCAGTGAATCAGTGGATACTGATCCCACGGATAAGGGAGTCCTACTGTAAAAGTTGAAGTGAAACCAAATAATCTCCTCAGGTTTCTTCTCTTTTTTTCTCTTTCCTTTTTGTCCAAGAAAATCCAACCAAGATTGAACCCCAGGGAAGTCTCTTGCTGCTAGAAGGGAAGGGGGGAGACACAAGGTATGTCTCACCGACGCAACGGGATCCGTCTGGACTGGTCATGAAGCCCCGGGGGCAAGCGCAGACGTAGCTGCCAGCTGTGTTGGTGCACTCTCCCCCGTCGCAAATCCCGGGCACGCTGCTGCATTCGTCCACATCTGGGGGGGGGGACACACAAACACAAGTTACTTCCCACGGGATGACAAGTTTCCATACTCCTGCATGCCGTCTCCCGACGGTAACTCTCAACAAGCTCCAGAAAAGGACACGAGGTTAAGAGAATTGCTGTTGGAAAACCGGCACGGGGCGAAGGTGGATGGCCGAGGGGTGCAGAGTTTTCGATATAGCCCCTAATGAGCTGATTGGGGATTGCTGGACAGAGCTGGTGTTTCAGCCGAGCTGACAGCTGCGGGGTGGGCAGGAGTCAGAAGGATCTTGGCCACCAGCAATGGGCAGAAAAAAGAAATAAACACAGCTGCAGCAGGAGGAGGACCTGGTGCATGGAGGGGATTCTGGCTCCTTCCCAGTCATTCCTCCCGGCCATGATCCAAACGGGTGTTCAAGACTCTGAGACTTAGACAACGGCGGGATTGAAGGCCAAACACAGCTTCCGGGAGGGTCTTGTGGCTCGGAAGGTGGCTCTGGAGAAACGTCGGGAACCTTGAAAGCCCCTTGTCCAAAATAGCAGCTCCAGGTGGACTCTTGGCAAGCCGCCTGGGAAGCCACGGGATGCCCACCAACGTTCCAACTGGGCCGGCAGCAGGAAGGGCGAGCAAAGGGCCAGCAGGAAAGATGCCCTTGAAACAAATTTCAAATGTGGATTTTGGCCAGGAGGAAGCGGAGAGGTTGAATATCCCCACCCGGTGAGAAGCTTTAAGGCTGGCTGGGATTTGGGGGATTTTTTCACCCCTCCCCGCTACCTCTCTTTCTCCAAAAGGGCAGAGTTAAGGATGCCGATGAGATAATTGTGACGCAGCTTTTCCACCACGAAGCATTGCTTACAAGTCTCTCCGGGAGGCTTGAAATACAGCTATTAAAGCCCCACCCGTCTCCCACCTAGAACTGTGTTTCTTCCCCCCTCCCTCCCACCACCAAGGCCACTCACCAAACCTCACATTCTTCCCCAACAGATGAATCCAAACCCCTCAGGGTGAAAACAAGCCATCAGTGCCGGGCAAAACCGCCACAGCGACAAGGGTCTTGACTGCCACCCAGCTGAGAACGTGGGGCGCCTTCCCCTCCTTGCCTCGAAACATGCACACACAACACAATCTGTCTCCAAAGGATCGCATTTTTGGTTCGCCCCCTTAAAAAAAAGATCAGCACACATAAGGCGTCTGAACCTGCGCAGAGTGTCTTGTTCTCGCTTTTAAAAAATGAATCACGCCTTCTCACCTACCCGATTCTCTGCCCTGTCTCTGTGCCCACTGACAGGGACGATCTTTTTTCCTCTCCCCAGAAGTGGTCGAATAAGACCAGATAGGCGGGATAGAAATCAAATAAATAAAATAAATAAATTACACAAATATATATATATTTAAATCCTTTTCACCTTCGCATTTATGGCTCGTCTCACTCTGCCGGTGACCCGCTGGGCATTTGCACTCGTAGGAGCCGACGGTGTTGATGCAGTTCCCCCCCTGGCAGAGTCCAGGGATGGCCTGGCATTCATCCACATCTGTTAAGGGGTAGGGAGGAAAATGAGGAAAGAGCATGATATATATAGTACACACACACACACACATACACATACACACACACACATTTTCCTTGATATCCGTCCCTCCAAAGACAGCGCAGGTGGGATCAGGGGCTCCAAAAACCCGGCCTCCAGGGATCTCGACACCCACTCACCTTGACAAGCCCCGGTGCGTATGTTGGGGATGAAGCCCCGTCGACAGGGGTGAGGCTGAGCTGGGCACATCTCGCACGGGTGGCCCCAGGCCCGCCCGATGGTGGCGCAGCACATGGTCTTGGTGCAGACGATGCCGCTGAGTTGGCCCTGGCACATCTGGTTGCTCACCTGGCTGAAGCACGGCCCCGTGCGGTAATCTAGAAGAACGGGGGGGGGGAGAGAGAAAACAAAGAGGGCGGCTTGAGTCTGGCCCACACCCCGAAATCAGGGAGAAGGAACACGCCTTGAAAATGGACTAGGCAGGCGGGGAAGGCTCACAGAGCCCCGGGAAGCAGCTCAAAAGGGGCTCTGCTTTCCCCACTCTACACCCCTATTCTGGGTCAAACAGGTCTCGGAGGTTTTTGGAAGACCCCAATTAACAACCTGCTGCACCCGTTTTTCCAGAGGGAAAAGCAGACGGCCAAATAGATCCGCTTGTCCGGCGTTTGATCCTTTTCGCTCCTTGTTTCAGAAGGGAACACTCTGAAGTCCAGCAGCCACACTGTCGGGGACTTGTAGTCCCCAGAAGGAGCTTTTCTGAGATCTGCATCTGCTTCTCTAACCCTGATTTTCATCCATTCACTTTCGAGATGTTGGTCCTTGGATTTTTTTTTCCTCCCCCTCGGTTGTACGGGTGGTGGCGCTGCTCCGGCCAGACCTCAAGGAAGGCTGGGATCTAGTGCTCCACAACCAGGCAGGGCCAGGACGGAGGAGGGAACAGGGGTGTGTGTCCCAGGGCCGAGGCCTGAGATGTTTTTTGCAGGGGTGGAAAGATGCAACGCTGGGTGGCTTCCCTTCTGCAGGCCGTCAGATTTTAAAAGAGGCAAACCATCAGACATGACAGGAGTAAAACAGGGAAGGAAAACCCAAGCCAAACGGGACCGCTCTCCGGCTTCAAAATCCGGAGGTCACCCGTCCTGGCCGAGATGCTTGGCAGAAATATATCTGCAGCTCGTTCAAGGCCATCGATGATTCTCACATGCAAAAGGTTTCGCTCATCCAAGAGGGAGAAAATGATAGACAGAAAGCTTTTCCATAACCAGGAACAGTGGGATTCCAACCCCCTCCCCCAGGAAACCAGAAAAATAGTTAAAATGAGCAAGGACATTAAAATGATTTCTCCTCCCCCCCCCCTCTGGTGAGACAATGTGATGCTTTATCGGCCAGCAAACGCACTCAGCTGTGCAACCTTTCTCATGTCATTTATACGGTTAGAAGATCCGGCTTTTAAGATACCCACCTCCTAATAAAACCACCGCCCAAATGTGCTTTTTCTCAAAAAAGCTCCAACACCGCCCCCCTTTCTTGCTTTTGTTTCTCGCACACAACAACCTGGCGAGGTAGGACCAGCATCCTCGCATTGCACGACAGGCAACAGGACCCGTTTCCGAGCCCAGGAACTGTTTTGGATGGAGACGGAGAGTCCTTCGCCTCAAGATTTGCCGATGCTGGTTTTCCCGAACAGAACGGCACGGGGGTTCCTTTTAACCCCAAACGGTTCCACTGGGTTACACACAACCCCACAGCCCAGCCCTGGCTGGCTTCTTGATCCCTCTTTCTTTCTTTCTTTCTTTCTGGAGAGCATTTTCTCCCTCGCTCTGGACCAGCTTGCCGTTTGCTCGGCACACACTCAAACACCCCCATATGGCAGCCAACCCCAAGCAAGTGCGGACGGATGCAAAAAAGAAGGGAAACGGGGGACTCGTACAAGGTCAGGTGTGTGTGTCTGAAAGAGAGAGAGAAAGAGAGAGAAACCTGGACAAAAATAGATTTTTTTCAGCCTTTCCCATCCAGGCTCAAAAGGGAGCCCGGCCAACATCGCTGTCTGCGCCTCTGCAGACGAGAGGCCCGGGTGGGCGGGTGGGTTGGCGGCCAGCCAGGCTGCTTCTTTGGGCTGGATTTTAATGGGTCGGGTGATTAAAGGTTTTAATGAGGGCCCCATCAAACTCTATTAAGGCCCAGGGAGGTGAACTCTGTCCCAAACGTCTGAATCTGAGAGAGATGGGGCTTTGCCGGAAGGAAACACACACCCCAACGCAACTCTGGGAAGGGGCCCCCAAAATGTCCATCGGTTCCCCCCATCCCGATCCTTTTCTCTCCTCCCCACATTCTCATTTTCCTTCCCTATCTGGCCTAAAGTTGCAAGCTTTAACTGGGTCTCTCTTGGAAACCATGAGGACTAGGGATCCTGATTTACTTTAGGAGGAGTTTAAAGCTACTTCCGCAGGCAAAATTCCCGAGGTTCAGCCCCTGTGATCTATCCGAAAAAGGGATTTCAAGCAGCAACATTAGGAAAAAGCCTGCAGCAAAACCCACCAAAAAAAGGGAGTTATTCCCTGTCACTGTTCATAATGCCAGCCCTGATCACAGATCCTCTTTTTAAAAAACATTCTTGATTCACAATCATGAGGACCAGCACCCCAGAAACATCTTTTTAAAACAGCAACCTGGCATGAAAAACCCCACAGGCTCCTTTTCCAACCCCATCACGGGAACGAATTTTAAAAATGTAACATTCCCAAGCCTCAGGTATTGATGGAAAAAAAGGGAAGGACAGCAAAGACGAAAGTTTGGGTTGCAGAGCGGACGGATCCGACTCAACCGTACGAAAAGGAGCCCTTAGCATGCGACACAACTTGAACTCGGTACGCACAAGTAACGCACACCGCAGGACTGCTCCGAACCCTGTTTGGGAGGCAGTTCCCAGGCCGACGGCAATTTCTCCTCTTCCTTAGAACCAAACCAGCGTTCGGGACCAGAGCCAAGGGAATTTTCGCTCTCCTCCGGCCGGCACTCAGTTCTCACAACAACCCCCGGGATAGTTTGCTCTCAAAACTCCGCTAGAATTCGGGGGGGGGGGGGGGGGAGAGAAAGACGGCTGGCGGGGCTCCGTGGAGGTCAGTAGGGCAGAGGAACAAGAGGGAAGTCTCTCCAAAACCGGTCATGCTGGGATGGAGAGGGCGAGCAAACACACACACACACACACACACACACAAATCCCAGCCTTGGACATTCTCCCTCTGTCTCGAGTCAACTCTGCAAGATCTCCAGAATCAATCTTCCTCTCAAAAATAAAAAATAAATAAATAAATAAAATTCCCACGGGACGCCATCCCCCCCCACTGGTTCCCTATGGAACTAAAGAGAACTTCTGAGTCAGGACAGGAGGAACCACAGATCCAATAATCCCCTCCCGCAAGCCAGCTGGGGCAATGGCCGTCCAGAGTGGGGATGCTGGGAATTGTAGTTCACAAAAGGAAATCCCCATGAAAGGGGATTCAGACCCTGAAATAATTTCAGAAGCAGCATCGTTGTTAAAAAGAAGATGTGTCTCAGAGCCCAGGAGAGCCTTGGGGGGAAAAATTATAGAAGCCCAAACTTGGAAGGAGGAAAGTTGTGTCTCGCTTTTCAATTTCCTTACGCCTGTGTTTCTAAATTTCTCTTCCCCTCCCTTTCCCCATCTCAGCCGTTGGAATGTCTGGTCCCGTCAAAAAGGACCAGAGCCAGGATTTTCTCCTTTTTTACTATGAAGATCTGGAGGGTGACGGCAAGAGCCAAGTGGCGGAGGGAAGGCAAGAAGTGACGGGAGCGTTTGAAAATCACGGCTTCTTGGCAAGGACATTTGGAGGATTTCACACGAGACCAGGCCAGGGACCTGCGTTCCCAAAACTATCGAGGTAAAGACGGGACTAGGTCGGGAGGAAGCAAGCGCCTGGACAGAATACAGTGCTTTTTAAAAAGCTATTTTAGAAACCGTTTTCTCCCAGATTCCGCACCGGATTCTGGCTGATCCCAAACAGAATCGGACTGACGTGCCTGAAGTTTGGATCAGATTGGTAGGTTTACAGATGAAGCCAAAGGATGTGAATTTTCGACTCGGATCCGGAGCATAAATCAAACCGGATTAGACACCGTTCGCCTCAGCAGGCCAACTAAGGGCCATTTTCAAACTCCTCAGGTGAGCTGTGTCGGAAATGGGGTGAATTTGCTTTTTCTGCTCAGGATCTACTGTGTCTCTGAATTCGACATCCGTGAGTGCAAGAACAAGAAAGGGATTGTGGCTTTCGTTTCGCCCAAACAAATCTACGGATATACCGAGATTCGGACGACAGCTCAGACCCCCTGCATGGGATATGAATCCATCCAGACTGAATCAGGATACATCCTGTAGCCCCGCATGAGCCTCTAAACAGAACGGGAGGATCGGTGCAGCAGGTGTAACCATCACACCATGTAGAACCCCATGGGATGATCGGAGGAGATGCCTTATCCCTTCTTTAAATGCATTTAGAGTTTGGATCAAAAAAAGCCACAAATTCTCTCAAATGTGTCACAGAGGAAACAGGCGTGGGGTTTGGAGAGATGCGAAGCCGCTGAGATGAAAGCTTTGTAAATGGATCTAAAACAAAGTGACAGTTAATCGATCGATTGATCAATCAAGGCTACTTTCCGGCCACATTTCCAGAACGGGCCCCCTATGGCCCTTTCCTGAGCTGCCAAATCTCGCCTTCGCGATCCAAACTTCGGCAGCTGGCGCCCTCCCCCCTCCCCACTATCCCGTCTGTTTGGAAAACCATTCCCATCCGACAGTACTTGAAGGGGGGGGGGAGGCTGCGCAGGGCTCTTTCTTGGCGACTCCAGCAGCCCTCCCGCCCAGATGTTTCTAATAAAAGCCCATGTTTATGAGACAGTTCCTTCTTTTAGCTTTCTGCACCAGGCCCGGCTCAGATGGGAGAACCGTGGAAGGAAAGTCTTGGGGAGGGTGATCTTTCGACTCTCGTGCAGCTGATGGGGTTTCAGCTAGAGCTTGGGGATGGTGGGATTAACTGCAATGCCCCAAAATAGCCAGGGGAGCATGGAAGTTGTAATGCAAGATTACTGACTCTTGTTTTTTTAATGCCGTTCAACTCTAAAAAACTTCCCGCGTCTTGGAAAAAAAATATGTCTCTTAAGGGGCAGGAAATGATTTAGCGAGAAAGCATTCCAGCCTTGTTACAAAGTGGAGTGCCTCCAAATAGAGTGTTTCCTCAATTAACGAATCTGAGTGCCAAATTTCCCCCATTAACAAAGCAAGTGCTGTTTGTCTATCTGTCTCTCCTCCCTGCACACCTCCCGTTGGTTCTGCTTTTGCAGAGTTTGGTGCAAGATTTGGGTGCACATATAGTGTTGTTAGTGGGGGGGGGGAGTCTGACACACAAAAGAACCGTATCGGAGCAGAAAGCAATTTCTGGATTGAGACCCCTGGACTTTTCCAGCAAAAGGGTTGCGCTGATCTCAGAAAAGCCCCCCTCCCCGTTCCCCGCCCTCCAAATGCCCCGAATTAAACCACTCTCTGCTCATGCATGCAACAAACATTTCCTAATTTATTTTTTTAAAAACAAAATGGTGCACGGAAATGCAGGTCAAATTCAAAAACCACAAAGAGGAATCACAAGAAATGTAATAACCCTTCACCAGAAAGACTGCTGGGCCAGACTCTGCTGGGGACGATGGTGGGAGTAGTCCCACACCATCTGGAAGGGGCCGGATGGAGAACAACGACTTTAGGAAGAGGGTTTTAAGGAGCATGGCCTTACCGGGCTGGGGTGGGGTTCATTTTCCATGCCACCCCCCCCAAAGGGCAGCAAAAGCAGCCAGGCTCGGCAGGCAGGCAGGAGGGAGGCAAGCCTTTGAGGATGAGGAGAGGGGGCTTTGAAACCTTATCCTATCACTCTCTCTGCAGCAAGAGAGTCATGTTTTCCTTGGCGGGCGGGGGGGGGAGGTCCTGCATCAGTCGGTCGGTTGTAGGCCCAGCTGCAGAACTTGTTTCATCTCCAATGCTGAACCAAATCCAAAGCCTGGGAGGCAGGAGGAGGAGGGGGGAGGGAGAAAGAAAGGGGAAGGGGAGGTGAAGGTGTGTGTTTTTTTTAAAACATACATGACATGATCCTTCCAAACCTTTCGTGCCTGGACTTGAATGCTGTGTGGTGCAAAGAAAGAACAAATCAGATTTTTGGGGCAGTGGGGAATGCGAATTCAGTGTGTTAGGACAGAACTCTTAGGAAAAATGGATGATGCAATGCCTCGCCCGATCAAGAGGAAAGGGGGGGGCGTCCTGCCCTGAAAGGGCAGAGTTAGGGGCACCCCACAGCTTAGATAACCAGCCCCCCCCATGTAAATGTAAACCACTTTCAAACTGGTTTTTAATGGCCCCGATTTGAACCATGTTTATAAAGCACACCGTGGTCTATCTATTCAATTCTGCCTGGTTCCTTTGTGGCTATTTATAAATGTGGGATTTAAGGAATGGGTCGTGTCCTGGTGTTTAAGGAAAATCACTCCCCCCCCCAGAGTTCAGCAACATTCATCTCACTTTATACCGTTATTTTTTTCCGCCACAAGTTTCCACATTACAGTATTTTGTTCCCAACAAAACCAAGGGATCTTTTTTTTTAAGTATTGGTTTAGTTCCAGAATGGGACGTGGTGGCGCTGTGGGCTAAACCGCAGAAGCCTGTGCTGCAGGGTCAGAAGACCAAGCAGTCGTAAGATCGAATCCACGCGACGGAGTGAGCGCCCGTTGCTTGTCCCAGCTCCCGCCAACCTAGCGGTTCGAAAGCATGCAAATGCAAGTAGATAAATAGGTCCCACCTCAGTGGGAAGGTAAACAGCGTTCCGTGTCTAAATCACACTGGCCATGTGACCACGGAAAGATTGTCTTCAGACAAACGCTGGCTCTATGGCTTGAAGAGCGGGATGAGCGCCGCCCCCTAGAGTCGGCCACGACTGGACAAAAATTGTCAAGGGGAACCTTTACCTTTAGATCCAGAATAGAGTTTAGAGTTTACGATGCTTCCCAACCCAACCAAGCACATTGATAGACGTTGTAATCAGGAACAGGGGAAGTTGTCTTTGAGACAGAAGTACAGCGTTAAAGTGCTTTTGCGCTACAGCGCTGCTGCGCTAGACAGGTAATGATGTGGATGCAAATCCCTCAAAATCCTGTGCTCTCCCATCGGCAAACAACAGGAGGAGAAAGACCCTTCTCTAGGAGTCGGGGGATATTCACGGCACCATCTCCAGACAAGCGTATGGGCTGTCCTTGAAAAAGTGGGCTCTCTGCCCCCAGAAATGCCAAGCCCGTGTGGCTTTACTCCAGAAAAACAACTTGCCCGAACTCAAATCTGTTTCCTCTTAAATGGCTGGGATTTGTGGATCAGAATCCTGTATGTCAAGTCCTCTAAGATCGTATTGGTCTGCAGCTGCCATCAAAGGACCATGGGAACTGTAGTTCTGCAAATTATAAGCAACTCAGCCTGGAATGTCATTTCGGAACAGCCCACCTACCTCTCTCGCACTGGGGCCCCGTGAAACCATACACGCAGGCGCAGCGGTTGGGCCCGATGCACCGGCCTCCGTTTTGGCAGCCGCTTTCACACACAGCTGTAGATGAGGGAGAAAGAGGAGAGACAGCGAAGCATCACTGGGATTGGACTGGAGAGAAACCGAGGGAGGCTTTCCAGGAAGTACCGCCTGATGGTGGGAAAACTTGAGAAGAGACACGGCATTGGGGGGGGGGAGAGAGAGAAGTATTGACTTTCTTCTCCATGTAGTTCGGAGCTTTTGACTCCTAATGGTAAGAAGGGAGAAGACGTTGGTTCCTGGTAGGACGGGGCAGAAACTGAGAACGAACAAGGCAGATTTTCTTAGTCCAAGAACCAGCCTGATGAACAAGCTGGAAAAGCTTCTGCTTTTAGACTACAATTCCCATCGCTCTCCACCAGCACGGCCAGCTGTCCGACTCCGACAGGAATGGAACGAAGGGGTGGCGGATCGGGGTCCCAAATCCGCCCACCTGCTGGCCCTTCTTGGTCTGAGGCTCCTGTCGCCTGCGCATTAGAACGATGGGCTTGGTAGTCTAAGCCCTCTCTGGACAACGCGGCTGGGATGGGGGGCGAGGAAAGTCTGGCACTCGAGTCACCCAGGATTTTAAGATAAAAACGGACATTAAGAAGAACTCCTTCCCCAGATCAGCTGCTGAAGTTGTAAAGGAAATGCCTTTTCCCCCCTTGCTCATACATGCGCGCGTGTGTGTTTTGCTTAGCTACACACTTCCAGATACTCACGCTGGCCGCAGTAGGTCCCCGTGTAGCCCTTCTGACATATGCACGCTTCTTCACTGCAGCTGCCCCCGTTCATGCATCGGGCGCCACATGACTGAACTGAGAAAGCAAGGAGGAGAAAATTTGGTGACAGCAGCAGGAGGAGGAGAGAGCACCAGAGAGAGAAAAATATATATATATATTGGAATTCCTCTAGAACCTGAGCTTGTAGAATGTCTTCTTTCTTGCACTACGACTCCACGATCCACAGGTTGTTTTAGTACTACAACCCCCATAACCCCCAGGACACCCATGCCATGCTGATTTCGAAAAGGGCGCTGATCGCCCGGTTGTAGAAGAAGCCCCATGGATGCAGGCAGCGTTGAGACTGAGTGAGAGGGAGGAAACGGTCTGATCCAGGGCGGTTAAAGCTCCTGCTTAAATTAGCCCTGCTATGAGGACTAGAATCTTAAACTTTGCTTTTAGGGGTGTGTGCAGTGTGGTGGAAACCTCCAAGTTCTGGATGCCCGTGGTCCCTTTCAGATGGCTCCAGAGTGGGTCTACTCAGGACCAAGAGACCGATCCACTGGTTCCTGATTTTTGGAATCGTTAGAGCCGAAATTGAATTAGGGTGCACCATCCAGAGTCAGAGGCACAGAATCCTTCCTGGAACAACAGGTGTCAGCACATAGGTGTGCCCGTCCCATGAATTCAACAGATCTACTCTCGCTAGGACTCCACCACCGGATCCAGGCCTCTGTCTAACGTCGCAGTTCCAGGCCTGGGGGGCAAAACTTCCTCCTGACCCAAGGACACCCATTGAAATGAACAGGACTTGTCTCAGGCCGGGGATAAACCCCACAGATGCCAAAAGTCTCGTCTTGTTTCCCAACCAGACACAACCCGCAAATTGCTTGTCACTCCAGGAACCGACACTCTCGATCCAGTAGATTTACTCTAGTGCAAACTCCCCAACTGGTTTCAAGAGAAGGGGGCCCACTTCCTCTGTGACAGAAATCTGGAAGCTGCCCGACGAGGAAACCAGTGTAGGAGAGTGTTAGATCGGGATTAGGGGCTCATTCAATTCTTGATTTCAGGGTTTGGCGGGGGGGGCGGAGAGGACCATCGTCAACGTCTTTGTCTGCTTCTAAAAACGCATTCATACCTGAGCTGAAAGGGGCTCGCCCTCCCACCGCCCCAAGTCCCAACCCTCAGAAGGTGTGCGATGGTCTTATATTTCTCCACCACCCCACTTTAAAAAGAAAAGACAGCCTTCTCCCCTCCAAATCTGAGCAGGAAGGCTGGCTGGAATGCCAGATATTCAGCCCTTCCGCCCACCTCCCTCCCCACTGGAATTCTTCACATTGCTGGGCAGATTACGAACATCTGTGGCCTCCATTAGAGAGAAAGGAAGCGGCTTAAAATCTCCTATAGGTCGGGGCTGGGGTGCCTTAAAGAAGCTATACACCTCGATTGGAAAAGAGCGGCCCAGATTTATGCATAGAAGGAAGCCCAGATCCGGCCCTCCCCTCGCGCAAACGGGATTAGGCTGAATGTCCCTGCCAGTTCAGCGGAGGCTGGGGTTCTTTCCAGCGGCTCGTAGCTTAAGGCTGTGGAAGACTTCCTAAAATACTATATTGTCATTTCCAGCAGGCGTGGTTGTCTGTTGCCACAGAACTCACGTCTTTCTAGGCACGGAGCGGATTCTGTAGCAAGGAGGAGTGCTCTCTTAAGAGAGAGAAAATGGTCTGTTTGCTGCAACTGGGGCTTGCTGCCCTCTGATCTGTGCTTGGCAAATTAGCTGGGTGTCGTTCTGTCATTAGGCAGCTGGGAGTCAACAGGGCTTGTATCTCAGAGCTGGTGCCTCAGGCCTAGAGCACGGAAAAATCTGCACAGATTAAAAGAGTCTTTTTTCCCCCTAGAGGCTACTGCCTCATCATCCATGGTTGCCTTTCAGACATTAAAAGGGGACAGAAAAGGTTGAAACCGCAGCTGCTACACTTAATGGCAATGCACCGCTTTTTTTCAAATGCAATCAGGGAGAGAAAGCAGCCTCTCAAGGACGGGTAAACAAAGGCACGACAGGAAAGCAAGAACATGTCACGGAAAGGAAAGGCCGCTTTTGCTCACGCTGGGCCTTCAGAGATCCACAGGCAAGCACACCAAGGCATGGATGCTGCCTTACCTCCTCCAGAGCCGCAGCTCGGGGACAGCTGTCCGTTGGCGCACGTGCACATATTCGGCCGCGAACAGAACCCGTCGCCGCACGAACTTCGGCAAATGGCTGTCAGGAAGAAAAAAGAAAGGAGGAAAGATGAGACACGCAGTTGGAGCGAAGCCCCACAAAATGCTTCTGCCCGGGCAAAGCGTCCCACCGAGCATAATGGACTTTAACGTCCAACTAAACTTGAGAAATACTGTTTTGGCTTTTTTGTTTGTTTGTTTGCAGACTACAAGTCCTATTATCCTCCACCCAGCAGGGCCACCGCAGCAGATTCATCCGGCTACCGAAACGGGAGACCCAGGAGAAATACGTCGGCTCCCTCATAAAAACAGCTTCTCCAGCTGCATCGCTGGTGTTTGCTCGGGTCAAACCAAATGTATGTGAAACACTTCTTTCCCGGTGCGGGGATGAGAGGACAGAGGGCCAAACCAGGACATCAGGAGATGCGGGTTCAAATCCCTCACCCCTCCAACCTCACTGAGGGGATGGGTGCAGGAAAACCCCTCTCTGTACCTTTCACAGACCTTAGGAACCCTATTTAGAAGCACCGTATGCTCAGAGGTGCAGAACAGACACGGCAACTTTTTAAAAAAGGCATAAAACACCCCATAATAGGCAGAAACAATAGGCATGGGCCCGGGATGGCTGAATGGTCTGCTAGGACTCGGGTGCGAGTTTCTTTTGTGGTCTTAATTCCAGCAGCCTTCATTTGGGGGGGAATCCCCCAATTTCCCTTACTTCTGGAGTCGGGCCTCAATCCGTAGACCTGCGGGTACTTACGGACAATGCACTGGTTTCCACCAGGGAGGGTCTTCCATCCGGGACAGCAATAAGAGTGGAACCGGGATCCGCAAACGTTGGGCCTGGAAGCCAACCGAGAAAGAGTTACGGCAGCCAATCCCTGTGCCCCGATTGTGTCTCCGTTGCCTTGCCTCTGCTTTTTTTGGGCACAAGGCAGTCTGGGGCGCTTTCTTTGGGGCCCATAAGGCAAATTTGGCGCGATGGGACAGATGCTATGCTAGGGCATCGTGAGTTCGGCTTAAATTCAGGAGATCAAGGGCCACCTCCTCGCAGAGAGGTGAAGCTCTCTCTGACAAAGACCCAGTCGCGTGCTCTCTCTCTCTCTCTCTCTCCCTCTCTCTTTTCAACTCTGGCCTACTTCACTGGGTCGTCACGAGAATACTGTTAAGGGTGGAAACAAGGGCAGCTTTTCTCAGAAGAAAAAGCAGTACATGGTTCAAGGGGGGAAAAACAACTCCGGATCTGCTCCAAACCTTGTTTTCAAATCCTCTGTGCAAGAGTGAAGAAAATGGACCGATCCTTCTCTCCTCCCGAGAAGTCCCAACCCCATTCTGTTCCCTTAACAAAGACCAGAGCTTGGAGGGAAAAAAGCACATTTTTGGGGGACGGTGGCATGTGGGATACTCTGGTCACCGTACCCTCTCCTCTCACGCAGAGTCGGGAGATGCTTTTTATAAAGATCGGGGGCAAACTGGGCCCCCCTCGGGAAATGTTTTCGAGGTCCAAAACACAGCACGAATAGGGACAATGCCGTTTTTTAAACAGACGGCACCTTAAAGGAGTCAAGACTGGGTGGGAAAGAGAGGAAACCATGTTTGTGGTGGAACTAATTTCGAAAAATTTCTACAGACCTCCCCGAAAAATAACTCTTCCAAAGTTGGCCCATAAATAAGCTCTCCTAGTGGAGGCATCTGGGTCTGCTTCCCAGCTCTGGGGCAACGGATTCTTTTTGCAAGGTTTCCTCCAGCGTAAGCTGTCCTGCTTTGATGGGGACTTCCTCCGTCCGTGTCAACGTGGCCACAGCGTGGCCATCCCGGGCACGCATTTTTGCCAGGCTCCCTTTGTGTGTTTTCCGTTGCTCCTACATCTGTTGTTGTGTTTACACGGCACACCAAAGGGGGGGGAAGCGCACGAGTGTGGTCTCATCCGAGCAGGATTGAACATCTGGATCATACAAACAGACATGCCTTCCAACTCCACCCCCCTCTTTCTTTCTTGGAAGGCCAAAATCAAAGAGCGGTCAGGCGAGCCAAAAGATTATTTCCAGGATCTCCCTGTTTTTTCTCTCTCTCTCTCGGCCTTGAGAACAAGCGGGCTGAAGGAGTCGAACCTCGGCCGCAGATCATTCTTCATTACAGAGTTTTGGAAAACGACATTTTCCAAGTAATTCAGTTGCCTGTTGGATGGGAGTGGTTTGTTTGCTAACTTTGCAAAAGGAACTCGTTGTGGCGCTCGTTCCTTTCGTAGCTCCTGGGGGGGGCAGGAAAGCCGATCAAACCCCCTCAGATGCCCTTTAAATTCTGGGGGAGCAGCTAGAAAATCATTTCGTTTCTACTTCTAGGGTTGGATTTTGTTTTGTTTTTAAACGGAAGTTCCTAAATATCTCGGCTGGGCCCGAAAAGGAACTGGTCGTTAAGTCCTTACGCCACCAGGAACCGAATGACTTCTCAATCTCTAGCCGGCTTCAGCGGGGAATCCAGCTGAGGTGGACGGAAACTGGGCTGACCCAAGAAATCTGGCTGCCCGAGGCAGAGAACGAGGTCACCCCATTAGGGGCCCCAAAGCCCAGGGGGATGAAATCTTTTAAAAAACTAAACCAAACCAAACAAACCCCCCTCCCCACTTTTGGAGAATTAAATGACTTCCTAGAATCGTAGCTTTTGGCCTCAATCTGAAGACTGACCCCACCTAGAGCAGAACCATCGCACTGATAGGGCAGGCCTGAGAGCCAGGGTAGTGTAAGTGGTTTGAGGGATGGACTGGGGCTCTGGAGACCTGGGTTCAAATCCCCTACAGAAATTCCCCAGGGGGTGGCAAGGGGAGACATCTCCTTGAATACGGACCTTAAAAAAACAACACCCCTCACTCTTATTACGGGGGTTGTAGTTTGGGAAGAGGAGAGGGAGGAAGGGAGGCAGGCAGGCAGGCAGGAAGGAAGAGCTGATATGGATAGGAAAGAAGGAAGGAGAGAAAGAGAAAGAGAAGGGAAGGAAGGAAGGATCAGTTGGGGATAAAAGGTGCTGTGCCTAACACCTTGATGCAACACCAAGTGAAAAGACAAATGGGCACCGTTTGGTGCTTCCTGCCCACCACACTTCTCCTTAAAATCTGGGGGGGGGGGAACACACAGCCTCGTTTGTTAACAGACTCCATGGTCTTCCCAAACCCTTTCCTGCTCTTTTTTGCACTTAAATGCAGTCACTTTCCCGGCAGCCTCTCCTTCTCCCCACTTTGGCTGAGAAGACGAGGCCACCTCTGACCCTGCGCAGAATGCCACTCTTTTCTCCCTTCTGCGCTTTTTTTTGGGGGGGGGAGGCATCTGAGCTAGACCAGCCTGTCAGTCCTTGGTAGCCAATCTCTTGAAAAAGCTGGGGAAGTCACTTTCTCAGACTACTGTACAAGGTCCAGGAAGTTGGTTGGGGGTGATGGGACTGGTAGTGAACCCTTCCAGAGTGAATGTCCTTCCCGAAAACAATGAAGCCAGAGGGCACTAAAGTGTCATTTGGCATAAAACTTTTGTGGAACCCCTAAGGAAGGTTTAAAACTTGCCAGCCCCCTGGGGGATTCTGGTCTATGTAGTCCAAAGACATAAACCCACATGATTCTATTCCCGACTAAAATATCTCGTTTTATGTCCGGTTGGCCCCGTTTCGGCTCAACTTAAAAACAACAACTTCTGCTCAGATTGATGCTACGCCCATTTAAAAAAATGTCAGTTCTGAACCCCGTCAGAGGAAGAGAGACATGTCCGCTTACCCGCGCAGAATCTCGTGGCCCCTCCGCCGGACGCGGCTGGAAGGGGGCTTGTTCTCGTAGTTGGCGAACCGGTCGCCCACCGGAAGATCCCCCTCAGGCTGACCGCAGGCGAACGCCAAGAGGGATGTCCATCCCAGCAGGAACTGGGCTAGCGACTGGGGTCCCATGACGGCCAGTAGCAGCCCACGGAGACTTTGGGTCTATGGAGGAGGAGGCCGACGCGGCCGGAAACTGCCAATCCTCCTTGTCCCTTGCTCTGAGAGACACAGAAAAACACACCGCGTCAAAGGTTGTGGTGGGGACCCATTCAGGCCCAAGAGATGGACTGAAACATCAGAGAGACCCACGGGGGGGGTGTTCCAGTGGCGGGGAGTCCCAAAGCCCCGAAATTCATTTGAAAGCTCTTATCATAAAAATGTCATTTTGGAAATTGGGAGGGCGAAACAAGAAGAGGGAAAAGCCGGTTTGCTGAACCTCTGATTTATCCTGCCTTTTTCTTATCTGGATTGGACACTGGTGCCATGTTTCTTGTTCTACTCCAGGAAGCAAAAGGCAGGACAAGAGGGGCCCTTTACTCCTCCTCACCGCTTCACACCAACCCGAGAAGGTAGGCTGAAGGGCAAGGATCGGTTCATGCGAGCACTCGAACCGAGATCCGCCGAATCTTCATTCAACCCTCTAGCCACTACACTGCTCTGCCTCTTTAAGTATCAGCCTGAGATCAACTGGTTTCATCTTTCCCTTTGCCTACTAGGCTGCCAGTTTGAGAATCCCAATTTGAGCTCCAAAAGGTTCCCTCTTCTTCTTCTTCTTCTTTTTTAATTTTCCCACCGGTTTCTCTGCTGGTTCAACTGTGCATTCCAATTCACACTTGCCTTGTCTCGGCTGCAGTAAGCGATATATAAATTCATTAAAACACAGACAGAAGGGTGCTTTTCTTCAGATTTTTAGAATCGTTTTCACACTGCACACAAAGGCTCGAAATGACAAAAAAATGAAAAAGCAGCAAAAGGCATGGAAAGCGACCATCAGCCAGATAGGTTTGCCGTTCTGGAATTAATTCATTTTTTGGGGGAGGGGAGAAATTGCCCTGTTTGAAAAAGGAGTTCAGTAAACCAGGACAACTGAGGACAACCGGAAACAGCAAGAAGATGTATAAACATCCTTGCTTATTTATCGTGATTTATGAAATGTAGTTATTTATAGCTTCTCAGTCCAGGAGGGTTCCCCATGTGAAACGAAGGAGATATATTTCCTCAACAACAGAGGAGACGAAGAACCAATTTTTAAAAGCCAACGTGGTTTAAAAAGCAGAGCCATGAGGGTAAAAGCCAGCTTTCAATCCCATTCGATATGCCAAAAGTCAAGCAACACAGGAAAAGCCCGTTGAATGTTCAGAAGGGGGGGGGGAAGAGTCTCGGTTCCGCGTTCCAAGCCCCGACGTTTCCAGACAGGGAGGCAAAAGACCCAGGTGAGCCCAGACAAGACCAAGTTATGATGGATTGACCGTCTTAATGGGTATAGAGCCGGTTCTAATTTAAAACAACCCTCCCGTTCCCAACCATGAGGACTAGAAACTCATTTTAGGGAGAAAAGATCCAGATTAGCCATAACGCAGCCGGGTTTCGACAGGACCCAGAAGGTCCCAGGTTCAATGCCTTAGCGGCTGGGAAGCGAGACTCGTCGGGGCTATGAAATCCAGAATCTGGGAAGGATTCTTGCAACCTCGGGAAAAAATGGAATTTTCTGAGGTCTGGAATGAGCATCACCATGGGCCTTCCGTCGGTAACCCTGCTGGGTCTTTTTTTCTTCCTCTCCACTGGATCTTGAAAGCCTTATCTTGTTCCGAGGCACTCTGGTTATCAGAGTCCGAGAACGCTCGCCTGCTGGCTTCTCCCCAAATGGGGTCACCCTGATAAAAATCTCCCCTTCTTCGCCTCTCTTTCCCCGACTTATCTTGAACCAGATCTGGATCTTCCCGGGGATACCTGGCATACTGCCAGCCTCGCCACATAACCCCGTGGATTGGAGTTAGTGTGACAGGGAACGTGACACTGCCATGGGAAGGGGAGGTTTATTCATTTCTGTGCTTTGGGACTACAAAGCATAATCCCCAAAGCAACGTGCTATGTTTGGAGCAGGGCAGTTCCCTAAAACATAAACCCAAGACTGCCATCCTCAGGATCAGTTTCCCAGATTCAAGCCAGGGGTCTATTTGGGACTATGTAAGATGCACACAGACATGAGGGCGGGTTGATGGCTTGTAAAGAGGAGAGCAACCCATTCCGAGCTTCAGCTTTCAAATCACCACCCCCCTTTTTCTGGGTGGACTATAAGTCCACAGAATCCCGCATGGATCTTAACAGTCTGCGAAAACGAACATTTCCGTGCCGCAAAAAGCTCGGAAAGGCTGGGAAAACCCACCATCAGGGAAAGGTGGGATATTACAAAGGCATGTCTCCTTAAAAGGCACCTTCCTGTTTCTGCAAACTCATGAGGACTAGAGCCTTGCTTTGTTTTTGGGAGACAGGCAGCCGAGTGTTGGTCGGGCCTCCCTCTTGCGTGAAGGGCTCTGCTGGCTTCTCCAGCCTTGGGTGCGAAAAGATGGCCCTAAGCTTCAGTCACCCCCTCCTCTGCCTCACAGGGAGAGCGTCCTGCCTTACAGGGCTGTCCTTGGGAATCGGAGACAAGCCCAGGGGTCCTGCGGTTTCCGGCTTGCTGAAAACACCTTCCCCCCCACCCCATTGGGACGACGTTCGGCTGGACGGACTATGCCTGCCGGCAATGAGTCCACGGGGCTTCAAACGAGGGCCGACAGCGGCCTCTCCGCCCACCCGCCATGAATCCAAGTTTCACAGATGAATCTCGCTCTCTGGAAAAACCCTTCCCGCCCTCCTGCAGGGGTGGGGCAGGATTCTCCAACTACAGTGCCCCAAATCCCTTAGCAGGTCAGTGTGGGGGATAATGGGTCCCGTAGTCCCCAAAAGGATCTCTCTTTTTTGCAGAGGGCTGAAGATCAGCCCCTAGGCACATGGGGGAGTGGGGGGGGATGATGCCACTAAGTACTGTAATTTTAGTTGCGAGATGGTGAGGGAGTCATGCCTTTTCCTTTGGGAGGGGCTCCACTCCAGATCCCATCATCCCCCACACCATTTAGTGCTCATGGGAGTTGTAGTCCCAGAGCCACCTGTCCGCCCACCCGTGAGGGCTGCTGAATGCAATGCTTTTTTACGCGGCAGGGGAAAAGTGGAGGCTGGACTCCAGAGGGTCGGATGAATAACGCCCATTGTGAAACACCCATAAGTTGTACCTCTTTTTCCCCCACCAATTACCCCCCCCCTTTCTGGAGTCTGTTCCGTATTTTACAACCGTTAAGCCGTTCCTGGCAGGTTAAGCATTCCCCCAAAAAACTGCTTTGTAAGAAAGCCTCTGAGCATGGACAGAATTGGAACTTCGGGAATAAAATCGCTTTTAATTTTCTCCTGCCCCCTCCTGTGAGGAGCACACCGGCTTTAGGGGGGGAAAAGGGGGCGGGAACCCATTGCCTGTGGAAAAGGATAAATCTTGGGTATTTTCACACACACAAAAGAGAGAACCCTATAAGCTCATGGAGCCAAAGACATGCCAGAAATCAGAAAATCATGCGGCATTGAACAGGACCCGGTCTTGCATGCCCGTCCAAGGACGGATGCTCAAACCGGGCCTCTTTGGTGCCTCCCCGGTGGCTCTCTGGGTGGTCCTTCACACACACCCCAAAAATGTTTCCAAGCTATAGGGCTTTGGCCCCAAAGCTCAGCCCTAGAGGGGCACCATTTCACGGAGGAGAGCACAGAGGAAGGCTGGTGTGATATTGTGTGTGTGTGAATTTTCCATGCCCCACACCCCAAATATCCCCCTTTCGCTTGTGGGGTGTTTTGGGGAGGGATCTGACATTTCAGACCCACAAATGAGCAAAGCAGATGGGATGGTGATGGGGGGGAACACCCCTTCCCGTGCTTGTCCCTTGCAAACTGAGCCACCCAGCCGGCTCAAACAGGGTGGGTGGATTTGCCAATCAACAATACATGGCCCTACAGAACATTCCCCCCACCCCAAAATATAATACAGAGATATTTAAGCACTTGAATTCCAGTGCATGCATTCTCATAGGCTCCAGAAAAGCATGAAAAGGAGAAAGGAAGTGTGTGTGGGGGGGGAGAAAAGACAGGCGTCTAAAACCTACAGACTTAACTTGCAAAAGGGTTCAGGTTTTGCAAGGCAGGGAGCCCAAACCCACTGGAGTGAGGGATCTTGGGGGGGGGGAGATCAGGAAAAAGAGAGAGAGGGCAAGGAGGGCCCCCAGAAAATTTTGGGAGCAGCAGCCGGAAGAGCCACGCACCCCTCCCCAATGGTCTGCCTGACAAGCGCTGGTGCAAAAAAAAAAAACTAAAATAAAAAATATTTAAACCCCCAAATTCTTGCATAAAATCCACATTTATTGGTAAAGGAGGTGGGGGGGGGCTTGTGCACATCGGTGCATCCTGTTGCACACGGGGTACTCCCCAAGCCCAGCTTTTTTTCAACAAAAAAAGAAAAACTTTCATTGTTTTTTCCCCTCTTAAAAATATATATATATATCTGAAGAAAAAGAATTGCAGGTTGGCCAGTGCAGCCCATTCCAGCTTCTGCACCACATGCCCTCTCTTCAAATAAATAATAAAATAAGACTATCTTTTTTTGCAAAGAAAGGTGGAAAATAAGGCTTAACTTTTGGAAAGGAGCAACCCAAACTCGTGCAAAGCTGAACACCTCCTCCTCCACCAAAAAAAAAAAGTTTAATGCAACAAGGAGGAAAATCTACCCCAAAAGTTCTTAGTTTCATGGGTGGGTGTTTTTTTTAATTACTTACAATTTGGGGGGGGGGGGTTTAGGGGGGGAGGATGGAAAAGGGTGGCATTCCTCCACCCCTCCCTGGGGGGGAACCCATTGGAAAAATTGAGATTTAATGCCTAGCCAACCACAAGCGGGGGTTTCGGAGCCCCACAGGGGAGAAGACCAGACCCCCCTCTGGGAAAAAGTTAGATCTGAACAAAGAAAAACCTGAGGAGGGGGAAAGAGACAGAGACAGAGAGAGAGAAAGAGAAAAAGTTAGATCTGAACAAAGAAAAACCCGAGGAGGGGGAAGGAGACAGAGAGAGAGAGAGAGAGAGAAAGAAAGAAAGAGGAGTTTGCAATTCTGGAAAAATCAGCCAGCCAGGATTTAAAAACCCTAAGTTTACCCCACAAGCTTCCCTCCACCCCCATTGCATGGTTTCCAGACAATGTGCCATGGGGTGGAGAGGAAGGAGAAAAGGGGGAAAAATTAAAGATACCTTTGGTCCTGACGTCCCAGGATGAGTCCAGAGAAAGGAGGGTTTGTGAAGGTGGTTGTCTCTTTTTTTTCTTCCCTTCTTCGCCCCCCCCCTTTTTTTTGTTTCAGTGCAAGAGAGCCGGGCAGAATTTAGGTCCTTCTACAGGGAAAAGAGGACGAAAAAAGGAAAAAGGGGAGGGGGGAGAAAGGGGGGAAAGGAAAAGGTACACCCTCATCCGACTTGGGAAAGGGGGAGGTCTTAAGAGGAAGGGGTGCCGGGGGCCGAAAGGAAGGCAAGAGAGAGAGAAAGCAGCCAGGGAAGGGAGAAAATTCTTTGGCTGAAAAAAAAAAGGTTTAATTTCCAGAGAGGTGGGAGAGAGAAGGAGAAAAAAGGGCTTGGGGGGCCTTAGGAGGAGATTTTCCCCCAAAAGGTGATCATCATCACCTTCCTCTTTTTTTTCCTGGCACCCTTTGGGCCCCTATTTGTCCAAAACCCCAGTTTTTTTCCTTTTGTCTCTACCATAAGCATCTTAGCCCTTTACTTTCAGGCGCAAACATTGGAAAGACTAGGGAGATTTGTAGGGTATTTTGGGGGGGGGGGAATGGAGGGTGAAAAGACCCCCCAAATGAGAAGGAGACTCTCTCTCTCTCTCTCTCTCTCTCTCTCTCTCTCTCTCTCTCTGTGTCACCTGGAGGCAAAAAAAATTTCAATCTGGTAGAAGCAGGTGGGGGACCGGGAGCCCTGCCTCAATTTAAAAAAAAAAGGAAAGGTGTGAATCAGGACAACTGGTCTTTTGTTTAAAACCATGAGGACTAGAAACCCACTTACCGTAAAGAGGACTGGAGCTGAGCCCATGTTTTGTAACAGAGAGGGTCCCGGTTTCTGATCCCGACCCATTCTGGTTTAAAGGGTCAGGCTGCAAGCCAAGGAGAGACAAATGGGACTCCAAAGAGGTATGGGGAGCTGCCACACCTCCTGCTGGCCTTCCCCCTTGGCAGGGCCGGCGGGGGCTGATGGACACTGGAGTCCAGCCCTATCCAGAAGGCTGCGGCAGCTCACCACAGGCAGGTAGACCCTGAACACGGCGGGTTGCCTGTGGACGAAGCGGCTTAAAAATTGCTCAGTGGGGGTGAAAATTTGCAGCTTTAGAAAAGGGCGGGGTGGACCTGTCTCGTTTCTGCCTTCCTTAGACACGTCCGGGCAGGACAAATGCAGCCAGGGGATTCGGCACCCCCACGTTTACCCCAAACCCTTCCTTCCAGGAAGAATAGTGGGGGGGGCAATTATGCTCCATTTCTCCGAATAAATCAATGGGGAAAGGCCAGGTACCTCCAGGGCTGTTTACAAAACTCAGCAGTAGCCCATGTGCCTTTCCCATGTTCAGAAGCATGATGACAGGAAACTTTGTTTTTTGACAGAAAACAGAAGGGGATTGGGGGATTTGTAGTCCAAAATGGCAACTCTGCCACTAATATTGTTTTTTTTTTCTTTCCACTGCGACCCCCAGATTCCCCTCAGGCTCCTTTGGGGTCTTAGGCTCCCCGTTTCCACTGCAGGAAAACGCTATGGGCCAAAGCCAGCCCCTCTGGGCGCAAAAATGTGGATGGCGTTGCTGCCCTCCACTCTAACTTCCTTTTAAGTTTCTAGTCCTCATGGGCTGATTTCTGAGACGCAGGGCTTTCTCGCTTGCAGGACGTTTTAAGCTCTGAGCTAAGGGTCAGGAAGGGAAAAGGTGGCCGGAGGCTGTCCAGAACCCCAAATATCAGACAGAGGAAAACAGGGAGCGAAGCAGGAGAGCCACGGGGCTCGGGGCAGACCTATTTTTTTCTAGACAGATTTATTTTTAAAGCCTTTGCTCTGCTTCTAAGAGGACCTCCCAGGCTCCCCAATGCAAGGCCACCCTACAATCTCTCTGTATGGCTTCTCTGGCTCACTGACGACACAGGGGGATTTCTCGAGACCAGCCCCTTCAATGGAAGGGGCAAGCGTCGGAAAAAACGCCTGGCCTGACTCTCCATGGAAGACTTCTCTGTTCGCCCCAGAGGGATCAAGCCACCTCTTCTTGCACACAGACCCCAGAAGGAGTCCTTTTGGACTACAAAACCCACAACTCCTCCTCCCCAGCCCCCCTCCCATCCACCTGATGGGAGTTGTGATCCACAGCTTCCGGAGAAGAAAAGGCTGGAGGAGGGTATTCTGATAAAACTCACGCTTTTTGCTCAGGAAGGAGAGCTTTTCTTGGCTGCAGAGGGACACAAGAGAAAGAAGAGAACATTTTCCAGGAACATGTTTGAAGGAAAACCAAGAGAATCCAAAGCTGGTTTACATTTGGGCCGCAGACATGATGTTGTAACTCGCTCGCCCGGGGGGCACAAAGCTGGGAATCGCATGTTCTCATGCACCGTGCTCCCTCCCTCCCTCTGCGTTAACGTCTCCCCCCCCCCCAACAGCCCCACAGCTAGCGTCCAGGCATCCACCAGGCAGGAAAACCCGCGAAACTCGCTTTCTTTTTTTAACACAGAAGCGCGAATGGGTTTCCAAGCAGGCTGACCCATCCGCTTGCTGCCGGCTTGACTGCAAAGCCCTCCCCATGGTTCCTGAACTACAAGGTCCATCAGCGTCAGCCTTCTGGGCCACGGCCAACAGGCGTGGTAGGCCATGGGCGTCTGGAGAGCTGGCGCGCTCACCTCTGTACCCGTTTCCACCTATCTGGGATTTTTGTAACATAACTTTGTAGCTGCATATCTGGCTAGGGGGGAAAAGGGGGGGCTCTCTCAGACCTGGACTTCTGTGGCCCTTTTTCCCTCCGGCTTTTGGGCTGCTTTCTTTTAGGACAGACGTGCCTAGCCTGAACTGGGTCGGGCAATGGAGACATTACTCTTTAAAGAGAGGTTGTAGGTTTTATTTAGGATTTGGCACTCCTGCACACTTGAATTCTCCCGGGGTCTGATCCACACGGCTCCCCTTCAGGGCAAACATTCCTTCTGTCTTCTAGGATACAACTCCAGAGAGGAGAGGTGGGAAGACACAGCGCGAGGGGGGGAACCAAAAGGCTGGTCTGGGCTCTGGCTAGAAGGGGGGGAAGGGGGCGGGGAGAGGATGATGGATACAGCCAAGAGCAGAGGCCAAGGTTCTCCGTGTTGAGTGTCTCTCTGCCAGCTTTTTTCCCGCTCCTTCCTTCCCCTACTTGGGTTTGGCAAGGGCTCCAACATCCGTGTCCAGATCAAAGCCAAACGAGGTAGAAATGATCTCTCCTGGCCCCCTCTCAGCCGAGATCTAATTCATTTTTTTTTTTAAAAGGAGACCAGGAAAGGCAGATCATATTGCAAAAACTCAAAAGCAAAAGAGGAAGGGAACGTATGTTTCTCCTGCGACTAAGAAATGAAAAAATCCTCAGCCGGCTCCTTTTGCTTTTTCCTTGAAAGCTTAGCTTCTGAATTTCTATTCTTTCCAGAATTAAATATTATTTGACTTCATCTATTCAGCCTATGATCAAAGAACATGTCCCTTATTCATTCCTGTGTGTTTTTTTAAAAAAATCTCCTTGTTTCCTACTTCTGGGGTTACGATTAACACAAGAAAAAAGACACAACACAAAAGGAAAAAGCGAAGAGGAGGGAAGAGGAAAAAGGAAGCAAACAAGCACTCGTTCAAAGTTATGGAGCCCATTGGTGTGAGGAAAGGTTGTGGGTTTCCCTGTGGCAATCCCAAACCAGCCCCTTCCTTTCAAGGCAAAGAAGGATCTTAAAACTTGCAATGAAACAGACAGAGCTCAGTGGTGTCATTTTTGGACCACGATTCCCAGAATCCCCTAGATTCAGATTTGCATCCACCCTCCTTCTGCTTCAAGGAAATCCACAATTAAATCCAGAGATCCAAATTCGCAGCGAACGCTGCAAAACCCTCAACGCTCTGCCCCCAGTTTGGGCAAAAAGGAAGAAGTGTGTGTGTGTCTGTGTGTGTGTGGGAAAGCCAGAACATAACAAAGTCCAGATTATTTTCGATCTGACGAAGGCAAAGTGAGTTCGGGAAACATTCCATAAATCTGGGGTCCAAGGAGTTGGGGATCTCGGGAGTGCAAAACAGGACTTGTTTCTGTATTTTTAAATCCTCTCACTTTAAGAAGTTTGGGGGTATCAAATACAGGGGTTTCCTTTGAGCCCCACGTTGACAGAATGTGGAAAATTTCCTTTAGGGGAGAGGTCCTGCAGCGTCTATGATTTCCCAGCCATTGAACGGGCTCCGGAAAGATCGCCACGCAAGTTTCGAGCCCCTGCCCGTCATTCGAACACAGCACTCCCTCTGGTCGTGTGAGAAACCACACTGGCAAACTGGACTGTTATGGAGGAATATTAATAAAAACACTGAGAAAAGGTGGAAGCGGCAATGAAGGAGCAACTGTACTTACAGTTTGTGTTAAAGCTGAGCGTTCAGGAGTCTGTCTGCTTTTTTTCCCTAGTGGTGTTTTGGGGATTCGTTTACATTCCGTTTACGAGAACTGATTCTGTATGAGCAACTGCATACCACGTTGTTGTTGTTGTTTTTAAAAGACTTCCCACCCTGATGGAAACAAAACTGTTTAAAATGACACATTTTTCCCAGAAATTCAGGTCAGGATAGTTTGGGTAAACCTGCCTTGCAGCAGATTTCTGCCAGGCTAGGTTTCATCCCTCTGTGTGGGTTCATGTAACTCACCAAGTGGGGCCCAGTGGGGGATTCGAACTCCCAGCCCCAGAGACTTAAACCACTGAGCTATCCAGCAATTCTTAATAATGATCTTAGAATGGCAGAGCTGGAAAGAACCCTGGAAGTACAGCCTGTCAAGGAGGCACGGCTGGGATTCAAACTCGTAACCTCTGATCCTGCAGATCCCTAGAAACCGGTCAGTTTCATTTCCTCTGGCAGTTCCAATTTTTCAACTCTCCGGTGCGTTCCCTTCCGATTATGAGATGTAAAGATTGGTAAACCCTTCTCGAACAAAACAGATACAATTTTTTAAAACCCATCTACACCAGCAACGTTCAGAAGGCCTGCCCATCTCCGTGGAGGAAAGGACTTTACACGACATGTAACGTAAATGCGAATGATAAGGCACCTC